CACCCAGAAGTATCTTAGCGTGTCTTAGCCCTAAGAGATTGATCCAATTATCGGTTCTTATACTGCCCAATTATTTTTTAATCTCGTCGTGGACGTTTGAACGAGAAAAGTCAGTAAATGTGACCATCGCCTTTCAAGGGGATGCTTTAGATGTTCTTCAGACTGTACCTGTGGAAAAAACGGATGACTTTGAAAGACTTAAAGGATCGTAAGCAGAATCGAGACAAGTCTCCAAGAATACGAATTAGATATTTCCAGGATGATGCGATACTGGCAACCATTTTCCTACTACACAATTTACAAATTAAATTAATTATGTGACGTGTAACTATACAGGGTGGCTCACGCTCAACGGGACGGAGCTTTATGGGAAAACGACCAAAGATATAAAAAATTCGTTTGAGAGGAATACGTAGGTTACAGACGGCTACAATTTAAAATTTGTTAGATGTATACAGGATGTCCCACATAAGAAAAAAAAAATTAGTTCATTAAAAATTATTCAAACAAGAGTAAACAATTAATTTCTGGGAGACTTTTTTTCCTTAAAAACTCAAATAAATCGAAAACTAATAATAATAGTAATAGGGAACCTTTAGTTAACTGACATTATTTTTGATGTAGTTTTTAATTCTAAAATAAAAAACAGGGTATTCCATTAAAAATAATATAACTTTGTATATTTTCTCTTATGTGGGACATCCTGTATACATCTAACAAATTTTAAATTGTAGCCGTCTGTAACCTACGTATTCCTCCCAAACGAATTTTTTATATCTTTGGTCGTTTTCCCATAAAGCTCCGTCCCGTTGAGCGTGAGCCACCCTGTATAATAAGTAAATATAATATACATTCACTTGAGATAAATGAAACCTATTTTAATTTAGACAATAAGAAAACATATCATAATAATTACATATATTATTGTGTTATTAAAAAAACATGAATAGGTAATTAAAAAATTACAAAATTTACCTATTGGTTCCCGTACTTAGAATATTCAAATTAATTAAACAAAGACAAAAAAACATTTTTATTATTTATAGTTTTTGTTCAAATACTCACTTAGTTTCAGATGTAGAAGGTTTAGAATGTGACATAGTTTTCAGTTGAGGAACAGCTTCAGGATGTGAGTAAAATAAGGGCATTACTCCTTTCATTAAAAACATTTTTCCTCCTGGAGACTTAGCAAAGGCAGAAATGTCTTGAACAAATTCAACTGAATACACTCTTCATCCTCACGTACACCCAAACTCTTCATCCACATATATCTAGTTTGAGGATCTTTTGGAAACCTAAATAGGTATAAATAGTGTTTTCTTATTCATATAGGTAGGTATATAGGATTTCATGTAATACAGAATGCAACATAGTATACTTTAAAATAACTATGGTGTTCTAACAATATATTTTGTCATTAAAATGAAGCAATACTAAGATTTAATAACTAAAGTAAATGCCACTAGAGCCTTCTTTAATGTACAGTGTGCATAACAATATTACTTTAATTTAAAGATAGCCTATTAATAAATTCAAAGTTATTAAACACAGGCACAATAAAATAATTCGAAATTCGACGTTGAATGTTATTTTAAACTTTAAAATAAATTGTTGTTGTTTAAACCTTATTTTGAATTATGATACCCCTCAAAAAAGTGTGATGCAACGGTAATGGTTTTTATTTACTTACCTATGAAACGTTATCGAACTGAACTTGAGATACTTTCTCGAGCACACAATACAATTCACTTGCATTTTTAAGCAATTAAATGCACTAAAATAACTTAAACCACAAAAATTTTTCAATTAAAGTACGAAATAAACTCAAAATGAACCACAAAATAACCATAAAATAACTAACCTAACTAACGTAGTCCTGTCAATTTTTTGCTAACCAATCAGTAGAGTTGCGTAGTTCATGAACGAACTAGTTCAAAGAGCCGTTCCAGAACTATGAACTAACTGAACTAGTTCGTTTCGATCGGTCACAGCTCAGGGACGAGCGTCGCCTTCGGGTGAGTCGGATCTTCCGAGCTGAACAGAGTTGCTGCCGTCTTATGTAGAGGTGGGCTTTAACCGCTTAGAATAATTTGATGCACTCGGTTTGTTGTTGAATCTGGGAATCACCAGAGGTATTTACTTTGCTAATAAATTAGGATTTTTAAGTGATAGTGATGGCGACAAAAAGAAAATTAAGTGTATTGTGGAATCATTTCGTTGAAGATGAAACTGGTAAACGAGCTAAGTGTAATTATTGTTTGCAGTACATAAGCATTTCTAGCGGGTCAGTTGGCAATCTAGGTAGGCACATCAAAAATAAACACCCCGCAATAATAGTAAGTGTAGAACGGCAAAGTATAGGAGAAACAGGTGGACAAAATCTTGAAAATATAGCGTCATCTTCAAATTTGAAACCAACTCAAGTGACAAATTCTGAAATCGACAAGCAAGTCATAAAAATGATTTCAAAAGGCCATCATGCTTTACGAATAGTGGAAGAGCCGGAATTCAAAAAGTTAATTAATATGGTTTCTCATTGTCCGGGGTATCAACTTCCAACAAGAACAACTTTAACCAATAATTTTTTAACGAATTCTTATAATGAATTAAGAAATAAATTAAAAGTGAAAATTGAAACAACAAGAGCGGTATGCCTAACAACGGATTCCTGGACTTCTAGGACCAATGAAAATTATATAGCTATCACGGCACATTACATAGATGAGCAAACCAATCTTTGCTCGTCTTTAATTGAATGTAAAAAATATAACCACACCCACTCGGGTGAAAATCTGTGTAAAGTACTGAAGGAGGCAATGGCAGAGTGGAACATTTCGTACAAAATTGTAGCTGTTGTCTCAGACAATGCCAGCAATATTTTAGCAGCTGTAAGGCTAGGTGGATGGCGATCTATTGGGTGTTTTGCGCATTCTTTAAATTTGGTGGTGCAAAAGGCTACCAAGGAAATTTCAGACGTCCTTGTTAAAGTTAAGGCTATTGTAGAATTTTTTAAAAGGAGTTGTCAAGCTCTACAAAGCTTACAAGACACGCAAAATCGAATGGGGTTGCCTTCTTTAAAATTAAAACAAGATGTACCAACGCGATGGAATTCAACCTTTGATATGTTGGATCGAATTTTAAAGTTAAAAGATGCGATAATAACTACTATCGCGCTTTTGAGAAGCGATCTTTCGCTAGATCAACTGGACTGGCAAATAATAGAGGAGGTAATACCCATTCTTAAACCATTTTACGAAGTTACTGCAGAAATAAGTTCTGAGAAGAATGTTACTTTATCAAAAGTAATAGTTTTCAATAAACTCCTACAAGGCTTCCTGGCAAAAACTTCACCCGTGCATGTAAAAGTAATTGCTTTACGGGATGTCTTGAAGCAACAAATGAACAAGCGATTTTGTGAAATAGAGAACAATGTGCTTTTTGCGGAGTGCACAGTATTAGATCCGCGATTTAAAAAGCTTGGTTTCAAAAATGAACAGGCCTTTTAAATAGCTGTACAAGGACTTAGAAATAAAGTCGGCCATGTAACAATACCTGATCCTGCTAAATCGCCATTAGCAGATGTTACGAACACTGCCAGTGCTGATGCTAATATTTCAAATAGTAGTATTTGGGACGATTATGACGATATCATTATAACAAAAACGACACCTGAAAATAAATTAGCCACTGGCATTAGAGAAGTTGACAAATATTTAAGCGAAGACTATTTAAATAGAAAAACAAATCCTTTGGAATGGTGGGAAGAGAGGAAACTTATATATCCACATATATATGCCTATCTGCTCAAGAGATTTTGTATTGTTGCTACATCTGTGCCATGCGAAAGAATATTTTCTGGCACAGGACAAATCATAAATGAAAGAAGAACTTTATTAAAATCAAAAAATGTGGAAAAATTAATATTTTTAAATCATAACTTATGAATTTTTTTTTTATTTTGTGTCGGTTGGAATTTCTTTATTGTTTTAGTTATGTTTTAAGAAATATATTTTGTTTTTAGGATTTTTTTTTAGAATTTTTGTTTTGTTTTTAGATGTATATTTTATTTTTAGAAATACATTTTGTTTTTATTTAGGATTTTATTTGTTTATTTATTTTTGTTAGAAATTAATTTTTTTATTTAGGATTAATTATATTTTATTTTATTAGATATGTATTTTCTTTTTTATGTTTATTAAAAATGATTATGTTGAGTTGTATAACGTTTTTATGTTTTATTAAAAAATATGTTACAAAGTAACAGTTACGAAATTCGGTTTGCAAACAATTACAAAATAACGGGTAAACATATCTTTACTATGAACGAACTAAAAGAACTAGTTCAGGGGGGCTATTTTCAAAGTATGGGAGCACTCATTTCTCTCAAGATTCTCATCAGAAATGTCATACGTCAATGTGGAAACGCTGTTTTTAAAGGCCTCGAGGATTAAAATTCTTATGAGGATATTAATTATCTCTAAATAAACCGTGAGAAACAATCAGTGAGTTCACACTGGCCCTTAGGACCCTAAAAATACTGTTTTACGTTGACGTATGACATTTCTCTCGAGAGAAATGAATTCTCTCGACTTTGAAAATAGCCCCCCAGAGATAGGTTAAATGAACGAAAATGAGCGCTCTCTCAAAAGAACTAACCTTGACAACTCTACCAATCAGGTGTGTAACCAAAATAGCGAATATCCAATCAAGTCGTGTAACCACTGCTGTATAGTGAGAGGAGATGCTGGTTACAAATATTGCATGATAGGGCTGTATCTATTATTTATTTATTTATCTGAGGTATTTGTAGGCAAGGTATCAAGTAAAAGTAAACCAAACATACATTTTTAAATTGTCGATACGCCTATGAGATTATATATTTATTAATAAATATAAATGAATTTGTATAATAAACAGTTCATCTGAGGTTTCGATTTCTGTTTAACAAAAAATTGTAGAATATTTTTAATAAGAAAATATTTATTTTAAAATTTTGTAGCCGCATCGGTTAGCGCGCACATCGTGAAACCACCACGCCTGCGCTCAAAGAATGGACAAAATAATTGTCCGTTCATTCTTGCAATGAAAATTCTGTCGATTGCTGCTGCGGAATACGTTAATTTTGGTAAATTTTATTAATCCGTAACAATATTTTGTTTAATCCTAGTCCAATCTTTCATTTTATATCAATTTTGAGACAATCAGGACGACAGAACTAATGAATTGAAAAGCAAGAGATCCTGGATAGGTGTTCAACATAACAGAAAATTCAGGAAAGTTCGACGAAAAAAAATGTCTAATTCAAGTAACATTTAGAATGTTTTGAAAGGTTAGTTTAAAGGAAATTTTAGATTACAGCAATCTTGTTTTATTTTGAAAAAAAAACATAATTGTTTAAAAATCCTTAATTTTAACAATGCTTTATCTAGCAAGAGTTTGACAGAATTTATTATCTAACAGTAGTTGATTTCACAAATAGGACTATCCAAATTTTGAAACGATGGTTTCGACGAGGCAAATGACAATAGGGAACAATGGGGCTGGTGAAGGAAGCCAGTCTCCCAATGAAGGGCCTGCTAAATTTACTAGGAACAGTACTAGCACCACTGTAAGTGCTGGATGCAGTAGTACTGTTCAATATAGCAAGGTTCCTTCACCTTCACCACCAGTGCAATCGATACATCTTCTTGACTTACCTCAAGAAATTATAGAGAAGATATTTAGCTACATAAAATTTAAGAACATCTGCCAGATGAGACTGGTAAGTCTTTACATTGTTTTGCAATATTTTCTGTGTTCATTTCATTATGTTTTTAATATTAACAATGTTTATATTATTCATTATTTAATGTGTTACAATTATAAATATTGAATTCTTGTTTCCAAAAACATTTAATCTTAGGTAAGGACGGTAAGATAAATAGTTTATTAAAACACAGTATAAACAGCAATATACACAAAAATGATATCATAAAGGTATTTGTGAATTTAAATTATAACACAATACTAATACAATACAATTACATTATACTTATTTCAGGTACCTAAACTACATTGTATCAAAAGGGTTACTGCCACTTAAATCTGTTTAAATTATTACTAACACATATTTTATATGAAACTACTTTCTTCCTCTTTTGCTTCTTTAGTTACAGCTTCTTTGTTTTCCTTTACTTCATCACATCATCTCTTTCAGGGCCTTCCTCTGCTTTTTGTCCATAGTTCGGTTTGTTACCTTCTTTAATATCATGTAGGTACACTCTGAGTAAGCGAGTAAGCTCTCCTTTACGTTGTTTAATTTGTTTTGGTGTTCTTTTTCTTCATGTACAAGCATAGTTAAAGAGAGTTATTAAGATTGAATCCCCTTCACTCTATTGTTGAACCAGAATTATTCTGTTATTTCCTTGGAATCACATTTGTTTTATTCTTTAGGCTCATTTCTAAAAGGTTTCGCATGTTTTGAAAATTACATTATTGTTGATCTTGGCTTGAAGCCATTTTGATTTCTCCTACCAGGATTGTTGTTTCTACTTTATTTAGTTTGAAAGGATTTTGGGTTTATTGCCCTGAAGTTCTTAAAGTATTCCTGGTTACTTTTTTTAATAACTACTGTTCAAAATTATCTCACCACTCAGAAATCTAGACATAAAGAATTTCTAGTGTATATAATATGTCAACTGTTATTTCTTCATAAATATTCTTGTTTTTATCACATATATTATGGTCTAATATTCATTATCTTAAGATTTATATATTTCTTATGACAGCAGAGAATTAGGGTCTTGGCACTACTTATGGCCACTTTAAGGCAAATATGCTTTTGTGGGGTCTATTTTTCAATAATATTGTAACAGAAAAAAGAAATAAAATATCATTTGCTACGTGGAAGTATGTAGTTTTCAACAGTATATGCATCTATTTTGTTAAGAGCATGTAATTATTTTTTACATTTTTTTTTTTTTTTTTTTTATAAAAGTGGAAGAAATTCTTTACTTTTGGCCATCAGTCTGCCACAAGTTCTTTACTTATTGCCACTAATTTTTAAATTGCATTTTTAAACAGTAATTTAAGTGCTAATGATTTAGAATAGGTAGGGTACAAAAAATTAAAAAAATTTGATAAAATATGAAATTTATTTTTCATGAACAACACTTCCTGAAAATGTTATAATCAATTTTCAACCTTGTTCTACTAGAGAATGCTCGGTTAACAGTCCTAAAACATCAGATATGGGAACAGTGAAAATCTCATTTTCAATATACTGCCCTCCTAAGCCAAAAAGCGGTATCTCAAAAAAAACTAATTTTTCGTTTTTTTACCGTATCAGATATCTTGAAAAAGACCGCATTAGTTGAACTAAGAAAAATAGCAAAATCTCAATCAGAACAGGAAAAAAAAATCTAAGACAAATTTACATATCTCCACTTAACTTGTATTTACTAAAAGGCTTAGGTGTATGCCATTATTACTAAGCTAAATGACTGCATATCCATTTATGACTCAAGAATTTCAAAATTAATATTGAAAAACAAGAAATAATAATTTAAAGTAATCCAGCGGTAGGTACCTAAATAATTTTTTTTCAACTCCAGGTAACAAGAAGATAACTTTTAGAAAAAGCATATTTTCTCGAAACTCACTTCAACTGAGATATACCGCTTTTTAGCTTAGGAGGGCAGTATATTCAAAAGTAGTTTTTTCTTTGTGCTTTTTAAGCACTGGATTTCCATTTCATTTTTCATAGTTTGACGTACAGTTGCAACATATTTATAGACAGGAACTAAATTGTACCTATATAAAGTCGCCTGGTTTTAATGTTTTGCCTAACTGCATAATCACTGCTGGTTTTATATGTTACTGTTGTTAGATGCCAGTGACATTTCATCTTCTTAGCTAAAAAACTGGATACCTACCCCCTCAACCCACACAATAACTGCAGTGGACATAAGTAAAATATGAGATTTTTTGGCCACCCATGTGAACATAACTCACGAATTCTTAATGTTTAATCATTACTAATGGCCACCCTGATATTTATTTTTATTTAAAAAAATATGATGTTGAAAACATAATACATTGGTATTTACCTCAGGAATGGCAAATTTTTAAAAATATCCTTAATGAATCTGATTTTTGTTTTGATGTTTACAGAAAATTCTTAGCCAAAACAACAAGTAATGCTTGCATGTATTTCACATGTTAACTATCTATTTTACTGATTTTCAATAGACTTGGTTTATTAGTTGCAAACTTGCCCAATCATGTTACCACATGATCATTTAACTCCTCTAACCACCATTTTTGTTGCTAAACGTTTATTTTTAAATCTTAAAGCAAGAAGTGGCCATAAGTAGTGCCATGGCCCTATGAAAACTATTGAATGGTGCAATAATTTTACAGTAGTTTATTAATTATATTAGGGTATATATGAAATTTATTCTGTGGATTATAGCAAATTTGTCTGGCATGAACACCTTTTATGTATCTTCATAGCCAAAATAGACTTGGCAATTTTTTGTGTGACAATTAACTCCTACTGTAATGTATATTAGCTGAATCAAGGATATATCTATCGTGTGTGGGCAAAGGAGTAGAAGTCAAAATTTTGGGTAAATTAGTTTCAGTCATCTATACTTAATGTAAAACATGGGATAAGTCAATACTTTCTATTAGGGTCGCTATTGAACTTGGACTTCATGATATAAATTACAAAAATATCTTTTTTTGGTGGGATATAACATAGATTTACGAAGTTTCTAAATTTTTGACTTATACTCCTTTGCCTACCCACGATAAGTATATCCTGAACTTTAAAGTTCATAATGACTTTAGTCAGCTACTTGCAATACATGATAAAAGGGAACCTATAACTTCAGTTGCCTTTAACTAAATTGTCTTAAGTAATCCAATAATTATTTAAAGTTGAATTTAATAGGAAGTTTTAGGGCTCCAAAAAATATCTTCAAATGAATGACATATTGACCATGTTCACCGTCGTTAAATGTGTTCTAATGATGTGTAATTGGTGACGATGAACTGTAAACCACTTCACTGCTTTTTGAATCATGATCATGATGGATAATCACAAAAGCACAAATGGAGTACCTATGTTTTTTTGCTTCAAAATCATAAAGTTGACCTTCAACCTCTGTCAATTCGGTTTTTTTAGCAGTTTGTCTCAATTTTTATTAAAAGAAATTGATATTCGTTATGAAAACATAGAGTATATGGTTCTAATTATTAATTATTTGCCTATAATTAAAGGAAAACAAATCAAGTTTAAAATTTGAGATTAATAAAACAAAATGAAAACAAAATATCATTCAGCATCAGCTCAACTGATTATGAAGCATGTTCCATCATTCTTAAAACACGTTTTACCACAGTGAACATTTTAATTATATTAGTTATAATTAGTCAGATCAGACCATGACTTTGTTTTTCAATTTCACCTTTATTTACTAATTTTGTGTAAAAGTTATTTTTTTGAAATACTTTTAAACAAAAGGGGCAGTTTTCATTTGCTATATTAATTTCTTTTACTAGTTATTGCTGGTATTGATAAATTAATTTAAAGTTAAACTTTCTAACTAATCATTCGAGAGTTGTCTCATAAACAAGGGTTTAAATAGCTGATTGTGTTTGATAAGTTATTAATAAATTTATCTAAGTGGTACTATTCAACTAATTATTAGGTTAGAAAATGTTAGAAGAAGACAGCTGCCAGATCAATACAGTATTATTTCAAAATGAACTGTATCTTAGATGAATCATAGGAAACCAAAATTAAACTAAATTTGAAGATCTTTTAGTTTTTGAACAATTTTTTCTCTCCAGTTACATATTGTAATGCTTAAGTACCTCTAGGAAAGATACCATATTCAGTAATAATTATGTTTCAAATAGGTGTGCCGTACTATAAATCGCATATGTGGACAAATTCTTAATTCAAATTTTCTACGTCTACAAAATCAAATGCTTCAAAGATTCCAAGAGATCAAGGCAAAAATGCCCAGAAGAGAATCAGCCCGCCGTAGCCACCATCTTGCCTGTGAAAGTGACATTATAGAAACTCTACACATGCGTCTTACTCTCCTACAAATGTCTTTTGGAAAGCATATTGAAAGGAAGCACTGCTGTTTTTTCCCTGGAGAGATTCTAGATGAAGTCCTTGAAATTTTGCATTATATCAAAGTCACTCCTAAATTAGATTTACCCTACAAAGTTACCGATGAAATGTTTGATTTGTCTACAATGGCTATGGAGTACTTCAAAGAAAAGATTGAACCAAACTTGCCTGAAATTGCTTATTTCAGTTCAGACTTTTTAAACTTCACAGGTAGATTTTCAAGTAAGTAAAGTAGGGGTTATGAATGTATTTTTATTATTAGTATCAGAACTAATTAATAAATTAGAGCAAGAGATGTCTTTACAATAGCTCTAGAAACATGGACAAGATTTCTCACTAGACGAATTTGTAATACTAAGTATTTCAAAATACATTGTAAGTAATCCACTAAAATTATTTTAGGTTTTCACAAATTTCAATTTGAATTTCACAATATTTTATGTATAAATAAGTTTATTAAAAAAAAATTAACAAATAATTACTCTTTTGAATTGTAAAAGAAAGAACCCTACAGTAATACAATAATATTTATTTTTATATTTATCCTAATCTGAAATTTAAGTACATCTAATCTTTTAATTCTTAATAGGTCAGTACTTCCTTTGTTAATATTTTGGCAAGCATAATCTTATATTAGAAATATCTAAATATTTTGAAATTAATATTTTTTTAAATTCTTTATATTTTGCATGGTTTTACATGTTTCTGAAATTGACATAAATGTTTGGATTATTAGCGTTTTTATTTATAAAAATAACCGTCTAGTTTTTATTTTTGAAACTAAATTTTTGATTAAATCTAAGAAATTAAGAGTTTTGTCTTACAACTTCGCAACTCGCTTTTTAACATTCTTTATGGGTCATTCTTGCATTTCTACTTGTTGCAGTGTTATTGTGTGACTTCAAACACTTGTTGAAGAACTTTTCTTGTACTCGTAGACCCAAAATAAATCATGCGTGTAGATTAGATTTGAAAGGAGTTTGGCATTATTTGTCCTTGTTCATGACTCCGTATTTTTAAAGTACGTATGCCATCTAGGTTGGTCTTTTTTATTAAAGTAACTTTGACAGTTGCTTCTGCATGTACTTAGATGCTTCCGACTTTTCTTCGCCTAATGTTATAAACCTCAATCTAGCCAGGCCTTCACACTGGCACAAGACGTGGATTGATGTCCCCTCTTCTTCTACACAGAGCCTGCATAATGCTGCTTCTTCTGAATTGATGACACTCACTTCTTAGGTAACACTGTCCAGTAAGAAAACCTACTATTATCCTAACGATTTGTCCTTTTTGATCCAGAAGGTCTTTCATGAACTTTGTCGACGGTTCCTTAATAAACTATTTGGGCTGTCTCGAGCCTGGATCGTTAATCCACCATTCTTGGTGAATGCCTTGCACAATGACTTAGCAACTCCACAGAAGGGTTCAGGGCCTGTCATGTCCTTACCTGAGCCTTCCCGAGCTTCTTCGGTCTTTTCATTGCCCTGATATCTATCCTTCATGGCCTGTTTTGACTACTTAGTTCTGTTAGGTCTTTTAGGCAGTCTTTCATCAGTCGCGATTTGATTTCTTTCGAGAGAATTGGCTTTAGAGCTGCTTGATATCCTTCATGTAAGTAATGATGCCAAATTATGTTATAGGTCTCAAGTTGACTGCTGTGTAAGTCAGTCATAATGACTGACACCTATGGTGCCATGCTTGCTAGGATGGTCATTTATACAGGCATCTCACTATTTCTTTTAAACTCACGGATTATGCCCTTGATCACATTTAACGAGTGTTTTCTAATAGCAAATGACTGACGTGGCCTGTTTTAACGATTTGTACTTAGAAATTTTCAAAAATAAATTAAAGGCATTTAAAAAATGGATTAATACAAAAATAACTAAACGTCTTTATTTTTCAACATAAAAGATTGCATAGAATTATTACATTATTAAGAACTTAGAATGACTAATACAATATTATTTCAGTATTAAAATATATTAAATTGCATAAAAATGGTGTTCCTTTGCAGTCATTATGTAAGTGTACTTGTATTAACTTCAATTTTTGCAATATTTTCTAATTTTGTAGCTAAAGTTAATTCTCTTTTTTGAATATTACTTACACCCAATCTTTTTTTTTGTCCTTATACATTATAAAATGCATTTGGCCTGTGGGAATAATTGTTAAATTTAGGACCCATAATTATGTGGGTATTATGACTTTTTTAAATATGAGTAATTAACAAATCACATAAACTGTGAGAATAAATTAAATAAAGGTTGTGTTTAAGATAGAACGATTATTTTTATATAAAAACTATTAAATTACAATGTTTTAGTTAATTTTTCTATTTTATGTCAACTATAGAACATGCTACATGTTGAAACAAGAATCTCTAATTCAATTGTGTGAATGTGTGTATTAGTAGAAAATTTACTTAGATATTATGCAATGTAAAAGGTAAATTTAATGTAAGAAATGTCTTACATAAATAAAACCTTTTATATTTGGATCTGCATTTAAATAAATAATATCTCTTGCCTGTAGATTCATCTGCACTTCTTTCGGAGACGTCGAAAGACAGCGGCCATGCCTCCACAGATGAACTAGAAAGTGGAGAAGACATGGTTGAAACCATCCCACAATCAAATATGGTGTTGCGAAAGCGCATCCGTAAAATTAAACAAGGCATGAAACGTTACAACAGTCAATTGAGTCTGTTGCGCCAGGATCTGCGATCCTGCAAGAAAAAGACTTCTGATCAACAGAAACAGATTTCTGAACAACAGAAGCAACTCGCAGATCAACAAAAACAAACTTTAGAATATGCTACTCGCTTAGATGAATATGATAAGAAGAACGAGGAAATTTCTCGAAAATTTAGTAAGTCCAATTTGGTTATAATGTGTCTTCCTTTTTCAGGTATAATGTCTGAATTGTATATTTCAGGTACTTTATTACAAGAATTGAACAAATGCAAAACTGAGTTGCAATACTGGCGATGTAGGTCTCCAGCTACTCCAGCTGTATGCAATAATTGTGGAAACGCCATTGTTCCTCAACCAGAAGAAATTCAGGCCCTTATGAATCAAGGCGTCAATCCAGAAGGTTTAGGTGAGTACTGTTATAAATCATGCATTTTGTATTTTTTTTTTTAAATGCTTGTAACTTAAATGTAATTTTTAATTGATCTAATATTACATGATAATCAAAGCACCAGAAGGAAAATGATAACATGTACTAATATACAGGGTCTTATTGAAATACATGTAGATATTTAAATATACTCAATTGTAAAGATTTACCATTAATGTTCAAGATCTGGGATGATATTCTTGAGTAGAAAACGCTGGAAATTAATTTTTGATACATTAAATGTCAGACAATATCTCTACAATATTTATTAAACTCAAACGATACGTTATTGCTGCTTTACACAAATTGGTGATCCGCCATAAGAATATTTGTATCATCAATATATTGATAATATAACAGCTGTGATACAAAATTTATTGATATCACTTATAAATATGATAAAAAATACTGGCCCACATATTAAATGTGTTACTCCCATTATACATTTGGGAGAAGTTGATGTCTTGTTATCACTTATTACTACTTGTGTTGTATTTGAAAAATAAGATAAGCCCAACCATAAGGTTTTCCATGTATTCCATATTTTCATTTTAAATAACAAGAGTTTATGATCCACAGTGTCAGATGCACGGCTCGGATTATATAAAAGTACCAAAGTATTTTTCTTATCATTTAATGCACTATAGATAAAGTACAAACCTTTGCAGTAGATTTTTTACTAAGGAATCCATTTTGAATGGCTGGCAACAATAAGTGTTCAAGATAATTTATTAGTCTTAGAGGATATGCTGATTCAAATATTGTTAGTAATAAAATCCCAACGAATAAGATGGCTTAGTCACATATCAAGATTATCAGAGAACAGAATTGCAAAATGAGCACTGTTTAGAGGCACTACTGACAAAAAAAGAAAACAAGCAAGACCAAGAAGAAAATTGATAGATGCAGTGGAAAGCATCTTAATTGTGTGAAAGTGACAAGAGGAAGGGATAGACAAGAATAAGTGGCCAAAAATTGTCACCCAAGCCCTAGGCCTCCCAGACCTGTAGTGTTGATTATATCAAATGGGTACATAATTGATGAATGTATAAAATCCTTATTCGGTTTAAATTTTTGGTGGTTAATTCTGGCTAAAGATAAACTGGTAAATATAACCCAAAAGAGGATTATAGTATTATTAAATAAATTATAGTATTCTAATATAAAGTATATAAATTAGAACAGAAGTAAAAGTTGGAAATGCTTTTGCCAGTTCTCCCACTTTATACACATAAATTGACAGGTTGGCAGCGGATTTCACCGAAGTGGACGCGATACATTGGCGTACAAAATTATTTTATAGATGTTAATAACAATTTCGAGTAAATAGTTTAATAAATTGTGAATAGCTGTTGAAATTTTGTAAAATTATAATTTGAATATTATAATACATGTTTAATAATTATTTATAATCCATAAATACATGCGATTGTCCGGTTCCGCTGATAACAATTTAAAATTACTTATTCTATGAAACGACACTGGCAGGTAAACATTACTGTGAAATTCTCGGAGCCGCCCGACGTGGTTTGACGTTTACCCCCTCTCTACCTACCAAAAGACTTTTCAACTTTTACTTTCTCTATATAAACCAACAATTATATCAAGTAGTTTCAAGTTTCTTTAATACTGGTATGCAGCTACCTGTCAACGCAGCTACTCATACTTTATAAAATTTTATAAGGTTTATTTCCATCTATTTCCTCCTGTGTAAATTTAAAAACTGACTGTATAATTTTACGAACTTCTGCACTAAGAACGCGATTTTTACAGCACCTATATTTGGCAACGTCTAAAAATTTACAACTTCGATTATAATCTGTTAAGATACAAGTGATCACCTCGAAAAAACCGAAACGAACTGAGCTGCGCTTTTATATTCACTGTGCATATGACCTTGGCGGCTTCAGCTATATCTGTTGTGCTACAATTAAAAAATATTTGATAAATTTCTTAAAAATTCCCTAAGGTTCAATATGACCCTGTATTTGATAGATAGTATTATTCTGATGCTACATTATTAAATAAAATTTCAGGTTTATTTTATAAGAATTCGCGATATAATTGTTATTCACACTTAGGAATAGAGCCAGCTTCTGACTTAGTACACCTGGAAACTGTGGAAACGTCCAAACCAGTTGACGAAGATCAGAAAGCATGTGAAAAAAAGATGATCATGTTGGACCAGCCAAGCACTTCAGTGGAATCACATCCCGTGAAGGCAAAACGAAAAGTAGACGAAGAAAAAGATGAACAACCTAAAAAGAAAACGCGGCGATTCGCTAAGATACGCAACAAGCGCAGTGCGAAGGTTTAAATATGTTTCTTTTTTGGACTTTTTCATTCGAGGGCATACAATTTACAAAATATGCTTCATTATCGTAGTTGATGTGTAGCAGACCAGTTGTGAAATAGATTAGAAGAGTTATTAGAGGTTAGGGTAAGTGAACAATTATTGCTTAAAGGACGTAAGAAGAGGGTATTACTTAATCAAAACTTTTCTAATACGCACATTGTATAAATCAAAAAGTTTGTAGCGGTTTTTATAAATTAGTTGCGGTAATAATATAGGATCTTAACTTATAATATTAATTTTCATACAATATAGGCTTATTTATTACTTTTAAGAATTAAACATTTTGAATTGGCAAGTTGTACATTTGGATAAGGGATATTACTTTAGATTATGCAAATCTGCCAAGATTTTACAAAAGCAGTTTTGCTAATTCCTAAATTGATCTCAAAAGTTGACAATTTTTAAACAAATTTAACATTTTTGTATGCTTGAAAAGTTTTATTTCCGAAACTGAATTTAACATATAGACTGAACAGTGAACATTATTAAAAAATTAAAATGTTACAAACGATTGGCTGGTACAAAAGACAAACCAAATATACTTAATCACAGCTTCCATACAGTCTTTAGAATTAGTTCTTATTTACGTCCATTGACATTCTGTGAAACGACCCTACAAACATCCGACTCTGCCCTAAAGGATCACTTACTTCTTTAAGCTCTTATTGTTATGTGAAGTAGGGATTTTGAATTAAAAAAAAAAAAACATCGGGAGACTGGTTATACTATGGAAATTTTGCCCCATTCCATCCTTCCTCTCATTTTTATAGTTGTAGCTTTACCTTCACGCACTGCAAACTCTTCAAAAACCACCTTTAAAAAGTGACAAATGGATATTCTATTTTAAAAATTTGGGGAGGTACTGTGAAGTTGATAAAAGAAACAGGGCCCCTTTACAAATATTGAACACAAAGTGATAAGGAAAACAATGAGCAATGTAGTAAAAATACTTCATTGTTATTAAATCTGACCGACCAACCTATTTCTAGCAGATTTCTTAGTTTTGTTGAACATTTGAGGAAGCTCTGTCTGAAAGGAATGATTTTTTTTAGTTTTAGTTAAGTAACCACATTATATTTATTTGTATGACCAATTTTATATTGTACATAATTTTTTTAGCTGTTATTATCCAACAGTATTTATATGAAATTTTTAAAATTACTAATCCATCAATATTAGGATTTCGATTTATTATTTTATCTAATTTTGTAATCTTTCATCAACTTATTGCTTTAAAATTTTGTATCCCCCAAATTTAGGATATTAGAATATTGTCACAGTCGACGTAGAAAGTACAATAATAAATAATCAGCTTTAAGAAAATATTGCAATCACTGTCTATTGTATATTGTCTGTATCCGTTGTTATTTTGTGCAAAGAAATTTTCGGGAATGTCCTGTTATGATGAGAGACTATAAGTGAGATTTTAATGTTTTTTAAAATAGCAACGGATATGTCTCAAGTGTCCATATTTTTGTAGCCAACACAAAACGATGTGTCTAGACACAAAATATGTTATTTCATTCGATTTTTACAATTTTTTTGTTGTAAATTAGTTTGTCAAGCAATATTTCCAAAAAATATGTATATACCTTCCCATTATTCCAGGTAATGTAATGTCGCTAGACCTCTCTTTGTTAATGTTAAACCTATAAATAAATCTATAAAACTATAAATACGAGGGGGATAAAAAACAGGATGTAATTCTTAGGTTTAAACTATCTAGGTCCGTTTTTTTAATAAGTTATTGACATAATATCTAAGTCCTATTTAATACTATCTAATGTCCTAAGAAGCCGTATGGGGAAGAAAACTTGCCTAGAATTGTCTGCGTTATATGGCAATAAAACTTTCAAATGCATAATACTCAAAACCAATAGAAAATAATTTATTGACTTGTGTCATAGTCAGTTTGATGAAATACACTCGTTGAGGGGTTTTTCATTTTTAAAAACAGTTTTTAATCTGAAACAAGAAAATCTCACGGATTGAAAACTGGTGAAATATAGGGCATGGAGATATTGGATAACAACCTTCATATGAACACTCCTCTATCACGTGATAAAAAATTAACAACATCTCATATGCATCCGATGTGGGATTCTCCAATCAAGAGAAAACATTTTGATTTTAGTTCTAGAGTGGATACAAGAATAACTGCATAATTTAACGTTCATTATAAAACATATTTTTCTGTTTGGGTTTTTGTTTCATCATTCCTACATTTGGATACGCCTATGAAACTCGTTTATAAATTTGTCGACGTAAACACGAGATCGTAATGTTGCGGCGTAGATTGTACTTCGAACAACTCTACCAATTAAAAACACTAATATCAAATCTTCCAATAAAAGCTGGTACGTCCTCTAGAAAATAATTAATTAGTTTTGTGTTCCCCTCGTATATATCATGCTACAGCCATATCTATAAAGACATTTATAAAATGTAAATATGGAATTAGGTGTTAACGTTATTTTTTGAAAGTATTGCTTCCACTAAAAAATGATAAATTCAGTACCTAATTTAGTTGTAATATAAACTTGTGTTTTTACGGTTATAACCATATAGACTAAGTGAATTTATAGTTTATTTCATATATATGTTAAATTGAATTTTATTATTAATTTTTTTGTTAGATTTAAAAAAAAATAATTCAGCTAATTTGGACTCACAAATTCACATTGGTAACGTAATTTTTCTCATAATCTTATAGTCAAAAACGCAACTTATCCGATCCCAATTTTCTAAAAAAGAATAGATTTGACATTCTAATTTTTTTTACATAATATATATAAATATTTTTGTGGGAAAAATTACCATTTTAATTTAATTTGAATGAAGTGTCCTTTTGTTTATTTTTAATAACTAGTATAGGAGTGATAGTAACTATATAAAAAAATTAAAATTTTTGTCTATTTTCAAATTTATTGTACTATGTACTCTATATTTTATTTACTTAATAAATTATTTGTGTGAATTGTACGTTTTAATTTCCTCTTTATATTATCTTTCTATCCGGCTTTAGAAATTACTTGAGAATAAACGAAAAAAGCCATATAAGAAAAATCTTGAATCCTCTTACACGAATTACTACAATTTTCGTAAAGCAAATTTTCCGCTTTTGTAAGAAATGTTATCTACTGTGAATTGGGATTTTTGGAAGTTTTCTATGATGCCGAAAATGCCTGCACGTACTTTTATGGTAAATTATACAATATATTAGATCAGTGTATACCTAAATACACTGTAAGTAATAAAAGAAAATATACTCCGTGGTTTAATGGTTCTATTATTAAGAAACTTCAGAAAAAGTCTAAACTTCATCGCTTATATCAGAATGAGAATAATATTCAAGCTCTTCAAGAATTTAAGTTCATCAGAGCTGAAATTAAAACTTGTGAATCTGAAGCTTATAAAAATTACATAGCAAATCTTGAATCTGAAATCTCAGCAAATTCAAATAAATTTTGGGCATATGTTAATAATAAACAATGCCAAGGTAAAGTTGCAAGCACCATGAGTTTTGAAAATAAAACATTAAATAATCCAACAGAAATAGTAGAAAGCTTTGCAGAATATTTTTGACAATCTTATGTCGCTTCCAAGGGTTCAAACATTAAAGGACGTCTAGCCATCTCAGCTTCATATACCGTCAAGTTGGGTGACTTGAGACAGTTTCAAAATTGAAAGGACTGTAAAATTGTATTCCAGCAAATTAAAATTATGAAACAAGGACACATTTTTGAGTCTACATACATTCTTCAAAATTCAATAATAAAAATGACCTAAAATTTATCAGAAAATATTTTTTTTTGTTTTTTTGGGTGTCTCAAGTCAGCTTCACAGGGGCGGTGACTTGAGACAGTAATTTGTTTTCATTATAAACTCAAGACGGACCGTCAATTTGCGGACTTGAGACATTAATAGTCTTTAAAAACGTAATAGAACATATTATTTCATAAACACAACTCTTATTTGGAAAAATATAATTATTTTAAACATTTTACATTTTTAATACAAAACTAAAGTTTTAATTCTTAAAAAATAAGTAGGAACTTGAAAAACTTTGGTAGAAACTAATCTAAATAAAACATAACTCTTAAAAAACAAATAAAAAACTCATTTTAACGAAAAAAAAAAATGTTTTAAACAATTGTGCCAGGTTTTTAAAGTTCAATATAAAAAGTAAATCTTCCTCGTCGAACAAACACAGGAACCAGCTTTGACAGAATTTGATTTTTATTAATATCTGTGACGTCCTCAATATCTGGAAATACGTAAATATTTTTTCCTTGTGGTGATTTGCGCATAAATTTACACAAAACTAAATCCGGCTTTAGTTCAATAATTTGTCCAATGAATTTCTTCAAAATAGCTGGCTTATGGGGAGCCTCATATGAAAATTGCACCAAAATAAAGTCATCAACTTTTATATCCGAAGGATCAACCATATCCACGTCTTCTTCAACCCCTTGCAAACTTACTTCCAGCTCGTCAAAATATTTATTTATTACCTCCCTGTTAACACTTGCCCGTGCCCGTTTTATATTTTCACACCAGCGTTGTGAGAGTATATCCTTATGCCTTTCAATGAACTTTCTCATAAATTCTCTTCCTGGCAAATTCTTTTTAAATTTTGATACCTGTCTACCAGAACTATCTAAATATGACTTAATCAAGTACCTTACATCAATAGATGTTAGTGGAAACCCCCAGACACTGGCTAACTGAATGTTATCCACCATCTTCTTTTCTTCCTCTGACGTGAAAACAGTTTGTCCACCTGCCTTTTTCATATGACGTCCTTTTGCTCTTCGATCTATCGTATCCTTTGAAATACCATATTTCCTTTGAAGTTTTCTCAATGAAACACCTCTATTTCTTTCAGCTACTGCAAGTTCTAAATCTTTTTCGTCATATCTTCTATAGTTGGCGCCTACTTTTTTTTTGTATCGACCCATTCTTGTAAATACCTGCAAAATGAACACGTATTATTTAATTAGGGTGACTTGAGACATGTCTCAAATTACCCCTGGGGTGACTTGATACACGTCTCAACTCGCCCCTATAAATCCCATTTTTTATTTTCTTATATAAATCAAAAAAACTGTTTATGTTAACAAAAATGTATATATCAATAATTACTTCCCATATACACTAACATCAATGTAAAATATGACCATTCCCATAAATTTGTCAGTTTGGACTACATACATAAAGTTTTTTAACATACCTATAAATCCCACAAACCCTATTCTTACAATAAAATACTAAAACCGCACTTACCTTCTTAATTAACCAGCAAAAACTATAAAAACAACTTGCATAGACTTGTCGTGAATGAATACCGCGTGGAAAATGAATTCCAGTACAATCTGCGGTGTTGCCAACCCTTCTCATAAATACCTAAAGTTTTGTCTCAAGTCACCAGGCAGTCTCAAGTCACCCAACTTGACGGTAACTCATTTTTCTGAAACCCAGGACAAGGATGCTTTAAAAAACATTAAACCTAAACGTACTACAGGACCGGATCATATTCCTGCGTTCATTTTAAAAGATTGTTCAGCAGTATTAGTTCGCCCTCTATTTTGATAAATATCTGCCTTAAATCCAATACAATTCCTTCTATTGCCGCGTTTGAGAATCCTCATCGGATGCATTTTTTACATCTCGAGCGTTTTTTTATCCACATCGGACACATCTGTCCCATTACATTTACGTATACTGAATCACGTGATCAAAGATTTACTACATCTCGGATGCATCCGATGTGGATTCTCAAACGCGGCATATATAGAAATGTTCTAAAGTTTGCCCAATTTTTAAAAAAGGTGAACGTACTGATATCAAAAATTATAGGCCAATTTCTATCGTTTGCAATTTTTGCAAAATTCTAGAAATATTACTGGAACGTAGTATTTATCAACACGTTTGTAACGCAATCTCAGCTCAGCAACATGGTTTTGTTAAAGGACGTTCCACAGTAACAAATCTTCCTGTGATCACACAGCAAATAGCTGAAAATATTGATAATCGGGTCCAAACTGACGTCATCTATCTTTCTCAAAGAACACAATATGTTCAATTAAATGGATTCAAGTCTAACAGATATTGCGCCACCTCTGGTATACCGCAAGGTTCAAATTTGGGTCCGCTGTTATTTAATATTTTTATCAACGACATTGGTGACGCTATAAATGTTGATTGTTTGGTGTATGCTAATGACTTAAAAATATATTCAGCTATTGAAAATATTTCTGACTGTGAACGGTTGTCGGAAAATTTGAACAAAGTTGTTAAATGGTGCAACAAAAATGGCCTTACACTGAATCCCGTCAAATGTAACGTAATGTCATACACATTAAAAGCACATCCAATTATATTCGATTATGTCCTTAATGGACGTTTGCTTTCTAGACCCAACAATTTTATGGATTTAGGGGTTACATTTGACCCAGTATTGTCGTTTAAATACCACATAGATAACATTTCAACAGCAGCAAATCGTATTTATGGATTCATAGTACGAGTGGGCTGTGATTTTAAAAACACATATACTATTAAATCATTGTATTTCTCATTTGTTCGATCTAAACTCGAATATGCCTCGTTTATTTGGGATCCTCATTATCAAATACACATTTGTCGGATAGAGTCCACACAAAGGCGTTTCCTTAAATACTTAAATTTTCGGGCAGATCAAATTTATCCACCGATTGGTATTACTCAAAATGCTTTACTGACTAGACACAGATTGACAAGTCTCGACGGAAGTACTTCTCCATAATTACCCTCTACAAGGTTGTTAATTTAAAAAAAAATTATGAAGCTCTTTTCATATGCTTAATTTTAGAATCCCCCGCGCAACCTCTCAAAACACGAATCATTTTACATAGCAACTCCTCGAACAAACGTTCTGAAGTTTTCGCCTGTATATAACATGTGTAATAATTTATTATAATAATAGTGAACAGTTGGATATATTTAACTGCAGTGTTAAAAACATAAAAACACATTGTTTAAAATAATTTAGAATTGATTTACTGTAATTTTAGTTTAATTATCTATATGCTTTTTGTTAAACATGTTTTCTTCCAAATGTACTCCTGTTTTGTAATTGGGTTTAACCTGTTGAACAATGTATAAATAAATAAATCTTCAATTAAAACAAAGCTATAAATAAAATAATTTTATTTGTTACATAATGTTCAACTAGGGACAGTTCTAGAAGTACTATATTTTGTCCTTATTACATTTATTTTGCACATAAAATGGGTACCACCCCAACTATTAACAGCATTTTTTTTTATAACAAAAATAAAATAATTTTAAAACTAACATACAAGCAATCTGCTTTTGTCAAAAAAAATAGCTGTGAATATAAATTTCAGTACTTTATAATTAAGGTTTATTATAATACAATAAATATTAACTTTTCATCTTTCAACAATAATAAATACAATATGTATATTGACTTTTTAGCAACACAACTCACTTGATATAAAAAAAAATCTCATAAAGGCCACTAATAGTTTGTTTAAAAATATTAAGACATGTACAAAATATAAATTGTATAAAATATAATTCTAATTGGCATACATTTTCATTGTCATCAATGTAAAAATATAAAGTTACCACAGCTTTTTGAACACTATATGGTAGTTCTTAAGACTAGAATCGAAAAAAAAAAAACATTTTTGTATTGAATATTTTTTTATGCACTTTCTACCACCATATTGCTGGAACATTTTGGACAATTTACTGTAGGTTGATCCAAAAGTGCATTCTTGCTTCTTTGAAATACTTCAGAGCATTTCATACATTGATAAGTTAAATTTTTTTCCTCAGTCTTTGACACACTACCTATTTTATTCTTAATTGATTCATAGAAAGTATCTATTTCTCCTGGGCTCAATTCATAAATTCTTTGTTTCCTGTCTCTTCTCAATGTATCAAACTCAAGTTTGATTACATTCTCATCCTCTTCCTTTTTTTCACAAGAGACTACAGTGTTTATATGCCACCTTGCTCTTTCTTTACTAGTAGAAACATCTCTTTCAGATATGTGACTGTCTGTAATTACAACAAATACCTGGCTCCCATCTCCACAATTATTTGCAAGAAACATACAGTCTTCGCCTCCTGAAAATACATCTTCACCATCTGAGGCATCTGATACATCAAGGTCAGGTTGGCCATTGGTACTAAAAACAATCCCTTCATCTTCTGCTGTGCAAAACGCTTCAGTCTTAGGAGATGCTTCACTAGTTCTGGAAATATTATCAGCAGTTTTGAACTCACTGTTTTGGGTGATTTCTAAAATACCAGGATCAGAAATGCACATGCCGACAATTCCCGACTCAAGTGGAGTAGAAGACAATATTAAACTTTTATCAAAGCCTAAGACATCTTGCACCATAAGTCCAGAATCTTTATACAGCCACGATTCTCCATATTCTCTTCTAAGTTGTTCCACTTGCCTTTTGATCTCTAAATGTTGAGAAGGTGTAGGCGGTGTTGAAATAGGTTGTACTTCTTTAACTGTATTGACATCTTCTATGGTAACATAGCGGATTTTTTTGGGCTTTTCTTGAGCACAATTCACTGACTCCAGTGAATTGGTTGAAGAAGAAGACGTTTGAACTGTTTGTGATATGGGATATAGAGATCCAGTCAGACTTTTTTCATTTTTATTTAAAATTATACCATCCATCAAAAATTTGACTGTTTTAGCATTTTTGTTCAAGTAATTACAAGTTACTTGACGATGTTGAGGATGAAAACTCAGTGGATTACCCTGCAAGTTTAACCACTGAAGTGAAACTAAATGAGATATTGATAGCAATAATTTGTGATCCAACAAGCAATTGTGCCCTAAATCCAGCTGTAGTAAATTAGACAAAGATGTTAAGCCATTAAGATCTTCAATAAAATTATTATTTAACACCAAAACTTGTAACCTATTTCTAATTTGACCTTTAAAATATGGTGCAGCATCTAATTTATTATAGGAAAGATTCAAGTGTTTTAAATTAGGCAAGAGATTAATAAAATTTGCCTTATTAAGATTATTATGACTTAAATCTAAAGTATGTAAAGAAAGAGTACATTCAAAACTATTATCTATTTCTATAATTTCATTGTAAGCCATATTAGCAGTCCTTAGTTCATTCCAACTGTATGGTTGGCTTTTATCTCCACCACACTTCTCCAAAACATCACTTGTAGTCTTTAAATTTCTGCAACATATTAGTTCTTGAATTTGAGATCTGAGCTTCTGAAGACCAACAACAACTTGAATATCCAATTTTATTATTTCTAATATTTTTATATTCTTAAATTTCGTAATATCTACTGTATTATATTCAACAGTTTCATCAGGAATAATTTTTAAACTTACAGTTTTCTGTATTAAATCCAATAAAAATTGGATATCTTTAATAAAATTTGCCTTTGTATTGCTTGTTTGAACAATTTGGAAAGAACTAACACCCTCATCTAAGTTTGCATCTATGGCAGTATTTAACTTGTTCAAATAATTTGCAGATAAACATAGTTTACCTTTACCATTAAATATATCACGACTGGAAGGTCTCAAAATATTTGCAAGGTAAGAAATATCTGACTCCATAATTCACATATTTACATAAAATTTTAGAATGGAAAATGGAATCAAAAATTAAAATGTCACTGTCATCATAACGTCAAAAACACAGGACACAGACCTGTCAAAAATTTAACCTTTCAAATTTCAATCCTAGAACCACAGAACACCTAGGCCCGTATTTATCAATGAACTGGAGTGGGGACAGTGGGGACTTGATGTGCGACTCTATGGGCGAAGATAGGTTATTTTTTATCTCACTCGGGAGTATTTAAAATAGCCAGTTTCTATTTCACATTGTTATTGTCTGATCCACCAGCTTGTGGATTGAACAATAACAATGTGAAACAGAAAATGGTTATTATAAATAGTCCCGAGTGAGATGAACCATAGATGAACAATAAAAATGGCTGCGCCCATCGAGTCGCACCTTGTTCTAATAGTACAACATGTACATTGGCATTCTACTCCCCTCCAGTTCATTGGTATTTATAAACAAAACTCAGCTGAGTCGGACTCACTAGAGGTTCCACGTGAATGACCAAGGTCAAAACCGACAACTGACATTTTTTATGCTATTTGCTCCAAACTCTAGATGGGGCTACTGGTGAAATTATGATTTCTTACTCCATTTTTAAGCCTTATGGGAGAAAAACTTAACCAAAGACTCCAAAGATGTGACGTGTATTTATTTATGTTCTTGGTTAGTTTCATTTTTCCGTCTGATTTTAGTGATTTTTTGTTGGCTTTGGCTTTTGGTTTCTGTTTATAGTTTCGTCTTAGTTATTTGCAAAATTGTGATGTTTCGCTTTTTTATTTCCTACTGTGTTTTGCAATAATTTTGGTGCTACGTTGAAAACTTCGAGAAAAACTTCATTGATTCACCATGCATCTGCATCATAAAAAGACAAACGGGGATAACAACTAATTGATAATCAATTTATCACTGGACTAGATTCCGAAATCATTTTTGACATAAGGGAGTAATACCACCATCTGTATTTGGATGGAAAATACCTATTTATCATTGAATGAATAGTTAGAAGGATTCACCTTTTAATACAATACCTATATTACATTTGTCCTCAGTTAAAAGACATTTATAAAATATATAACTTTAGTGTTAATAAAATGTAATATCCTAGTCTCTACTTCACATTTAAATTATTGATAGGTATTTTAAAGATTTGAGATTATATATATTTGCTCCAAGTAAGTATTCGTTAAATATGTATTATTATTTGTATTTATTTTTATCTAATAATATTTAAGTTATTAATAAACATATTTTAAGAATGTTCTATTTTATTATTTATAGATATATCTTATATTTATTTAATAAAAATATGCAGAACCAACTCTCCACATTAGACCCCTTATAACAAATTAATTCTTCAAATTTGGTATAATCGACCTAAATTATTTTGTAAAACAAAAGTTTCGAACTTACTAGTTCCATACTTTATTTTATAAAATAATTTATGTGGAAATCATTTAAAATTTAATTTAAAACTACTACCTAATCCTAAAAATTACAATTTGAATTTACCGCCATCTGTCAATTGTCATTTTAGTTCCAGCTCCAAACACAAGGTGGCGCTAATTTGGTTTAAAAGTTTAACATTGGCGTGGGGTCTCTAGAAGATACATGCTTTGTGGTCGGACTTGGGTAAGTCGTCCTTGAACTAAAATCGAAGTTCGATTATATCGCGTGAATTTAGAGATGGGAAGTAACAAATCCGTAAATGTATATAACAGTTACAGATTTGCTAATATCCATCTCTAAATTCCAGTGTAACACCAGAACCACCTGGAACTTTAAAGACGTTGTAACCGAACTTCGATTTTAGTTCAAGGACGACTTACCCAAGTCCGACTAACGTAAGTTCTGTTTATAAATACGGGCCCAACTCTCCTAGAACAGAGAGTTCATAGAATAACCTAAAACTTACAGACTATTCGGCCATCTCCCAAAAAACATAAAGGCCACCGACCATTAAACTGGATGGCGGATGGCATAAATCACATTAGTAATCTATGCATAAACCACAAAGCATAAACCCTACTCCTAATTTCTAAGGTCCGTATTTATAAACAAAACTCAGCTGAGTCGGACTTGCGTAAGTCGTCCCTTGAACGAAAATCGAAGTTCGGTTATATCGCCTGAATTTAGAGTTGGGTAGTAACAAATCCGTAAATGTACGTAACAGTTACAGATTTTCTAATATCCATCTCTAAATTCTGGTCTAACACCAGAACCACCTAGAACTTTAGAGGCGTTGTAACCGAACTTCGATATTAGTTCAAGGACGACTTACCCAAGTCCGACTCAGGTGAGTTTTGTTTATAAATACGGACCTAAGTCTACAAGGGTCAAAAAAACGGTCGGTGCTCATGACCATTTGGACGCCAGACTGTCAATTTCGAGCATTCTCATGATCCACATCACATACTTTGATACTATACGAGGCAAGAGAGAGGTCCGACACACCCAACATAGGGCGCGGCCATTTTGAACCCTGTGACACAGTTTACAGCTAAAGAATCAGATCGCTCACTCTGCGTCGGCACTTTGGATCTCAATGTTTCAGTTTATACACTGTGCAACTCAAATAATACAATATATGACAACCGCCTGTAATAAAACAGCAGTCTTCTGCGTATCCTGAATTTATATCCCTGGAGTGAATGTTATTTTGGAACTTTCAACTGGTCCGAGTGAGCTAACTGATTCTTTAGCAATAAACTGTGACTTCAAAAATAATATTCACTGACACTGACAGCAGCAAGCAAAATATCAGGTGCGTTTTAATCATCCGCTTCTGCTTCCGGAATTGTCGGTTTAGTCGTTTTAACCTGTCAGATTAAAACAAGAAAACTGACAATTCCGAAGCAGAAGCGGATGATTAAAACGCACCTATTAAAAATATTGCGCCAAGCTGTAGGCAACACGTAATAAGGGTTCAAAATGGCGGAGTTTTCTATCTCCTTTTAAAAGGCACTCAGAAAGCTGCGCAGTGCGACCATTCTCCGTATAGTAAAAGAAAATCAAAGTATGTGATCCACATACGTTGATTTTCTTTTACTATACGGAGAATGGTCGCAATCTTTCCTCCATGGGTCGCACAGCGCAGCTTTCTGATTGCCTTTTAAAAGGAGATAGAAAACTCCGCCATTTTGAACCCTTATTACGTGTTGCCTACATCTTGGCGCAATATTTTTAATAGGTGCGTTTTAATCATCCGCTTCTGCTTCGGAATTGTCGGTTTTTTTGTTTTAATCTGACAGGTTAAAACGACTAAACCGACAATTCCGGAAGCAGAAGCGGATGATTAAAACGCATCTGATATTTTGCTTGCTGCTGTCAGTGTCAGTGAATATTATTTTTGAAGTCACAGTTAGTTTATTGCTAAAGAATCAGTTAGCTCAATCGGACCAGTTGAAAGTTCCAAAATAACATCCACTCCAGGGATACAAATTCAGGATACGCAGAAGACTGCTGTTTTATTATAGGCGGTTGTCATATATTGTATTATCCGAGTTGCACAGTGTATAAACTGAAACATTGAGATCCAGAGTGCCGACGCAGAGTGAGCGATCTGATTCTTTAGATGTAAACTGTGTCACAGGGTTCAAAATGGCCGCGCCCTATGTTGGGCGTGTCGGACCTCTCTCTTGCCTCGTATAGTAATCAAAGTATGTGTCATGATCGAATTAGGCATTCCAACGACCTGTCAAACAATAGGTGCCAGTGGGAAATTCTTGTATATCTAAGGGGGTAGCGACATAATCTTGCAACTTGGACGCTATTTTTATTCGAAGTAGTAGTCGCCAAGCCTGCCAATTTATGAAGAAATGTATAGGTGGGTTTTTAAATATTATTTTTATTGTGTTTGACATAAAATATTTAAATGTTATCCATTATTCATGATTTTACGTAAAGTAGATAGAATACACCGTATGTCGCCACCCTTAGATATACCAAACCTTCCCACTGGCAATTCATTTGTTTGGAATGCCTAATAATTTTTTTCTCTTATTAGGCATTCCAAACAAATGAATTACCAGTGGGCAGGTTTGGTATATCTAAGGGTGGCGACATATGGTGTATTCTATCTACTTTACGTAAAATCATGAATAATGAATTACATTTAAATATTTTATGTCAAACACAATACAAATAATATTTAAAAAACCCACCTATACATTTCTTCATAAATTGGCAGGCTTGGCGAGTACTACTTCGAATAAAAATAGTGTCCAAGTTGCAAGACTATGTCGCTACCCCCTTAAATATACAAGAATTTCCCACTGGCACCTATTAGGCATTCCAAACAAATGAATTACCAGTGGGCAGGTTTGGTATATCTAAGGGTGGCGACATATGGTGTATTCTATCTACTTTACGTAAAATCATGAATAATGGATTACATTTAAATATTTTATGTCAAACACAATAAAAATAATATTTAAAAAACCCACCTATACATTTCTTCATAAATTGGTAGGCTTGGCGAGTACTACTTCGAATAAAAATATCGTCCAAGTTTCAAGACTATGTCGCTACCCCCTTAAATATACAAGAATTTCCCACTGGCACCTATTGTTTGACAGGTCGTTGGAATGCCTAATTAGGCATTCCAAACAAATGAATTACCAGTGGGCAGCTTTGGTATATCTAAGGGTGGCGACATATCGTGTATTCTATCTACTTTACGTAAAATCATGAATAATGGATTACATTTAAATATTTTATGTCAAACACAATAAAAATAATATTTCAAAAACCCACCTATACATTTCTTCATAAATTGGCAGGCTTGGAGAGTACTACTTCGAATAAAAATAGCATCCAAGTTGCAAGACTATGTCGCTAACCCCTTAAATATACAAGAATTTCCCACTGGCACCTATTGTTTGACAGGTCGTTGGAATGCCTAATTGTTTGACAGGTCGTTGGAATGCCTAATATATTTGACATCTGGCATCGCTGCCTGACGGTAGTGACGGTTGACAGTGTGATTGACAAATAGAGTCGTAGACATTTTTAGGTTTAGAGCTTAGAGCACATAGATAAATAAATAATAAATAAAAAGAGAGTAAACAAAAAATACAAAGTATTGAGTTTTTAATGTTGTTTGATAACATATCAATTTGTTGAATTAATTTTAATTCAAAGCAAGTATGGAGTCCCAAGATGTAATTTTAGCCAAGCTTGTCTTAGGTATACTTTTGGCGGGAATATTATTATTTTGGAAATTAATATATTTTTCCTCAGGTTATCTGAAGTCCGAAAATTGTAAAGCTGCATATAGAGAATTTCTTAGGACTTCGTCCTGCCTTCAACAGTTGGACACTTCACACAATAAATATTTTGCTACCAGGTTTCTTGGGTTAACACTGGAAGATATATTAACTGAATATTCAGACTTATCCCAGATTAGTATGAAAGCTATAATTATTTTAAATACAGTTTATTAATGTATACATTTTTAGTTCAAGGAAGGTTAGAGGCTACAAATTATTACAATGAAGATCATCCAAAGGAATCTCTTGTAGACCAACTGTTATATTTACTGAACAAAGTTCCTGCTAGTCGTCCTTCTACTCCTGGCAATAGGTAGGTTCAATAGTGTTTTTCTATTGTGAACAAGTACTAAAAAATATCTTAAGTTTTTATAAGGCATTGTGTCAAAAACCCTTGCAAGATATACAGGAGCATGTTCAGATGATTTTACACAGGAGTAGACTAATTTTCTTAGATCGTTTGCCCAGGTTACTCTAGACTAATTCTCATTGGCCCAAAATTTCTGAATGGCAACGAAAGTAAACAAGGAATTTGAAAATTTAAATTTTTACAGTTATTTGTTTACAGATATTTTATGTTTGATGTTCCTCCCTTCCCCTTGTTACTTCTGTCTCATGTAGTTTTACTTTTTACTCATTTAGTTTTTTAGCTGTTTTTTCTTTTTATTTCAATATTTACCTATTCACAGCCCTACTTATAATCTTCTACAAAAGAACTCTATGATCTGTCAAATTTACTCAAATGAACCCAGTCTAAACTGGGTAAAAAGAGTGCACTCCAGACTAATTTGATTCTACTTTCCGAACGAGAGTAGCTAAATGTCCAAATTGAATGAACCAAGACCAAATTGATCGCACTCTTTTTGGTCAGAATGTTAACCAATGCATCAAGAAAAATAAAGTTGAGATGCTTAATTATATTTGGACATGAGCAGCTTAAAGAGAGTAATTGGTTTAAATACTCTTTTTCAATGACGAGCATGGGATATTGTGGTCTGTACTCTGAGATGTATTCTATTTCTGTCTATTCAATAGCATTGTGTTGCTAAACTGTTCTTCTGGAGTCAGGATTGGAAAGTTAACATATTGTAACATTTGTGAATCTGGAGTTACCCTAGGGGGTTTTTAGGGTTGCAAGGTTGTTGTAAACACACGTAAACTGATTAAATCTTTCAGCTATCTCTGTGGGATCAGTGATTATTTTGTGAGAATCTACATCTTTTAGGTTGATGGTAGTGTCATTTGAACAGAAAGTTCTTTTAATATATGCATAGAATTTCTTATCACCAACTGTAACTAAACTATTCTCATATGCTTTTATAGCTTCTCTTATAAAAAATTTCAGGTGGTTATTTTGAGCTGTAGTGGCTATCATCCGTACTATTCATGTATGTATCACCTTTTTTCTATTTTCTTTAAATAATTGAGTATTAAGCCATGCGGATTTAAGATTTTTTGTTTCTTTTTTGAATGTTATAAATTGATTTATGGTATCACAATTTATTTTTGTACTGTCCACATGAATTTATTGCTGTGTAGTTTGCTTTCTAGAAATTACTATTTCCTAATTTATATGTTGTTCCTAGCATAATAAACTACATGGTCACTTATACCTGCCTTAATAAATGTGACAAATGTTTTATCATTAATTAATAATAAGTCTAGTAAAATTTTTTGATCATTACATATCCTCATTGGAAAGGTAACTAACTTTCATAAATATATCTCTTTGTAGACATACACGAAATCTAAAAGGATTTTTGATCTGGCGATGTTAGTGCTAAGGTATTCCAATAAATTTCTGGGTAATTAAAATCACCAAACATAATAGTATTTTTGTTAATATCATTAGCTTAATAAATTCTAAGTTTTCAACTTCGTTGATTTTCTCTGGTCTGTAAAGACATTCCACTAATAATTTTTATTAAAAATAGATTCATTTACACCCACAGTATCTTTTTACCACCGATTTCTTCCTTTACATAAATTATCACCCCACCTCCTTCATATTGTCTCTATAATATGCAAAATGAATATAACTTGATATTGAGATGATTTCTTTATTTAGATCTTTCATCCAATTCTCACTTATTAAAATAAAAATAGAAGTTGTGGTTTCTGTCCATCAAACTTTTTATACAAGGAGTTGGCATTGGTGGAAAGGAAAGTATTATCTAGGAGAAATGGATTAGTTTTTATTAGATTTGAAGGCAATTATTTTAGGTACCTGGTTGATATACTTTATTTTAATATTTGTCTCTCTTTTCCCTTTACAATCTTCTAATTCTGCGAACAACTTCTTAAGATGCTCTCTTTGTAAGTTTCTTTGGTCTGATATTACATAAATGTTATATTCTGTATTTTGATTTTGTTTCTGATTATATAAAAAGCATCATCCCTATTTGGAAAGATTACTTTAAATGGTCTGATTTTTCCCTCTTGATATTTGCCTAGTCTGTAATGCTTCAAATTATTAATGAGAACCTTTAAACTGGTGTAGCATTTCAGCCACCTTGGAATCTTCTTCTCTAATTCTTTCTTCACGTTCTTCTTTAATGGCTTCTGAAATGCCAAATATTAAGATATTATGTGAGCTGGCTTTTCCTTTCTGGATTTCCGTCAGAGTGGGTTCCACAGTAAGATTTTGGTTTAATTGTTGATTCAGTTCTTGAGTTTTTCAATGTATCAGCTAAAACCTTAAATTTATCTTCCAATATCACTTCTGCATCTACTTTATCTTCTAATTTTTAGATTGATTGATTTTTAGCTGTAACCTCTGTATAACTGTTGTTCAGCTTCATTGTCTATCTTAGTTTTAGAAGGATTTGAAGAAAACATTTTTTAGCCATGTCAGTTTCTTTATTCAAATAGTAATCTATTAGAAAATGCTTATTTTCATATCAAAGAAATGTGATCTGTAGATTTAACATTAGTGGTAGTGTTATATCTTTTAATTATTGTATGTCATATTAACACATCAATTTCATAAAACATAAAAACTCCACCTAATAGGGCTCACAACCTAAATGAACATCAATGCCAATGAGAATGTTGAAATGCCATTTATTATGGAAATATTTTTTAGTACACCTCAAGGTTCATACAGAGATGGTGGAAGCCCATCTCATAGTGATTTGGATGCAACCCGTGCAGACACTTTACCTGGTAATACACATAATAAAAAATCTTGCAGTCCAAGACACAGAGGTTTTAACAGGTCTGTTAAAAAAGGCCCAACTACTTCTTCACCCATTGAGAAACAAAATAGGTCAGATGTATTCAACACAGAGGTAAATAATATCTTAATTAAAAAGTACCAAAATAAATTAATCATACATGTTTTCTATTATAGATCTTAGCAGAAAATTTATTGATTAACAGAGAATTCCATGAAAAGATTGCACAAACTATTAATAAAGTAGTAGAAAGGCAGTTTGATACAACAGTACAAGAAGTTATGCAAGAAACTGAACAGGATCCTATTTTTGACAAAATATTAGATGAAATAATTGGTAAGTTTTAAACAGTCATTTAAAGGAAAAGAAATATAATTTTAGATTCTTTATTTTTAATATTTCAGGATCATCAAATAATTTGATGGAATTATCAAAGGGTTCTGAATCAAATAACACTATAACAAGGTAGTGATTTATTCAATAATTTTAAATATTAAATTTAATTTATAATTATTTTAGTACAACCAATATTTCACAAGAAAATAAAAAAGATAGAAATGATTATGTTGAACATAATAAGGAAAAACAAAACAATGATAGTATCAAGTCAAATATTGATTTACAAAATGCGTCCTTTAAATGTCCACACCAAAAGTCTGAGAGCAGCCAAGTAAATTAAATACTTTTCTTTGTGATATGTGCAGTTGACACTATTTTTTTACAGCAGCTTACAAATTTGGATAGCTATATTCTCACAAATCAGTGCAGTGTTGCAACCAATGCTTGCATCCAAAACCCAGTATATATCAATACAGTGACTGGTTTGTTAATACCGCCCCTGACAACTGTTGTTTTAAATAAAAGCCAACCTTCTCCAATTTCAACAGCCATTTTGTCTGAGCAGGATATTATGAAAATGCCAATTATTTTGAAAGATGATTCCAAAAATACTACAATTAAAAAGAAAGGTAAAAAAAATAATTAATTACAAGGGGAATAGAAAACGGAATTTAGAAAAAATCACCTTTAAAGTACTCTAACGTTTTTCCAAAGATAAAAATCGTTTTTATGACTATTAATACATCTCCCATTAGTTGCATTATTATTTTACCACTTCCACGTAGACAAAACGTTTCTCTTTGAGGATTTATTTCATGAGTGAAGAAACATTCACACATGCAAGATCCGGTGAAATGGGAGATGGAACAACTATGGTCTACCTGTTTTGTTTTTTTTGTCAAAAACTGTTGAAAGGTGTTTGTAGCAACTCGTTTCATGTCCAAATCTTTTTTTATTAATTTAGGGAAAACTCCATTTTACAAAAAGTAAAACAAACCAGAAAAAAAAATAACATGTAAAACATTTGATTAACGAGGCATAAGAACAGCAGCAGTACTCTTAAGTGTCATTGAGGAAGTGATTAGTAATACTTCTTTCGAATGAAGGATATGAAGAACCTAAAAAAGTCTATATCTATACTGTTTTAGCACTCCTAACCATAAAAGCCGTAATTTTGTCAGGTATCTAATATAAAAAGTTTCATTGGCTCTGGTTCCACTATTAATGTTAAGACCAATTTTTAATAAAATAGGAAAATATATTGACCCGGACAAAAGCTTGAATAAGGAGCATATATCGATCTAATTGAGTTCTCTGGTTCTGCAAAATCGTGATCTCTAATCTGGAACATATACTACACCTAATTTATATGCTGAGCATATTCGAAACTTAAGTTGAACTGTTTCAAGTCTATTAATGTGAGTGTAATAATAAGAATTCCAAACGCAACAGCTCCATATTCCATATTAGAACGAACAAGAGTGCAGTAAAGAATTTATTGAGAGACCAACAACTTTCGGGCTTCTAATGATATCATTGTAATGTGTTCTGAAAAAGTAAGTTTTTCATCAAATATGCAAAGGTTTTTTGTTTGGGTCGCCAATCAAGATCCAATGAATTGATAAAATAAGTATAATTTATTATAGTATGGCACCTGTTAAACTTAATATAAAAACATTTACTTAAATTCAAATTCATACAATTTACATTACAATTTTAAAGATTTTCAGATCATCTGTAAATCGTAGGAATTGACACTTTTTTATCCAATAAGCAATTTCATTCACAAATAGATTAAAAAGAAGCAAACCACAATGGGATCCTTGAGGAACAACAGATAATACTCCAATTCAATAAAAAATGTGATTCCCAATTTTGACCTACTGATACCTACCAATTAATAAAAAACAGCACAGCCAATTTAAAAGTTTACAATTGATACCATATGATCCAAACTTGGCGATCAACAATTCATGGTTAACTCAATCGAATGCTTTTGAGAAGTTAGTATAAACATAATGTCCTTAATACTCCTTTTCAAAAGCACTCAATATTTCATTTTGATAACTTTACAAGGCAGTTACTGTATATTTTCCATGTGAAACACTATGTTGTTCATTAATAATCAGCCCTTTACGCTTACATGACAAATAATCTGTAATAAGCGAATCGAATATCCCGATTTCTAAATTGGTCTTATAAAACTGTATTTCCAAAAAAACCGGAAATACTCCTGATTCTAGTGAAATATTAAAGATAATAGAAATAGGACTACTAACAGTACAGACACACTTCTTTAAGAAGACCACAATAGAAACTATCTTTTAATTAAGAAATATTAGAAAAAACTCCTCTCAATGACACTTTGATAGTAATAATAAATAAATTTACTGTTATTATAGTTGGGTAGGATTCATGTAGATCCAAGAACAAGGTTCTTTCTTGAATGTGAATCTGTCCTGCTCTTAAAATATATCTTGAGAGAACTAGGCACTAGTCTCCTAACTTTGTACAATGATATGTTACGCAAGAGCGTTTAGTCCAATTTGGCAACATTGAGAGATTAAGGGAGCTTGATCGCTTCAGATGGCAGACTGATCAGATTTGACGGCTGGGTATTCCCACTGTTCCTTTTTACAAATCGTGCTTGTGTCCATGTAATCCCACGAGCAGTTAGGGAAGGAGAACTTAACTGACGCAGAGCCACGTATGCGTCGCCAAGACTAGATACAAGAGTGTGTCGTCCATAGTGCCCTCAGGGAAACTTTAGTTGTGACGTATACCCCTGGGACTATTCATCTTCACACCTTAAATTGGAGTTGTTTCGCGGTGGTAGCCTTTGCAAAAGATTTTGAGTGTTTAAGTCCTCTCACTCTACTTATGTTTGCCGCTAGACAAGAGGTCCTCGCCGTTTTCCTATTCACCACTTGAAGACGCACCCAGTTGGTACTCAACCGCTGGATTCGATGAAATAAGTCATCCTCCAAAAACCACACCTGACACCAATGTAACGTTCATTTATTTAAGCGATTTGTTATTTAATTTATTTTTACTAATAGACTAATTTATTTTATAACTTAATTTATTTGTATTAATTACAACAAATAGAACATTAATTTATCTAACTTTTACAATATTTATCTTAACTCGATATCTTAACTAAAATTGAACTATCATGGCAAACTAGGGCTATTTATATAAAAATGTGACGCTCTAGACTTGTTTTCGAAGATTCTAGACGTCTTTTAACTAAGAATGGATATTTCCAACTTTTTCTAGACTGGTGCGTCCACCATCATTTGTAATTTCTTTATCATTCATTGAAGGATCCAGTACAGTTCAAATTTATGATTCACTATGAGTGGAGGTATCCATGGGCGAGTTATAGGGGAGTTTCGTAGATTAACTTATTTCATAGAATATTTCTGGTAACGGGAAAAAGGAGGCCATAAAAGGCCCAAATAAGGCAAAGAGGGACCTAAAGGATTAGAGCATGACCGAACTGTTCAAAAATGGCTCGCATGACAATAATAGTATAACAGAAATATGTTTTATTATGTAACCATTTTGTAATTAAATAATTTATTCGGCAGGTACTAAATCAACATCGGTTAAAACTATTTTACCCAAACCAAAGATAGAACTAGCTGCTGATGCACCTAAGGAACTTAAGGATTATTTTAAAAACTATAGACCCGAAGAGCACACTGAATCTCCTTCAACCTCAAAACCAACTGGTCTAAAACACGTTATTTATCCTAAAACTTCAAAAAAATCTGCTAATCCTGTAAAAAAATCTGCCAGTAATTTGGATTCAAATAAATCCAACAAAAATAACTTGCCTATTATTAGTGTAGATCCAATTGAAGATGACGATGAAGAGGATGAAGTTATTGAGATCTTAGATTCTGAAACTAAAAATAAAACTCCTTTGTCTTCAGATCCAGTTAAAAAAACGACTCCAAAAAGTGGATCTCATGTTCGCAATCTCGATTTTTCAACACCTCTTAAATTAAACGTACCCAAACGGAAATCAGATCCTACTAAAAACTCAGAACCGGCCAGCGAACAAAAGAAAGCAACCAAAACACTTTTCAAACAAAGCCAATCAAAAATTTGGGATTCTGATCTTAGAATACTTCTTCATAGTGGTGAAAACGCGTCACCAAAAAAATCAGCGCCTACAAAAAAATCTAAGAAAAAAACGAAGAAAAATCTTAACACTACTGAGCAAGAAGGTTTGCTTTTAGAAGCTGCAATAAAGACCCCAGTTAAAAATGATACTGATCAGACAGCCACTACTTCTGAACAAATTGAGGAATCTGAAGTTATCCCTCCTAATAATACACAATCTACACAAACAAACAAAATTATCTCACCATTCAAATTAAATGTCAGTAAAAACAATATAGAAACCAAAAGTGAGGAAATTGTATCAAAATTCATTACTCCTGACATGGCTAAAGAAACTACAGCTTTGCCAATAAAGGCAAACAGGAATATAACTCCCATGTTAGAAACTCCATTTAAATATCAACATCTCCCAAAAACTCCAGGCATAGCAACTCCCATGGGTTTTAATGATGACGGTACACCCTTCACTAAAATGATGTTAGATGCCAATTTAAAAGACATGGATATAAGTTCCATAGAAACTCCTAGCTTGCTAAACACACCAGGTTTCCCACCCAATACTCCGGGTTTGGATTTAATATCACCTTATGCAAATAGACCCACTGATTATTCCACCAGTAGTTCTTACTACCAGCCATCTGACAATGAACAAAATAAAATTCTCGAAGCTCAAGTTCGCGAAGTAGAAAAGGCTTCTGCTTCAATTAATGTAGTTAGTGAAGTACTAAAAGTTACTGATCATGTAAATATTTTCAATAAAAATATTATTGGAAAGAAAAATTTAAGTTTAATCAAAAAAGATTTACCGGATTATGAACAATCTGAAAATTCTTACAGTTCAGAAGAAGAAAAAGATCTTTCCATGGAATGGTGTGAAAAAGAAAGCAATGATACCATAATATTTAAAAAGAAAACAGAAACTCCTAAAAGAACATATTCTTTAAGAACCAGGAGTAAAAAAAATAATTCTCCTATGAAGAAAACCTCAAATACCAAAAAAATCATTAAGAGGCCTGCCAAAGTAGCAAAAAAAGAGCTTAAAAACCCTGAATCACGAGGTAAGAAATTGCCAAACTCAAATCCAGCCGACATTACGGGTGATATTAAAAGTATTATTTCTCAAGCAAATGAAAAGTCTGATATGTTGTCACCAGAAGAACCATCAATGACAGCTGCAACTCCCTCGCAATTTTCTATGTTAAAGGATTTAGAAAGCAAACGACTTCGTACCATAGATTCATTTAAAACAACTGAACCATCATCAAAACCTAAAAAACAAGTAAATGGAAAATTTAAAATAAAACCCATACCACAAGTGTTTACCACCAAAACAGGCAAAAAAGCTGAATCTCCTAGGAAAAGAAAAAGAAACAAAGAAATGTTAAGAACTGTAATGAACGACTTGATAACTAGTGATGATTCTGAAGTACATATTGAAAGTGATGATGATGAAGAAGAAGAGAAATTAAAAACCGATATAAGCACAGATAAAGTTGATAAACAATCATCAGATGTTGAAGCTCAAAACTTGATTGACGGTTTAAAAGAAAGGGGAATTCATTTAATGCAAAATAAAAGTCCTAAAAAGTCCATAGACAATAGAGACATTATAAACACTAGTGATTTACAGTTAGAAACTCTAGACAGAGATATATTTGATAATAAAAGCTCAGAAGGGGAACACATTAGTATTATTTATGATGAAAATAAAAAAGGTACAACTTTAAAAAGGGCGCAGGAAATGGAAACGACGGAATATATAGGAAAACTTTACCTAGAATCTATCGATAAAGAAATTGATATCCATTTAAAACAAACTGATTTCATAACATTAATTGACATAAAATCTGCTGAAAAGGGATCAGAAAATACGAAAGATCATTTGAAAGATACTGAATTTAAGTTAGAAAAACAAATAAAAAAGAAATCTGAAAATAAAGTACTTAATTCAAAAGAGCAATTGACTGAAAAACAAGAGGAAATTAGTCCGAAGATTAATACTATAGAAATCCAAAAATCTGCAAGTATTTTGTCTTGTCATTCTAGTAAGGAAGACGAAGATTTAATGAATTTTGCAATAACTGGCAAAGATAAAATAGAAGAAACTGCATCACCGAAAAGGTAAGGGTGTCTTAGTATTTTAAAACTCCTGAGAAAATATTAAACAAAACAGCTGGTGTGAGCTTATAGGATCAAGTCAAAATTTGGTGAAAACTGACAATGTTTGACTTGATCCCTTTTACACTCCACATGAAGAAGCCAATTAAAAAATGTATATTTTTTAGCTCAAAAAAACGAAGGTTGTCTGATGATTCTGAATCTGAAAATTCTCGAACAAAGATGTTGAAAACTCTAGATGTGGATTCTTTCCTTAACAAAATTCACCAAAAAAATTTTAGACCGAAAAAATAAGTGTACAATGGCCTTGTCAAATTAGTAAATAAGAGTAAAGACTTGTTTTTTTACTTATTTTGAATGATAGTTTTATTTTACTGTACAGTGTACAGCATTTTTATTATATATTTTTTACTTGTTTGAAATATACAAGAAAAGACTAAGGATAGTTTTATTTTAATAACCTCAAAGACAAAATTATTCAAAACGATAAAAAAAAACATTGATATAATTATATTTATTTTTCATTAAAAAAAAGCAAGCAACAATTATAATAAATCTTCTTCTGATCTAATATATTCACCAATATCTGCTTGGTGGAAGCAAACAGTAGATAATGGTTCAGCATGTTTGCATTCTGCAGTTGACCTAGCAGCAGCACCAAATCCTAATGGTAAGTCAGACATACTATATACAACAACACCTTGGTATTTTTCAGTGTTTTCACTTATTCTGCCTAAACCGGTTTTTGATACATGATTCCCATACAAAAATTGCTGTTCTGCAGGTGGTTTTAACCAAATTTTACTCTAAAATAAAAATTGTCGGTTTAGTTATTTTCAAATTTTGGAATTATTATTTTCTTACTTGGGCATAAGGTGCTAGATAATTCAGAGCTGTTACATGTAATCTGAATTTGTTTGATTTTGTAAATTTACCAAAGCAAGTTCCTACAGATATTAAATGATCAGATGGTATATTATTGGCCCATTTTAAAATCTTTTCTGATACATAATAAACTCGATCTTTCTGCTCTCTAAAGCAGTATAAACCATCGGGTCGTTCTATTAACAGTTTAATATTAGGACCAATGCTGAAATAAAATAGTGTTTATTACATTTCTTCCATACATAAAATCTGTAGGCTGGCTCACGAGCTAGGAAGTGCCTATCATCTCAGGAGGATGCACAATGTGCCGTGGGGGTAACCCACCCTCCACACGTTACAGATACATTGCTTCCATAATACTTACAATTTAGCTAGTTTTTCAAATAATATTTTAGTTCTTTCTTCAGATAATCGTTTCATTTTTTCTCTGTTTACAAAACTACCTTACTTATTTTTTACACCAAATATACAAAGTCGAAATTGAAATATCCGCATAAACACGAATTTGTGAAATTAATTAAAAGTAAGGTTAATCTAATCTTCTTTGTATTTTTAATTTTTTAGTTATCGGAAATTATTAAGTGAGAAAGCAGCTATATACTTAGTAGCTAATTACACAACAAGTTGGACATACTTTTTGTATCTTTAAACTGTTTGTGCCTATAATAATAGCCAACATAACCTGTATCCAATAAAAAGTGAAGAAGTAAAAACGTTTAACCTAAAAAAATATTTTAAAAATTTATTTATAAAAATGTGTTAATATAATAACAATAATTTAAAATGTTTTCTTATTCTATTATTGGAAGGCAGTCGTTTATTTTCCATCGTTTTTTACATAGGGTAAAATTTTCTAAGAATTGGAGCAACAGAAGTGCTACTGTGTAAGCTTTACCAAATTACCAGGGCTTGTTTATTTTAAACTCATTCAATTTATTTTAGTATCAATGAGCTAAATGAAGCCAGCCCCAATATATCCGAAGAAAGTGTTCAAAAATTCCAAGAACTAAATTTAAAAGGCTTAAGGGATGTTTACAATAAAACTGACTTTGGTATGGAACATGCAAGTCTACAATAAATGCATGTTCTCAATTTCACACTTATTTTATTTCAGAACATATTACTGCCCAAGAAGGTCAACATTTGTTGCAATGTTGTGGTGGTACATCCCTAATCACTTCCACACCTGAAGAAAGGAGTAACATCTGTAACAGTATATATGAAAATCTTCTTAAGCATAATAAACTAAATCTTAATATTTACCACACTTATATTCAAATATGTACTGAAAACAGAACTTTGTTAAACTCCAAAACATTTTTGGGAAGCCTTAAATTTAAACCAGATTATAAGATTTATAGATTTTTATTGGAAAATGTTTGCGAATGTGAAGATGCAGGCCAAGCTTTTCAACTTCTTGAAAATATGAAGTCTGACAATGTACCAATAGATGAACATATTTTTAATAGTTTAGTCTTAGTTCATACCTTAAAGGGGTAATTATATTTTTTAAATATTTTTAGGAATTACTAATATTACTAATATTTTAGAGGTTTGGAAGGTGCTAAAAATGTTTTAGAGACTATGAAAGCAGCTAAAGTTTCAGAAACTGATGAAACCTACTTTGCCATTCTGAAAGGTGTTATTAGAAGTCAAAATTATAATGACTTCATAATGTTTCTAGATAAATATAAGTTCACTTTAGATGAAAATCAAATATTAATTATCTTAAAAGAGTTGGGTTTAAATAATCATGTTGAGTGGCTCTCAGAGGTAAGAGATTTTTTCTTTTGAGTTGAAAAAAGTGAAAATGAATGTTTCAGGTATATATTCCAAAGATGCTTTATTTTTTAAATATTTTGAAGATTTTTCAAAACACATTTTATGATAATAGAAGACTATAGTTTTAAAAATATACCACAATTAAACCTTATGAATCCAACTATTTTGTGATTAAAATTGAACCAAAATATGTTGATGTTTCTTGTTTAAAGGTAGAAATATAGTGAATAGGGAGGGTAGAGGCATACCAGAGGATTCGAATCCTTTTTGAGGATCCGAGAGCAGTATTGGAATACTTATGAAAAAAAGGATCCCTGATTCGGATTCGCCGAGGAAATTCTAATGGATTTGTATTTGAATCACCAATATTAATCACGGATCCTTTTAGAGACCAAACTACGCCGGCGCTAATGGTCGACTCAAGCTGTGATTTGTCATGAAGTGTAAACTGATAACTGAAACACTGAGACTAAAGACCCATTGTGGATATTTGGAAGATAAACGTAATAGATTACAAATTAGCAATAAATATCCAACATAAAAAAATCCTAAAACTAACACTTGCCTTCTTTCTTACTGAGGCCCTTCCTATGGGGCTTCAGTATTGTATTCATGCAGACGAAAAAATTTTCTTACCCCCATTTTTTAAAACTTTTTCATGTTTCCGATCATTCTGAGTACAAAAATGCAAAAAAAAAAATTTTCGTCTGGTCGTCTGTATGTATGCCGGCACAATAACTCTAGAACAAAAGTTCTGATTGACTTACAGTTTTGATTTTCTTGAATAATTACTTCTAACTTAGAACCCTATTGATTTTCAGAATTTTTGATTCATCCTAACTACTTTAATATCAATTTTCTTAAAATCCGCCTATGCAATTCTTATGTGACAATTTTAGGAATTCCAATTATTTCTAACGTCAACATTCCTAACATACCTACTCAACATTCCATAAATTGCAAACATTCTCTAACGACCTGTCAAACAACAGCTGTTTATAGTAAAGGTGAAATTTCTAAGGCAGGTTGCGACCTTCATAGTTGCAACCATAGCCATTTTGGAGGCTATTTTCATTCAAAATTAGTCGCCAAGCCTGCCAATTTATGAAAAATATTTAAGCAGTTTCTTAAAAATGAATTTTATGGTGGTGCTAACTTAAGCCTACTACTATTTCGCAACTAGCCACAAGGACACCTTCATCAAATTTACTGGCTCTCTGTCGGAACCCCATAGAATAATTAACCGGCTATTTTATTTGGCAAAAAGCAGAATAATGCTTAGCTGTGCCTGTCAAGTATCAAAATGTTAACTATGATGTGTGAATGGCTCTTAAATGTCAAATTATATAAAAATGTATGCTTCTTTTGATATTTATTGCAAATAATTTGTAGTGTATCTCAATTCAGGCTTTCCATAAATAAAGGTACAGCAAGACAAATAATATAATGTTCTTATACAAAGCACTTTTTTATTATATAAAAGAGAGTTAGGATATAATGCTGGTTTTGTAGATAATTTTAATTATACAGTTTTGGATTACATATTCAACCAGCGAATTGTAAATAATCATTAGTAAACTCTTAGTCATAAATTTCCTCAATTTCAAATTTTGTTCCATTATGATACCGAGGTATTTTGTTGTGTTTTTCATTTTATTTATAAAGTTGTCATTTATTTGTATGTTGAAAGGCCTTTCTAAATTTCATTGCTCTCTATGAATCTACTTTAACACAAAAATAGTTTTGTGGCTATAAGTTGCTATAACCTATCGCCACAAAACTATTAATAATTTAAACATAGTAAGTAGTAAAACGAGGGGTAAAATAACAATAAATTAAGGGAAATACTTAAAAAGGCAGGTTTAAAGAGTATTATCACAAGAAAGTATATCCGTTCTGTTATCAAGTATTGTTTGAGGTTACTTTTGAATACATTTATTGTTGTTTTTTTTTTTAATTTCTGTGGGCAGCCTATTAAATTTTTTAAACCTTTAATAAAAATTGTATCTTGGGAACTTTTAATAATGGCTTGCCGTACATGAAAGTCAGATTGGCTTCTTGTGATATTGTGAATTATATTGAATTTTTTCTAATAGATCTGATGCGATGGATTTATGTAATTTTTATTTTATAAATAAATATCAGTCATGTACTGAACATAATTCTGAACTGAAAGCCAATTTATTTCTTTTAACATAGTTGCAATAGTCATCTTTCTGTCCTTTATTAATAGAAAATAAGTAGGCGAACTAAGGAGCCCAAATATTTTACATGAGCAGGCCTAAGATTGATTCGAATCCTTTTTTTTTGTAAAAGGGATTCGGATATGGGATCCGTGATTCGGATCACAGCTCGTGATTCAGATTCGTGATTCGAATCAATTTTTTGAGGATTCGTTCCAGCTCTGTATCATATTAACAAAGTGGGCAACTCGTCGCTTAGAGCTTCAGTATGTGCGTATCAATTTAAAATATAGTATGATATAAGAATCGCTTGCTTATCTCACGGCGTGCCTCTACCCTCGTTGTTTCACTATATTTGTACCTAAAGATTTTGTAATTTTCATATAGTATCACAGTGTTGCCAAGTGTTTTAATAGCAAAGTTAGCACAATGTATGGGGAACTGAGTTGACTCAAAGTTGGTTTGGAACTATAAACACCCTTAAGTGTCTCAGTGCCCTGAACAAAATTACTTTGATCTTTGTTCTGGGCATTGGTGTGAAAGGCAATGAAAAAGCCAACGTCCTCGTTGAAAGAGGAAAGGAATCTAAGTTCATAGGACCAGAACCATTCCTGGGCATTGCTAAGAGCACTACCTAAGGAATTATCTCAAAATGGACAAAGCGTATAACACTCATGAACTGGAGAGATACCCCAGGGCTTACTCATTCGAAAACTTTTACACCAAATCCTTCCATGAACACCTCTGCTCAGATCCTGAAAAATAATAGGAAATATATCAGAGGCCACAAGGCAGGAACTCACAAAATCAATATTTTTCAGGAGATGAAAAAACGATTCACAAGTGCATAGAATAATCTAGTTTACTCTATAATATGACTAATATTTACCCATGTTTTGTTCAAAAGTTGTAATACTTCCCCTTTACAGTAGATGGAGCGAAATGTTTTAAAATAGATTATCGTAAAATATAAATTTCAGTGGAAATCTTAGTTACGAGGTCCTGGAATGTGGCCCACAGGACTGATGACAGGACATTGTCTACTAGGTAATTACATGAGAAGGATAGGTCTGCAACAAACATCGGACTGTTGGTTAAATGTACCTGCTCCGCTTTGGAAAAAACTAGGTTCTAGATCTTTGAATTCACCAGACTGTAGCCTACCGACTTTAAACAAGTCTCATCCAATTCAAATGTGGCCTTCATCAAAAGGTGTGACTTGTACGGTGACATGAGCCACAATAAATCCATCTGGGTCACAGTGGAAGGTGATGAGGTCGTCCTACTCATTTTCAACCCAACCTAAACTATAATATGATGTTTTTTTTTATGACAACGTAGATTACAATTTAATATATCAAGTTAGGTATGAATTAAAAAATATTTCTTATTTAGTTTTTCTTTTTGTTATAGATGAAAGAGCATTTGTTGACTGATTTAGTCCCAACAAGAGAATTTATTAATAAAGTGAAAAATATTTGTATAAATTTAATTCATTTGAAAAAATCAAATTCTGCTATTAAACTTTATACTTACGTTCAGCAACAGCCTGAAGCAAATTATGGATTCTTTATTTTGGAAGAAATGTTGCATTCTAAAACAGTAAGTAAAACAATATCATGTTGATTTTAAAAGTTGATTAATGTTCATTACTTTTATGTAGGATACAAATGAAATTATTAATACAACGAAAATGTTCTTAGAAAATTATGACAGTGACCGAGCTTTTGAGAATTTAGCAGAATTTGCAATGAAAAATAAATATTTTGACATTACATGGAAACTTTTCGAGAATTTTAGAGAATTAAGACCCCATTTTTTCTGGCCTCTACTAGTTGATGCCCGCAATAATAAAGGGGAGACTGGTAAAATAAACTGAATTTTGGAAAAAAAATATGAGCATGTTGTATTAAACTTTATTTTCAGGTATTTTTGAAGTAATAGAAAAGGTAAATAATTTGAATTTGAAATTAGATTCGGATACTTTATCAGACTTTATATTACCATATATAAATTTGGAAGAAATTACAACTTCTGTTGAAAAATTAAAAAAAGTCGGTTTTACTGTAACAGAAACTTTGAGTCCAATGTTATTGGTTCTACTAAGAAATGGCCACATACATGAAGGTGTTCAATTATGTAAGTTAATTAATAAGTTGCCAATTCAATAAATTTTTATGTGACAATTTTAGGTGGTCATTACAATGTTAAAATTCAAGGAGAAAAATTATTTAGAAGTATTTGTTATTCTTGGAAAAATTCAAAAGATCCAATGATAGTTTCAATATTACAAAAATTTTGTGAATATAGTAATGTTGATAATGACTTAACAGGAGAGTTTCTTATCAGGTCATTTCAGAATTGCAAAACAATTAAGGATTATCATGCAATTCCTTTACTTTTGAAGGTATTATATTAAAAAAATAATTAAGAGCAAAATATTACTCGTCTTATTTTTAGGTTATTAATGATAACAATTTAAAAATAACTACTACCTCAGCCGATGTCCTAAGAGAAAGACTGGATAAAAACTTGAAAGAAAGTGAACCCAAATTATCAGAAGAAATTTTAGATGGATTAGATCGAATATTAGAATTTAAATTGAAGAGTGAAACAGATTACATACCACATCCAGTTAGTAGCAAACACTTTATTTTATTTTCTTGTTAATCTACATACTTTAATAATCATATGAGCAAAGCGTAGACATAGCAAAAGAGGACAGTCAGAATAAGAAACTAAAATCGCGAGAGATAGCTCTACACTCCAATTTAAAGAGATGCCATAGGCGGCGCTAAGTATTTAAGTAGTATACAGCTTTTATCCGTAAAGTAATAAGACTGGCCGTCGCGTGGCGCTCCAGTTGCCAGTAGCACAATTTCCGACTGGGTAATTTGTGGTAGAGATGTTCGATACGTAGAAAAGTATCGATACTGCGTATCGATTCAGATCGAAGTTGATGTTGATGTATTGATACACTTTAATATTGTAAGCAACAGTATCGATACTCATAATATCGCTATACTAATGTACATAGTACACGTAAATTAATTTAAAACTTTGTAGTGAAAAATCATATACGGAATAATAAATAGATTTTAAGGTGTATAATTAAAAAAATATACAATATTTCAATCGAACTAATGTATGTTTAGTATCTTATTTATAGATGGCAGAGTTTAAATTCGTAATTGGTGATGTTATTTTATTTTAGATACGATTTAACATATACATGTATTGATACGGAGTATCTTTGATTTGTAAAATATCGATACAAAATATCGAGTTTCGAACTCCTGAATATCGATACTGTCAAATATCGTATCAAAATAAAAAATAATTCAAATTCTTTTATTTGTACTAGGGACAATATACAAAGTGTATTGTGTTGTACACGTCAATATCCATACCTAAATATTACATAAAGATAAAGCTAAAAATTAAAATAGATGATGCAAAAATACCAACTGCAAGATGTAGTATTGTTATTAATAATTAATTATTAATGTGCGAGCTAGGTCGACTTACCGAGTAAGAATGGCGTATTTACCAAGATTAGAGGAAAACTTAGCAAAACCCATAGTGACATAATTTGCAATTGGTAATTACATCAATCATACTGTTTACCACCACAGAAAATTAATATGAATGATAGGCAGAAAAAGAAGAAAAAAACTAAACTACTAAACAGCTAAAAAGGATCCTATCTTATTTCTAATCCTAACTTATTACATGAATTTGAAATATTTAAGATTGTAACATCATCTAGTGAGAAGGGTTCAATATCAATTAAGATATTTCTAATGGTTGACTTAAATCTGCCTACATTTTAAATATTTTTTATATAGCGTGGAAACGTATTATAAAATTGTATGCATTTAAAATAGCATCCTTTTTCAAAACTACAAAACTATCTACTCCGCGTGTATTATGTGTATGACCAAAAATATGTTCTCTGGAGTAAACCTGATTTTCAATTACAAAATTTACACAAAAATATACATATGCCCCAACCGCCGTCATCAGATTTTATTGTCGAAAAAACCCTCGACAGGAATCTCTAAAGTTCAACCCAGTTAATATTCTCAATACTCTTTTTTGTATCACAAAGACCTCGTAATTGTGAGAACCACCCCAGAAGATGATTCCGTAACACATAATGGAATAAAGGTGTCCGAAATAGGCAGATCTCAAACTGTTTTGGTTCACAACTTTAGCTAATTCTTTCAGAGCAAAGCAACTCTTACTAAGCCTACCACAGAGATTGTCCACATGACAAGACCATCCCAAATTCTCATCTACTATCACACCAAGAAATTTTGCAGAGCTCACATAATTAATTTCTGTGTTGTTTAGATTTATAGCATTTTCATAATCGTTCTTATTTCTGCTGTGTTTGAACACGATACAATTTGTTTTGGACATATTTAATACTAATAAATTTTTTAGAAACCACTCTGCCGTTATTGATGATATGTGCATGGTATCTTGTTTCAGTCTTTCATAATCGGTACTGACTATTAAAATGTTAGTATCATCTGCATAATTTGTTAGTGTTACATAAGACAAGTCTATCACATTTGATAGGTCATTAATGTAGAGGAGGAATAGCAAAGGACCTAAGATACTTCCTTGTGGTACACCCATATGTATCGATTCTTGTTATGCGTTAAAATCTTCTTTACTAATAAGCCTTTGTATGTACAATTCTGAAAATAAATTTAAAGTATTTTTTGCCGAATGGAATTAGACAGCCATTTACTCTTTTTATGTTTTTGATGCGTTACCCTCTTCAATGGGAAGGCCTCGTTGAAGTGTTGGAGGAACGTTTTAATAAAACAGTTATACATTCTATCTACAGTGATTACTTCATACACACATAGCCAAGTTTATTTTTGTAGTAACTCATAAAATTTATCATAATTTTGTTTACTGAAAAAACGCTTTACCTCAGTTACATTCTCCGGCTTTTGTTTCTCAGTCAATACACATAACCGCTGACCTTTATGATTTGAAAGATTTGTATTTAGGACATTGTTTTAAATTCGATTTACTTAGCATATCTATATTAAAGTCCCCTGCAACCAGCATGTAGTTATTTCCTTGTGAGGCAATTTCCAACATTTGGTCCAATGAATTTAGGAAAATATCTAAGCTAGTTGTAGGGGGCTTGTAAACGATACATAATAATACATATTGCCGATAGTTCAATACAAATTCAACAGCACAACATTTAAAGATATACTCTTTTGACAGAGCATTTATGTCACTTCTTATAATGGGCATGAGATCACATCGAGAATATAACATTACGCCACCGTGAGCAGTTTCGTTTGACCGACAAAAATATGATACAATTTTGTAATTTTCAAGGGGATATGCCTCAATACTATGAACAGTTTGCCAATGTTCACTGACTGCTACGAATTGAGGTTGTAGTTCGCTAACATATACATTTAGTTGATTGATACTAGTAGATATGCATTCAACGTTTTGATGAAACACACTAAAAAGCATACTTTTTTCTTCATCGTTAGTGGATTCTTTATCTTCCGTTGGTTGCTACGCCTTCTTGGTTTTTTTAATTTCTAACTCAGCAAGCCCTTTGAAACAAGGACATTCAGAATCAGTAAGACAATGGTCAGTTTTCAAAGTTTTTCCCAGCCTTTTGTTGGTTTCTAGGCAATTGATGCATTTCTTTTCTAGTGTATTATTACATTCTTTGCTGTAATGAGCTTTCGCACAAATGTAACATGTTGTACTATTCTGGCATGTTGATTGGGTATGGCCATATCTACCACATTTAGAGCATCTGACAATATTGTAATATTTATTTGCTAAGCACCGCCTCCAACCAATATTCAAATGTCCATATTGAGAGATTTTCTTACTTAGATCTACATTAACCTCGAGAATAATATTTTACTTGTTTGGTCTATTTTTTTGTTTAAACTTCGTTATGATTTTCATTACTGAGTCTTGCTTTAGATTTAAATCATTTTGATTTTTTAGAGCGCTCAAGATATCTTCATCCTCTCCTTCTATATATTCATTTTCCACTCCACAGATGATAACTTTTGGATTTTTTGTTTTCCATCTTCGACTTGATATTTACTGCCAAATTCACTCTCTACTTTATTTTTTATTTTTTCTTTGGTACCCGCATTACTGCAGTTAATAATTACTGATCTCTCTCTTCCTTCTCTGATATTCTCAACACTAATGGCCATTTTTGTCGGATCAATACTGTCTCTAATATCAGTTTTGGTAACAGTGCTTTCCTCCTTAGCCTTTACAATAATGACATCTCTTGAATCTGCTGCAGCTGCATAAGTTTTAGTACCACCGCAACTATCATTACTTATTGTTGATATTCCTAGTAACTGCGTTATTTGATCATTCTGTTTTTTCAGTTGTTCACTTTGTTCTTTAATTATCCTCTTTAGTTCTTTAAATTCTTCTGTAATTTTAGCTTCTACCGCATTTATCTTGATATCTATAATGTCACATAAAGGTTCCTTCCTACATTTCTTTCACTTCGGACGAAAGTGAGCCCAAAACATGTTTTGCATTTAACGATTTTACAGTAATCACATGGAAAAGTTTCTCTACCTTTATCAGGATGAATTACATTTAATTTTGATAATTAAAATTCATTCAAATGATTTTTACTACACCACTGGAAGTATATTTTTATCAACTAGCGGCAAAAAGTGGTCATTTATATTTAGCGAACAAAAAACTGCACAATGAAATTCCTTGATTCAATTAGGAATTTCATTAATTTCGTGAATTTTTAATTGCACTTACTTTAGTTTTGCAATGTAGTTTATAGCACAGTATTTCAGGTTCACATTGATATCAAAAACATTTTTTAAATTGCCTTTTTTCCAGTACTAAAATCTCTTTGAACACAGCACAGATAATTTTGTTTACTTTTGTATATCACGCTAAATCGCTGTCTATAAACAACTTTGTTTGGTTAATTTTTACGTCATTACTAATGTATCCCATTTACTTTAAAATTCTCTATATTTCTTTCAGCGTAATATGAATGTAGATGATCTTGAAAATCACTTAATAGAATTAAGACAAAAAAACATGGAAACCCGAGGAGTTTTGCGTAAATTAATTCAACTACATGCTAAAATAGGAAATTTGAAAAGAGTAACTCAACTTCGACAAGAATTTTTAGATGCCGGTTATGAAGAAACTCCCGGCATGAAGTCATCTTTAATGCACACTTACGTAGTCTCTAATAAATTAGAATTAGCAGTTGATCTTTATGAAGAAATCAAAAATGCGGATAGCAATTTTTCTGTAGATAGACACAAAATTATAGATTTGGCAACTCTTTTGTCGAAGAATCAAAAATTAGATGAGGCCATCAACCTCATAAATGAAGCAAGAAATATGTATGTATTTTTATTATTAGGTGTCCTTTATAACTTGGTATATTACATCGAGTGTTATTTTCTTACAAAAAAAACTTTTAGGCCGGTATATGAAGGTCCTGGTTTGCAAAGAAATTGTCTAGCATTATTGAACTCAATAAAAGATGAAAATAGACAAAGTGAAATGCTAAATCTTTTGGTTATTAAAGGTTATTGTAAATATAATAATATAATGCTTGGACCTTTGGTAAGAATTAATTTATATAGGTAATAATTTTGTAACTTCTTGAAATAATTAATTTACAAAACTAATATTTCAGGGGTGATTTAGAAAAAGCATCAGAAACTTACAATCATTTAGCAGAAAAATTTAAATGTACACCCTTACAATTTGAGTTGACTAGGGAAATAGCAAAATCGAAAAACGATAAATTGTTACAGAAAGTGCTAGATGCTACTGCCCAAATTCATGGACCTTTATCGGCACAAGTAACTTTAATAGGCGTTTTAGCCGAAATTGGCGAAGAACAGATTTTGAAAAAAATTTTAAGTGTAAGTTTATTTGTGTTCTCCTGAAAGTTTATTTTTTTAACTCAAAAAATGTTTTTTTAGTCTACCAAATTTGATATCAGTAGAGAGGTGAACAAGAAATGTGTACGATGGATCAAAGAAGGAAAATCTGATGCATTAGAAACATTAGCTAAATGTTGTAGTAGACTATCTAGTGAAGTTATTGACCTTAACTTTGTGTATGATAGTATAATAAAGACATATGGTAAGTTCATGATATAAATTTATCCAGCTACATTTACGTGTTTAGGCTTGTACCCACCATATGACTAATGAGAAAGTTACCCTGGGTAGTGCACACCCAGTGTATCATACTTTGTTTGAGTTTAATGTGTTCCCTACAATCCGTCTTTAAGCTTTTAAATTCTTTTCTGCTAGTGTTTTTTTTTGTAATCCTGCAGAAGCTAAGCATTAAGGGAGATTCAAAGGTACAAGGGCTGTTCTCTTTGCATTGTGTCTAGTAAAGTTTAACAGTTCATCATATTTATATTTTTTCAAAGTATTCTCCTCCCAGTCAATGTATTTTTGCATCTTCTGACCATAATAGGTTTATTTCATTCTTAAAGGCATCAACCGCTTCTTTGGTCAATGCAAAACGTAAACCCTGTATTGTTTTTTATAAAAATTATTTTAAACCTAGTTTTCAGGAACTCTAAACATTATTTTGAAGTGTGATGCGTGTCATTATTTTCCCGTGTTAGTTGTTCAGTTTGTAACCGAAAGAAAATGTGTAAATTTGTTTAGTTTTGAAGGAAATTCGCGGGCAAATCAATCATTCCACGTGGTTAAGGTACCAAAAGTCAGTGATTTCTCGAGTAAGACGTCTTTGCAACCCCTAGGCACACTTCATGAACGATTTTCAATAGTAACGTTAATGCCAGGAAATATATTTTTTCTGAAAGCTACATTTAAAGTAATTTGTATGAGCTGACGCCAACCTTAAAGAGAGAACTGGTTCCTATGATTTAACATGAATTCAACCCACCCAAAAGCTCCTATATCTAGAAATACTCTTACAAGTTATTTATTTGGCTTCCAATGCTTGTTCCCACTTTTGAGCCAGCCTATGTATGGCTACATGGTAAGACTGCTCTTGTATCTTGTACTCTACCTACATGTTGATTGTTTTATGAATTGCTAGTCTTAAAACTTAAAAATCTTCAGGATATCACCTTTTCTAGAACATTGTTGGTTGGCAAACATATCACATTTATTATGTATACATTAATAACTTATATTTATACGTTTACTACTTTTTTTTAGCGTTGAAGAATGATTGTCAAGGTGCAATAAGATTTTATGAGAGTTTACTAGATAATGATATACTTGTAGATAGTAGATTAGAACAACAAGTTGTAAAATTGTTACAGCAAAATAATTATTCAATACCAACCAGTTTTAGATTAAATAGTGCAAAGTAGTCGTCTTTTTATTTCAAAACCATGTTTTTAAATTTTGTCCTTTGTTGGTCCTTCCATGAGCTATTTTTACGAATCAATTTAATTTGAAAATAAATTTAAAGAAAAATATTGCATATAAATGTATTGTTTATTTTAAAACAAATGGAACATTCAAAAATTTGTAGTAGTGACGACAGTGAGTACTATGAATGGAGTAAAACGATAGAAGACTGGACATCAATGTCAATAGAATGTTAATCCCTTATTTTGATATAAAAACAAAATGAGAATTAATCCTATAAAAACAAAGCCTAATAGTTTCAAAAAGAAGATCATGTACATTAATAACAAAATTAACATTAACGTTTGTCAAACCGATAGTGTGACCACGACTGCCTGGATCATCATACTACATATTTTATGATATACAATAGCAATAGGAGCAAAGTCACTCAAACTAATGGAAGTGACATTTTGTGGTACACATTTGCGCAAGGCTAATATACAAATTTATTAATCCTTGCCTTGTATAAGATCGAAATACTTTGCTACAGATGCACCAGTAATGGAGCCCTCGATGACGGTGTCTTAAAAATGCTGCGGTAAAAACATGCTGTTATACCTATTTGAGTAGATAATTAACTTGACATAAGCTTTCATCGCTCAGGTCGTTAAAGCGCTAAAATTTGGATTTCGCGACCCGATAAAAGTATCTTTTTTTATTTTAGAAAAAATATGAAAAATAAAAAAATACGACTAATAGTGTTTATTTTAAATACATTTAATTTAACATAATATAACTCTTATAGTTAGGCAATCCGTTAATCTTTCCACTACTTATTTTGATAACCGTTCAGAATAGTGACTATAAAACAATTTCCAGTTTACATCTGTCAAATTTTATTGTTTTGTCGAAGCTATTTTGGTATTTGTAGTAAATTTATTTCTTAATAACAAGAAACCAGAGCTAGGGAGGATTCGAATCACATAGGATTCGAATCCTTTTTGAGGATCCGCGAGCGGGATTAGAATACTTAAGAAAAAAAGGATCCGGATTCGCCAAAGAAATTCTTAAGGATTCGTATTCGAATCACCAATATTACTCTCGGATCCTTTTAGAGACCAAACTGCGCCGGCGCCTGCGCGAACGGTCTACTTACGCTTTGACTTTAGCGAAGTGTAAACTGAAACAGACTAAGACCGATTGTTAATATTTAGAAGATAATCTACAAATTAATTCAAAGAAGGCAGCAGAGCACCTAGATAATTTTGAGTTGAAACCTATGCCATATTTTTAGGCTATTTTAAGGTTATTTTTATACCCTATTCAAAAATTTTATACTCGTTTTTACAAAAATCAAAGTTCCCTTCTAGCCAGAGAGTACATCGGTTTTTTAAAGTTTTTTTCTAAAAACAACCACACTGTATTTATAGGCTATTTATTGCTCCTGAAATATTATAAAACTTTACTAAAAAATGGCTATTTGTAAATAATAATACAAGGTGCTTTGTTGGAACAAAGTCAGCAGAGCAGCTCGGTTTTTTAAAGCTTTTTTTTCTAAAACCAACCACACAGCATTTTTAGACTATTTTTAGGTTCTTGAAATATTTTAAAACTTTACTAAAAATTGCTATTTTTAAATAATACTGGAACAAAGTTAGCAGAGCACCTCGGTTTATTTTTTTTTTTTTTTCTAGAAACATCTACTCATGTCACATGTTTGAGCTATTTTTAGGTTCTCAAGATATAAAACTTTTTGAAAAAATAGTGTTTTTTAAAAAATACAGAGTGCTTTGTTGAAACAGAGGTGCTTTGTTGAAACAAAGGTGCTTTGTTGAAAGAAAGGTGCTTTGTTGGCTTCTTCGAAGCTAGCAAAGCAACCTGTATTTTTTAAAAATATTATTTTAAGAGCCTAAAAATATTATTTTAAGAGCCTAAAAATATTGTGTCGTTGTTTTTGGAAAAAAACTTAAAAAACTGAGGTGCTCTGCTGACTTCGTTCGAAGCTAGCAGAGCACCTTGATTTTTGCAAAAAAATAGCTTTAAAATAGCCTAAAAATATGGCATAGGTTTCAACTCAAAATTGCCTAGGTGCTCTGCTGCTTTCTTTGGCATCACAAATTAGCAATAAATGACCAACATAAAAAATCCTAAAATTTGACACTTGGCTTCCTTCGTCTGGTGCAGTCTAATGAGTATTTTTGTTTGCAGGTATAATCGATGCACCTCGAAATTTTGGAGCTATCTAAGGCCAACCAAAAGACATTTTTATTTCATTGTTTATTTTGTTTTTTGTATTAAAATAAAATATAGTTTTTGTAGACACATAGTTGATATTGATATTAGAATCGGAAGCAAGCATAATAACCATGGTATGACGCTGACAGTGATTCGTATTCGTGATCCGAAAAAATGGATTCTAATCACTTGATTCGAATCCTTTTTTAATGCAAAAAAGGATTCGGGCATAGGATCCGTGTTTCGAATCAATTTTTTGAGGATTCGTCCCAGCTCTGCAAGAAACGCAAAAAATTAAAATTACATTTTGCAAATAAACACTCGCATAAGCCATTCCCACTTAAATTAGTAGCCGTCTCCTTATTTCTAATGCGACAGCTCTGTCTGCATAATAATAAACACAATCTGAATAATTGCAATACAAAAGGACTTTATTATGAATGAATGGATTAGTCTGTTTTTCAACTGTGACGATAGTCTAATTTATTTTTAGTTTATTTATTTAAAAACACTATTTACAATTCATTTCAGACGTACTATTTAATTTATATAATACTAACTAAGAATTCTAATTTATTTCTTACACTTTCAACTTTTCAATACAATGTTCTATATTAAACTAAACTGTCCACCGACGAGTCGGCTATTTATATTTGTCCAACTCCGCTACTGGAAGACGCAAGAGGCTCTCGAAGATTCCACTTCTATGACTAAACGGCACTCCCCGCCGTTCCAGCTGTTTCTAGTGCATCAACGGCAGGCATTCCGTCGTTTCTTGTATATTCGAGACGCGGTCCGACTGTTTTCACACGTCAGCGTTGCTTCGATCACGAGTGCAATGTGAAGGTCGCGCGCGTACACAGGGCCGGATAGGAATTTCATGACACAACGTTGGGTGTAATTAACACTGATGGCCTCTGTACCAATACCGAACGAACTAAGTGCATACTAGTTGGACGGACGATTGACTGAGTGGGTTGGCCGTCAGACCAGAAAAGAGAATCACAAAAACTGCACATTAAGTTCAAATACCGATCTAGCAAGAAAACCAATATTTGCATATAATTTCGTAAGACAAGGAGACACACCAAATCTCAATCTATAAATTTGACACAAGAGTAACAGGCTAGGGCATCGTTCACGCTGTACCAATGCCAAACAATATGCGAGTTTTTGGACCACGAAGATATTCACGAGTTTAAATACGCTTAAATTGTAAATATATTTGTTGACAAATGAAATGTAACTATAAATATAGTGTAGTAGATTGTGTTCATAAGTTTTCCTTGCCGTTACTAGGCACGCTTTGGTTTTGTTATTGATACCTTTGATAGATTTCTCCAGATCTGGATATTTGTGCCACAGATTCCTTTTCTGCTCTAAAGACTTTTTTGTCAGCCATGGTTTTTGCTTAATTTTTTAAGGTTTTATTGGTACATGAATGATGAATGTTAACTGTTTTGTTTATTGCCTAATAGAAAAATATTCGTTTGATTGGCTATCTTATGTAATTATTGCTGAAGTGAGCATCATAGTCAGCTTTCCAGAACACTGTCTCTTTTAAACTTTGCGAGTTGGCTTGGATAACTTAAAGTTATGCTTTGGCTATGAAGTCTACATGGTCAATTTTTCACAGTGCTGCATGTTGTTCGATATCAGGAATTAGTTTCTTCCCAATTTTTTTTTATTATAAGTAAGTCTAGAAGCTATTGTTGGTTATTTCTAATGCTTGTTAGGAAATCAATATGTTGGTATCCTCTGTGGTTTTTGTAACTCTCTAAGAAGACATAACTACACTGGAGGGATACATAGAAGCTAAGACATTGGTCATGGTATGGGACTCTTCGGGACCAAGTGGGACACCCCATTATTATGTATTATTAATGAATCTGAAAATATTTGTAAATAGTTGAATACAAATTTTAAAGCAAAGCAAAAAGAGAATATAACGAATACTGATTGGGCAGGTGGCCTGATTCAGACTCTCGAGTTATCACCAAACACTAAACTGCACAAAATACATGAACAGTCCTTCGCCGTTTTAACCCCGTTTTTTTCAGGGAAACTAAAATATAACTGCAAAGATCAATAATTGCTTTTGGTAAGAAAAATAAAAAATGGTTTATCGTAGAGGTAAGGAGCTGACAAAGCTAAAGTTTCGCAAACAACTCTGATAGGAACATCATCTCGGGAGTTCCAGTGATTAGAGGAAATAGTACCAGCTAATACAAATTTACAGATATAAAAGTGAAGCACAAGTATATCAAAAGAAAGGAAAAACTAGTAGGGTGTAGGAGCTAGAAGAGAATAGAAAGGAATTGGGTTAATTTCATGAAATTAGATATATTGATACTTTCAATCGATTTACTATATTCTTATAAAACAAATAAATATCCGTAATACGAAAACTATGGATGGTTTCAATAAAAAAAAAAAACAAAATGTATGTATAGTTTAATTTTAATAATATTAATGGTAATAATATGCACATAAAAATAAAATACACTGACTGTACATATTTTATGATACAGAACAGCATGATAGCGACTGTAGAAAACTAACAGAATAAAACTGCTATAACATGCTGTCCTTTCTTAACAAATATGTTAGAATAACATGAATGCTTTTATGTACACATTCCTTATTTAAGTATTAAAATTTCTAGGATATAAATAATACGCAGCTAATATTTTTATACATCAGACTGTGGTGTCAAAATAATGATACAACGAAGAATTAACATTCCCGCAAAGAATAAAAATATTGCATAATTTTAATAATTTAATGCTATAAGTGTTAGTAGTACGATTTACAGGAGGTGCCATATATGTATTAAAAAAGTTCACAAGGCAAATCAAGAGAACAATGAAAATATAAAATTCATATTCTACCTAGTAAGGCTTAAAATGCAAATCCTTGTAGTTAAAATGACTAATTTTAATTCTACTATGTTTTTAACTAAATTTAAAGATATACGGCAGAATAATTTTTAACAGTCCTTTAGAAATGAATTCTAATTAGGTATTTTAATATTCATTATTATTGGTTAGTATTTTCAACATTCTTTTTCACTTGTACATACACTCAGATCACTCAAACAAAATATATAGTCTTAAAATATCCACATCGTTCAATACAGTTGATTAATTATATTTTGTGGCACCCTGTACTACATACTAATTCATTTTTTGATCTACCTGTATGTCAAGAACATTTAAGGCTCTACTTATAGATCAATGCCAAAAATATTTAAAAATTATTTTTATAAGCAATAAAAGTTTGATTTAGTTTTATATTTGTAATATGAATGAATTCAAAAAATATTTTGATGTTTTCAAATCTGTTAACATTTATATTCGCTTACTATAAAATCAGTCTATTTCTGTTAAATGCAAAGAAATAATTATATATAATAATTAAAATCAAGAGTAAATGAAAAGAAAAAACTTTTTGACACCTTTTAATAATATTGTTTAAATAGATTCTAATAAAAAGAAATAAAAGAACTGATATTCTAAATCTGAAAAAAATTAACACGAGTGCGATTTTTGGAATAAATAAATATTTTTTAGGTACCCAAGATTTGTATATTAGAACTGAGAGGAAACCTTTGTTTCCTGAAACATTTAAAAGTAGGAATAAATCATCAATTCAGAATTATATGGCTAAGGAATCGAACAGAACAATCTAATTCTTTCACTATCAAATTATTCATTATTAAAACACTGAATTGGCGAATCGTCATTACTATGAAAGGCCCCCTTACTGTTTTTTTTTTAAATAAAATTAAAAGTACTTCATGACATGTTTGGCAAACCCTTTAATGATGAAGTAAGTCAACACCCATTACTAGTGTAGATTTCAATTTTGAAACGATATTATTTCATTAGAAAAATGAAAGATCATACACAGATATGTAAAATAATATCGAAAAAGTAAGTATTCACTCTCAGTGACAATAAAATCACAATACAAAATCAGCTACATTTTTAGCTTAAAAATAACGATTAATATATTTGCATTAAAAAAAAAAAATGGTAATATTGGAGATGTCTCAACTTCCTGTACAATTAAAAAAAATGTTCCAATACCCACTTCAAGAGATAAGTATAAATCTTTTAAAATATTCAGTCTCTATAAAATAATATTTACATTCTTCAAAACTAATATTTCTTTCTTGGAACATGTCTACTTTTTTTTAGCAGGCACTTTTGTAAACTATTTATCCAGCGTATTAACAAACAACGAAAGTGAAAAAGAGTTATCCATCCGAAGAGAAACTGCTGCGTTTCGAGCCAGAATTGAAATCGGACATATCTGACGGCAGTACTAAAGGTGTAACGGGACCATAAATTCTTTCTTGCTCTTCTAATTGTTGAGCAAATGCTTCTTCTAGTTTCTGAAAATCAAAATTGTCATTTTAAAATCGACTTATATTTAAAAAATATACAATTTCAAGTATTTCCTTCAAATAATTTAGATCTACTAATTGATAGTTGACATTTTTTTAGTACAAAAATTTCGACATTATAAAAAGATGATACCGAAGTTTCTAAATATGAGTCAAGCAAAAAGAATAATTTATTTATTAAAAACAAACTATTGAGAAATTAGTCATTATTCAAAATTTTGAGTAATGATCACTGAATAATGAATGTTTTACAGTGTGCTGCATAAAGTTGGATCCATGTGGACTTTTTTTTATATATTAAGATTGGAAAAAATGTCGTAGGGCTTTCACCTCCGCTTTTTTAAAACTTAAAATAGCCCATATTAAAGTTGGCTAGTGCATTAGTTATCTGTCAAATTTGGTATTTTTTTAATTGCCTGCTTTTTAAATGCGAATTTGACAAAAAAAAAACTAATGTCAGTAGCCAACTTTGATTTGGGCTATTTTAAGTTTTTAATTAGGCATTCTAAACTGAATGGCTACCAGTGGGTTTTGACAGGTTATGACATGGCAAAATTATGGCAACCCTGTAGGCCTGGTGATTTGACAAGGTCAATGAAATAGATAGTTACATAGATTGATCATCCATATTTTTCAAAATAAATATAAGCTTATGCCTTGAAGTAAAAATGTAGATAATTATTTTTTTACTATATTCAAAGGCTATATATTGATTTGTAAATACATTTTTGCAAAATCGATTCTGATTATTAAGCACTTGCGAGGTAATATGGCCGCTCCTAAACGACCCGCTTTGAGCAATCTATATAATTACATATGTATCATTGACTCTCTCAATGAAAACAGGCTCACATGGTTGCCATATCTACATGTCAGTTCCCACTTGTCAGCAGTCTGACAGGTCGTTGGAATGCCTAATAGAGAGGTGATTGTCCTACGACCTTTTTTTCAATCATAATATTAAAAAAAATCCCATTAGGAAAAAACTCTATGGAATACACTTTATTTTAAGGATGGCGAACCAATGGCATATGACACAATACTACAATTATGGAAACGTGGAATTCAATTCCAGATACATAAAGCTATTTGACAATATTTTCATCTACCTATGCCTGTGCGTAATTATTTTCAGAAATGAATAACATTAAAAACTCGGTCAGAAACAGTTTGCCAAATGACTCCAGTTCAGCTTGCATTCTGCTAAATGTAGCTAAATATAAAGTATTTGGCATATAATAAATTATATGTCAAATATTTTAACAACAGCAAAATTGTAGGAGAGCCAGTTTTTTGGTACATATTTCCGCAAATCAAATTTACACATTTTTTATTCATTTTTGTCTTGTAGGAAAGGTATATACGTTGCTGCAGATGCACTAGCGGTGGAACGTTCGATGACGATATCTTAAGAAAACCGTTGTAGAAAATGCTAATGTCATATATTAGATGATTAACTTCCTAGGTCAGGTCGGTAAGCGCTCAACTTCGGATTTCGCAACCTAGGTTCAATTCTCGAATAAAGCAACCATTTTTTCAATTTTTAATTTTGGAAAAATACGACTATTGCTGTTAATTTGTTTTAAATGCCTTTTATTTATCATAATATAAACCCTACAGTTAAACAATCCGGTAATCTTTCCACTATTTATTTTGTACTATTTTGATAACAATTAAGAAAAAAATTGTAAGTAGTTATCATCTTTAAAAACAAAAAAAGTTCTCGTTCACAGTTGTTCATCCAGTGGGAAACAATATTTTTCCTAAGCCACAAATTTATTTCATCAAACAAATGTAAAACTAGGACATCTGACTGTGGAGTTTCAATTAAGACGTTGCTGGTACTAGGTTTGTTTTTTATGAACCTTATTACTCTTAAATAATTTTTGAAATGTCTTGGGAGTAGCGTTATGTCGAAATGAAAAACAAAGTTTTTCATTAGTTTATTTTTTTGAATAAATCAAATAAGATGAATAAATAAAAAAAAATAGATTTCTTTTGCTGAGAATTGAACCCGGGTTGTGAAATTCAAAGTATTTCCATGTTCTACAAGGTGTCTCTGGCTCAACTACCGAAAGTCGCACTAATTTTTTATTTCAATTATATAAACATAAAATTGTTAAGTGTATGATTGCTGTACTCATTGCTATATGTTTATTTCTGGTTGCAAATAAATAATATTACTCTGTATTTATTTTATTTTTTTTTATTAATGATTAAGTTAAGACTGTTTGTTGGCACGTCATAGCCACATTAAAGGTTCGCCAATACCTGTAATCTTTTTAAGAGCAAACCGAACGCCTTGAAAATTTATAATTCCATCGGGGGGGTCTTTATTTTTAGTCCGATTTTTGAGAAATCTTTAGGAAATACCAACAATAATAAAATTTAGGATGGAGAAACCTTCAATTTTTTTGTAAACCTTCAAAGAGTATTTATTTTAAACATTTTTAAAAGTAATTTAAAAAAAAAAAATTACGCTCCAATCTCTATTAAATCTATGAAAATTTGTTGTTTTTTGTTTTAATAAATATCTAGTTTTTAAACGTCTCTGTAAAGTGCTACCTTATTGGTGCACAAATTTGAATTTCTAAATATTTTCAAGACACATAATATCACGAAGTATTCTCAGTGGAATTTAAATCCTTAAAACATTTTTGTTTCGCGAGAGGTCCGGTTTACTCTTAACACATATTATTATTTTAAATAAATCAGATTTATTTACAAAATAAATAGTTAAGCATATAATATATACAAACCTGTGCAGAAACTGTAGCAATTGTACATTTATGGGGAAAATAGGATGGTTTAAAGGCAAAACATAAGTAACAAGGATGAAAATAACAACAAAGAACACGGAAAACAGCACAAACATTGAAAAAAAAAATAGTTTGTTTTCTTATCATATAAACCGATGTATCAAAATTTTTACAAAGCACTTGGCAAATTGACACAAAAAATATATTAGTAACATTAAATTCTTTACTATATAGGCAAAATATTGCTTTTAGTTTTTATCTAAATTGTTCTTGGGAAGTTAGAAAGGATTTGGAGAAAATATTTTTGTTTTTAAAGATCTCATGTAAGTGAATGAATCATCCATCAACCAGTCGATTTATTTAGAATATTTTTTTTTTAACTGGTAAAATTATTAGAAGCGTAAATCCTAAATTTCTAGTTGTCTCTCTTAACACCTACTTAAACAATTATGAGGATTCTGTTTTAAATTTAAAGCTTAAAGTTTGATTTAGGAGTTGTTCTTTCACACCCTCAGTGAATGGGGAATTTCCATTTTTTCTTTTTTCAGAATATATATTTTATTCATAGTTCTTTTTAATTCATAACCGATTTAGCAGAAAACAAATATTTTAGTCATGATTTTTAAACTTTAGGACATTTAATACACAAGAAACGTTGTCTAGTAATTGACGACAGTCATGAAGGGTCTCTAATACCATTACCTAAAACTGCTTTATTTCTAGGAACATGTTTTTACCTCGCTTAATGTAGTGACTGTAACTGATTATTGAATTATAATCATTAAATTGAATAATGCGAAAAGGGTCCATTTTACAAAAATCTTTTAGGTCTTTCCACTCTCAAAAAAAAAAGACTAAAACTGGCCATGATAAAAGTAAAAATCTGCTAGGTTCACTATTGTATTGACTTGATATCGCAGTATATTCGAGCGGTCCGTATTCATTTACGGGCCTTTCAATGGTTTAGCGAACAGGGCTTCAGATCCTAGAGCAGATCATGTGAATTTTTAATTATTTTGGATGGTTCGTTGTAAGATTTAATGGGTGCCATATTAGCAATAATTTAATTTATGTTAAAACGTTTTAAATACATTATCGTTAAGCTCCAACTTGAGGTGCTGTTTGGTTGGTACGAAGATAAATCTGTATAACATCTCCTCCCCTTCCCCCCACCCTGGAATAATTAAACCTTAAACCGAAATCTTAATAACTCCAAAATTGCTATTTTTAAATATACTCTCAATACTTATTTCTTTCGTTTTACTGTTTCTTTTTATTGTTTCTACAAACGGCTCACTGACAAAGCTACTTATGGTGAGCTATAATCTTATTTTAGGTTATATCATATTCAGTCATAATAATATAATAATTTTGGTCTAAATAACCTGAATTTTAATTTGCCGTATAAACAAGTATTCCTACTATCTTGTTAATTTTTTTGTATTCAATATTTATTCCAGTTCCTCTCTAACTTTAATAGCTAAAATGTAGCCTACTACCTTGGCACCGATTAAAAAACAAACCAAAAAAGATAGGAAGAAGGCGAACAAACAACTAAGCGGCGGAATCGTCTTTAGAAGAGTCGAAGGTGGGAAAAGCAAAATTTTTATCGGCAATAACTCCAGTGCTCCATGTCCTGTGATGGCCCCAACTGGGGCGATGGCCGTCAGCCATGTATGGACTCGATGGTACCGAAGAGGCGGTACTAATAGTATCACTAGATTCGGAGGTAGCGACGTTATCTGTCGAAGAAGAACCGGGCTCCGGAAAAGAAATTTTAGGAAGGTGACTCGAGTATTTGGCCAAGCGAGTTTCTTTGTACAATTCTTCCTCGAGCTTCTATAAGAAGGTGTGCTGTGTTAGTAGGGCGTGATATTCACATGTTTATACTTTACAGGAATTTTGAATAACCAATTTTGGTGTGATATGGTTAATATATTTATTATAAACTTTGGTAAAATTGAAATACTAGTGTTAAGAAATACATGCAGAAATTTTATCCACATGTAATTCATCCAAAGCTACAAAAACGCTTGTCAAATAAAATTTAAAAATTGACAAATTGTTAACTTGATTTGATTGGCACTTCTAGGACAACCTTCATTACATAACATGTCACATAAGTATTGGGAAAAATTACATTTTTTATAATAAATACAAGCTTAAACCAAAAAAAGCTGCAGTTACTGACCGTATTCTTCCGAATGTAGTGAATGGTTAAAAACCCCATCTCATATATATTTTAAATAGAATTTTAAAATCTAGAGTATTTCCTGAAAAGTGGAAAACTACTATAACACAAACTCATAAGTATGGGGAAAAATGTATGTTGAAAACTGTAGACCCACCTCCATTATGTCTGTCCAATCTAAACTATTAGAGCAGATAATATACAAAAAAATATATTTACACATTGAAAAATATATAGTGTCTCAGTAACATGGTTTCCTGGCAAACAAAAATCTTTTTATATTTGGGAGTCAAGTATTTGAAACATTAGGTAGCAACATAAAGTTTGACACAATTTTTACTGACTTCCGTAAAGCATTTAATCATGTTGACCATGACATCTAGTTAGAAAAGATGGCCTGATATGAATTGGCGACACAATAAGAAGCTATTTAAAGAATACAAAGTTTGTTGTAAGGCATAATGGAAATAAATGTCTCAATGAAATTTCATGCGAATTCGGGTGTGCCACAAAGTTGAAACTTAGGACCTGTTATTTTTATTAATGATCTACCTTCAGTTATTAGATATTGTCAATTTTTTGCTAAATACCTCAAACTCTATAAAAAAGTAGAATTGGTTAGATATTGTGTGAAGCTGCAAAGAGATATGCATAAGGTTTATGAATGTTAATTATTTGAATCTTTACTCTTAGCGAAAAATGTTTACAATTTTTTACTTGGGCACGTGTCCAACCACGTTGTCAATTTTTTTTCGAATTGCAAGTTTGTACGACATGATGGCGCAAATTATTTTACGTCTACGAAATATAATCATTTTAAGTATTTATGAATATTTGTTTACTATGGCGATTTTACATTTATTTTTAAGTCGACGAAAATTTTCCCACGCAACTTATGTGACATTTATTAGAAAAATACCTGACTTAAGAATAGGGATAAGCAGATCTTCAAACAATAATTATTAAGATCAAATATTTATTTGGACACTTTTCTTGAAAAATACAATTTCGGAAAAATGCTTCAATATATAAATTTTTAAATTTTTTGAAAGTGTGTCCAAAAAGTGACAGTGTTTTAATATCTTGTCTTGTGAAGGTTTTACAAAAAAGTTTAAAATAAAAATGTCATTTATAAATATTAAAACTTTTGAACACACATGTAGATATATGTTTAGATATTTAAGGTTATTTCTTATTAAATCATTGAAAATTCCTGTAAGACATTGGTGATCTTGTGATTAAGAATATTAGTACACAATTATATTACAAAATAATACAGACATAATTTTAATTGTACCTGTTTTCTGGGTTTGAGTTTCGCCTTCCATTCCTTCAGTTCAATACTGAAAGCCTCCTCTCGCTGCTTCAGTTTAAGATGTTCGTGCTCCAATAGCATCTTTCTCTTTTCGTTTTGGAGCTGCTCGAGCTCTTTTATAGTGGCATCACTCATGGCACGAAGCTCTTCAAGCTGACGCTGATGTTTCAATTCAAAACGTTGTTGTTCAGCTTGGTAACGTTTTTTCTCCTTCTCTTGAAACTACATTTATAAATTGCGATAATTAATAAATAAAACTTAAAAAAAAAAAACTATAGTAAATGCAATGAAATTTCTAATATACGTCTATAAACTCATAAAAGTGGACGTTGCCAAGTTACTACAAAATTAGAGGATCTAAAGAAACATTTTATAAAAAAACTAATATTTAATTTGAACTCCATCTATTGACACTTTAAATAATTAATTCATTAAACCTATATATACAATTTTCAATTGGGTTAAATGTACAATGGTAAGGAGGTAACTGAATAACTGTGTGGCCATATTGTTCTGCATGTTGATCTACTTTATTCATTTTTTTTTTTTTGAAAATTGTTCAATAAATCTTGTTTGTACATATTCTGATCAAATTGAATGTTGTTTCGTCAGCCAATCTTGAATTTCAAGTTTTGTCCAGGTATTATTGGGCGTTTGAAAAAGTAACGTGCTGTGATAGGAATCATTGACCATAAGAATCGTTGAAGGCTCAATTAAATTTATAAGAAATTGATTCCCGAACTATTTTAAAAAATTTACTTCATTCGTTTCCCCATGGTAGTGCGGGATTGTTAGTATTTGATAATAACACCAGTTCTGTCCCATCAATAAAACCATTTTTGTTACTAGAATGAAGAACAATGGATCTTTTTTCATCAACTCTTGTAGTTTTTACTCTCATTTTATCGTTATTTTGCCAAGAGCGGTTTACTGTGACATTATGAAAAATACATGTTTCATCCAGATAAACAAATATTATGATAGATTTTTTTGTACTAATGTATAACTTTAAAAAACTAAATCTTTTACTGGCAACATGAGGAAGTTCCATAAGACACTACCGAGGATCATCTTTCTTCCATTTAAATCCTAAATTGCATAACACTGTGTACAATCATCTTTTACAAGAGTAGCTAGTTTATTTTTCTTGTACATATCGTAAATGACATCACAAATGTTCCAGAATGAATTAATTCCTATTTTATTATTTAAATATTCGCGCTTTGTCTCAAATCGCTTACTTAAAACTTTGGCCCACACATGCGCTTCGTCTGACTGTAAGACAAGTGAAACGCCGTTGGACGAAGAGTACTACAGAAATTGCCGCGACGAACGCTTTGTGGTGTGTATGTGCCGTTAAATCCGCTATTATAAATCCTGTATAATAAACGTTGTTATATAAATTGTGTAACCGGGCCCGGTCTTGGCTACTGGACTAATACTACCACCTACTTCATCCGACGAACCATATGATGCAGCACAGAAGGTAAGCGCGTTTGAGACACGTTTATCTTATTTTTTTCGACTGTTACAATCAGCCCTTTTTTACGTAATATTCCAATCATTCTATTACATTTTTTTGGTCCTTCGAGTACTTTAATAACAGTTAGAATTAAATTGTTGCATTATTATAACTGTGGGATTTTTTTTTGCGAAAAATTCGATTTAAAATTTTCTTTATTTTTTAAATTATCAAAAGCGCTATTCAAAATTATAGCATATCTGCTAAAATTAATCAGTTCTTACTAAAAAAAAATCATTTAGTTTGCATACAATATTATTTCAATAAGTATTAAATTTATTGAGTTAATTGTAAAATTTATCAGGTAGACATATTGGTCATTTTTTTAGTCGAGTCGTGCTCAAGTTGTTCGACATCGGTAGTGTACACAGGTTCCAATCAATCGGCCTTCAAGTGGCCTTCATTTATTATTATTATCGCCTTTTCGCTAATTGTCGCTCTGTTTATCAATCACCGCTTTGTCGTTTACTCCGCTACCGTATATTTCGTTATTTTTGAAATTTGTGAAAAATCGCCCGCCTTTTCGCCGTGTTTCGTATCGAGGTGAGCTTGATACCGCTGCCGCTACATTAATATTGCCTTTTGATCAGCTGATACAAATAAATTTGGTTTTAATTTTGTTTTGCTTGCGATTCGATTTATTTAATTTATTACAATGGTTGAAAAACTTGTTAAATATAAAACTTTAAGAACTTCTTGCTTAAATGAAATAAACGTAATTAGTATGCTCGCTGATAAAGCGAATAGTAATAAATCATTCAAAAATGTCTTTAAAGTAAGGTGCGCAGATATTGATAGTCTTAAAGAGGATTTTTTTAAACATCATAATAATGTTCTTGCCACATTGTTTGCTATCCCTGAAGATGCTGGGGGCGAAGATGCTACCAAAGAAATGTTTTTAGAAGAATTTTATAAGATTAAAGCATTATTTTCGGAATTATTTGAATCTGATACTCAACCAGTAAACGCTAATCAAAATACTGCTTTGCATAATTCTACACTTTTTCATATAGATCCAAATTCATCTCATATTCGTTTGCCGGTGATTGAATTAAAGAAATTTAGTGGCGATTATAGAAATTTTCGCTCATTTATAGACCATTTTAATAATTTAGTTCATGAAAAACCTCATTTATCTAATATTGAAAAATTCGATTATTTACTCTCTTGCTTGGATGGAAAACCATATTCTTTAGTTCGGCATTTGCCTTTAACTTCTAATAATTATCAATTAGCTTATGATACTTTACAAGAGAGGTATGCAAATCCACGAAAATGTGCACAAGCTCATTGGAATGAGATTGACAGCACGTCTAAAATTGAATCGAATAATCCGCACGCTTTAGAAAAATTACTTGATATTTTTAAAGAAAATATTGCCGCTCTAGAAATCTTAGGTTTTCCGGTTGAACATTGGGATTTCATTCTAGCCATGATGTTACTTAAACGACTTGATAATGAAACTAAACTACGTTTCGAACTTGAACATCGTTCTTGTCAGGTTCCTAGCTATAAAAGTCTTATTAAATTCTTAAACGAACAATATTTAGCTTATGATAATATTGACTCGGACTCGCCATCCAGTTCAAATATAAAAAATAAACCTAAGATTATCACACCACGTCCGCGTTCGTTTTTTACGAATACTGGCGCTAAATCGCCTAGTTCTAATTGTATTCTTTGCAAGGAAACTCATTCGCTTTATAAATGTCAGAATTTCGCTTCAAAGTCGCCCTCTGAAAGACATGCCTTCTGCAAATCTAACCATTTGTGCTATAATTGCTTGAGTAGTTCTCATGACCTGAGGTCTTGCAATAGTACTCAAGGTTGTAGATATTGTTTTTCAAAATCACATCATAGCTTGTTGCATTTTGATCGGCAAATATCTCAAAATCACCGCCCTTTGGACCGCTTGCCTCCTACTTCGTCTACGTCTCTGCCAAATTTCACCAGTACTAGTACTTTAGGAAATCAAATTCTTACCGCTCAAGGAGTAATAGAATCAAGTCGAATTTTATTAGCTACCGCCCTTATCGATGTTCTTGATAATCGAGGAATTTACCGCTCATATCGTTGCTTACTAGATTCAGGAAGTATGAGCTCGTTTATTTCCAAGCGAGCTGCTACTCGTCTAAATCTTGCCCAAACCGAATTTTCCGTAGATATTAGAGGTTTAGACTCGATGACATCTACCCTTGACACCGCTCGTGTAGGGGTAACGTGCAAACCCCTTAATCAGCCAGAACCTAAAATATATCTAGATGCTATTATCGTTAATCAAATATGTGATAACCTTCCTGATTCTACATTACCTATTCATAATTGGTCTCATCTTTTAGATCTTAAGCTTGCTGATCCCAAATATTTTACTTCAGGTCCTGTCGATCTGTTACTTGGGGCAGATGTCTTTCCAAAACTATTATTAAATGGACATGTAACCGGAACCATATCTGAACCTGATGCCATTCATACAATTTTTGGTTACGTGATTTTGGGAAAAACTTCTTCAATACCTCGTCCTGTTATGTCCACGTTTTTTTGCAAATCTTCTTGTATTCGAGAACTTAATAATACTTTAACCAATTTTTGGGAAGTTGAAAAAATACCCGAAACTACGACCTTTTCTAGTGATGATGACCTTTGTGAAAAATTGTTTTTAGATTCTTATACCTATACTAATGGTCGATATAGCGTGTCACTGCCCTTTAAGAGTGATCCTCCGCCTTTTGGTATTCGTGACCTTGCTTTATCTCGCTTTCATTCTCTGGAACGCCGATTATTAAAGAATGAAAATTTGTATTTAGAATATTCTGCTTTTTTAAAGGAATTTCTTGACCTTGGCCATATGGAATTAATTTCTGGTCAATCGCTTTCCTCAACCAATGCTTATTATATTCCGCACCACTGTGTGGTAAAGCCGCATAGTATTTCAACCAAATTACGGGTTGTGTTTAACGCTTCTGCTCATTTACCTAATCAGAAATCTCTTAATGATTGTCTATTTGTTGGACCCAAGTTACAACAGGACATATGTGCTATTTTGTTATATTTTCGCCTTAATGCTTTTGCTGTGTGTGCTGATATTAAACAAATGTACCGAATGATTTTAGTCAATTCGCAAGATTGCAATTATCAACGTATTCTTTGGAGATTTTCTCCAACCCAACCAGTTCGGGATTATCGATTAACTCGAGTTACATATGGAATTAGTAGTGCACCATTTTTAGCGTTAAGAATCCTCAAACAATTAGTGAAAGACCAAGGACACAGATTTCCTCTAGCCGCACATGCAATCGAAAATTACTGCTATATTGATGATTTTGTTTTCTCGTGCTCTAGTTTAAAACTAGCCAAACAGCTGGTTTCTGAGTTGGTTTCTCTTATGAAATTAGGAGGCTTTCAACTACATAAATGGTCAAGTAATAACCTTGATTTGTTAAAAATTCTTCCCGCTTCTGATTTAGCTAAACAACCGCTCGATTTTAATTCGCTTTCTGATGAAAGTTCTATAAAAGTTTTAGGTCTTCAGTGGGATCCTTGTGATGATGCATTCTTCTTTCTTGTTAATCCTGTCCAAAATAAACCTTGTACAAAACGCACACTTCTCTCTGAACTTGCTAGAATTTATGACCCGTTAGGCTTTATTTCACCTATCACATTTTATTGCAAGCATTTAATTCAGAAATTATGGCGTTCTGGGTTAGATTGGGATGTAGTTCCAGATGAGTCTATTACTCAACTTTGGGAACAATACCAGTCAGAATTACCTTTGCTTGCCGATTTAAAAATTCCTCGTCAATATTCTACGTTAATTTCATATTCTAATTATTGTCAATTCGAACTTCATGGGTTTTGTGATTCTAGCGAACGAGGCTATAGTTGTGTAATATATTTTCGTATTAAAGACGAAACAGATGCCGTTCAAGTATCATTTATTTGTTCCAAATCTAAAGTCGCACCTACCAAGAAACTTACTATCCCTCGCTTAGAGCTTTGTGGAGCCGTTCTGCTGACTAAATTAATTCTTTATGTTAAAACGAATTTTTGTAACCAAATTAGCTTTATAAAAATTCGCGCGTGGTGCGATTCTCAAATCGTACTGCATTGGATAAAGGGATGTCCCAATCGCTGGAAAACTTATGTCGCCCACAGGGTATCTTTCATTCAAGAAAATCTCTCTCCTGATAATTGGTCGTATGTGAATACTGCTATTAACCCCGCAGATATAGCCTCGCGAGGGGCTCTTCCTTCCCACTTCTTAACCTATAAATATTGGTTAACCGGTCCTGAATTTCTTTACGAAGATGAAAGTTCTTGGCCTACCTTCCCATCTTCTGCTAATGAGGTTACGCTTCCCAAAGAAGAACAACGTAAAATGATATTATTTTCAACATTACTCAATCATAACAATGAGAGTTTTGTAATTTCTATGCTTGAAAATTATTCTTCTTTGACTACTATTCAAAATATTTTAAGTTTCATCTTGCGCTTTATCTACAATTGTCAACACCCGCTTTCTAAACATTGTGGCATATTTTCCACCGACGAATTGTATTCGGCCCTTCTTGTTTTGGTAAAAACTACTCAATATACTCACTTTCAGGAAGAAATTGAGTCCAAACGTTTTTCTAAACCTCTACGTAAGTTGAATGTTTTTTTAGATGATAACAATATTCTTAGAGTGGGAGGTCGACTGCATAATGCATCTATATCTTATTCATCTAAGCACCCCATATTATTACCTAGACAAAGTCTATTAACTACACTCGTCATTCGCCACATTCATGAAAAGTATTTTCATGCTAGCTTTAGAAGTACTCACTTCTTACTAGCTCAACAGTTTTGGGTTCTATCCTCAAAACGAGCCATTAACTCAGTGATTTCGAAATGTTTACGCTGTTGGAAAACATCTCCTACCTCTTATCAACCCCCAATGGGAAATTTGCCGCTGTCTCGAGTGTCTGAGGTAAAACCTTTCGGTCGCTCCGCTGTTGATTTCGCAGGCCCATTTAATATAACTATTAGTCGTCACAGAGGAGTAAAAAGTTGCAAAGCTTACCTCTGCATTTTTGTCTGCTTGGCTACCAAAGCTGTACATTTGGAACTTGCCAGTGATTTATCTACACCAACATTTTTAGCCGCTCTACAAAGATTTATTGCAAGGCGTGGAAAAGTCTCACAGATATACAGTGATTGTGGCACAAATTTTATGGGTGCAAAACGCGAATTGCTTTCTCTTATGGAACAGGCCAGCGCAAGTGAAACTATTCAATGGTTTCCTAGCCCCGCCGGAGCTCCTCACTTTAATGGTCTAGCCGAAGCTGGCGTTAAAAGTGTTAAAACTCACCTTCGCCGCGTCGTAGGTGATCAAATTCTCACATTTGAGGAATTCTATACAGTTCTGACACTTATAGAATCCATATTAAATTCTAGACCACTAGTTGCCATATCTAATGATGTCGACGATATCAACGCCTTAACGCCCGGTCATTTCTTGACCATGGAACCTTTAACCGCATTTCCCGTTCCCAGTTTCGAACACGTCCCCCTAAATCGCCTTTCTAGGTGGCAATTGTTACAGCGCATCCATCAAGATATTTGGCGTCGCTGGCATAAAGAATATTTGCATACCCTACAGCAGCGAGCCAAATGGTTAGACCCTGCTAACACCCCCAAACTTGGTACTTTAGTTTTGGTTAAAACCGATAATTTACCTCCTAATAAATGGTTGTTAGGCCGTGTTACTCAACTGCATTTTGGTAATGATAACATAGCCAGAGTAGCTACGGTAAAAACACAAAATTTTATTTTAAAACGGCCATTGGTAAAACTGTGTCCACTACCTAATAATTAATTTTTTTTTTTATATGCTACCTGTAGTATTTTATAATTGTTTTTTGGTTTAATTCTATTATTTGAACTTTCCTTTTTTTTGCTTTAATATTTAGTTTTTATTTTGGGGAATTGTCTAATCAGTTTAAAAATGTATTATTTACATTTTTTCGGGGCAGGAAATGTTCCAGAATGAATTAATTCCTATTTTATTATTTAAATATTCGCGCTTTGTCTCAAATCGCTTACTTAAAACTTTGGCCCACACATGCGCTTCGTCTGACTGTAAGACAAGTGAAACGCCGTTGGACGAAGAGTACTACAGAAATTGCCGCGACGAACGCTTTGTGGTGTGTATGTGCCGTTAAATCCGCTATTATAAATCCTGTATAATAAACGTTGTTATATAAATTGTGTAACCGGGCCCGGTCTTGGCTACTGGACTAATACTACCACCTACTTCATCCGACGAACCATATGATGCAGCACAGAAGGTAAGCGCGTTTGAGACACGTTTATCTTATTTTTTTCGACTGTTACAATCAGCCCTTTTTTACGTAATATTCCAATCATTCTATTACAACAAATGTAGTCAGAATTTAAAATTTCGGTTACAGGTTTGGTATGTTATAGCCTTTTTGGAGGAGACTTTCGCGCTATTTAAAGGCTTAGGCATTTTACCAATTAAAAAATAAATTTGTTTATTAAACATAAAAATAATACAGTTGACAGTTGTTACTGTCTGTTACTTATACCAATTGCTTACTTCAATCTTGAAAAGAAACAAATATGACTATCAGCAAAGATTATTTTGTTCAATTTGATAAACAATTTTCATCATTGATGACGTGCACCAGAAATTTCATTGCAATGGGTATATGTCAAATATGTTTTGCATAAAAAAAGTGTTAAATTACTTAGGTGCAAATTTATAGAAAACAATATGTATATCATCCGCGACGTGATTTTTGATGAAAATACACAATTTCTCTTAAAATAACAATATTTTAATTGAAATGCATTCTAAATGTAATTTTTTTTAATGTAATCTTTTGCAAATATGATTCATAGAATATCAAGTTAATTTTATACAGTATCGACTATTGAACACTTTCCAATATGCTTTGCTAACGTCAAACTGAAAAATACAGAGTTAGCATTAGTGCGAGCACGAAACGAATAATATCAACGTCGCCGTGTACGCTGTGAAATGTGAACAGGTTCACGGCGAGATATATCCCGACGCGGCTGACTGGCTACGTTGATATTATTTGTTTCCTACCTGGAGGATACAGGAAGGAAGTGGTTGGAATATGTGCATCAACGGATAGAGGAAACTGGAGGGGGAAGAGAGGAGAAAGAGAAATAAAATAAAGTAGTCAACATTTTTATTTACAATCTTACCTCTTTGAATCTATTCTTTTCCAATTCAGGATCACCAGCCCCTGATATGGATATTCTCATGGATTCTCTAAACATTGCCTCTCTCGCCTTCATTTCTGCTCTAATCCGTTTCGGTAAGGATCTCTTTTCAATTTGTTGTTTTTTCAATAACTCCTCCTCCTTTCTCGTCGCTCTTCTCTTGATTTGCTCTTTTTCTTTCTCGTGTCGCGTTAACATTTGATGCCTCTGCCGAAAAAAATAATAGTTGAAATGAAATGAATATAAAAAAACCAAATTCATCAATTTAAAAGAGGGCTATATAAAGTTATCACAACCTGTGCAGACCTTATTTATAATTGGGTAAATATTTTGTGCAACTTTTGTGCACTATTTGCGATTTTTTTCAATTAAAAGTTGTGCTAGCTTAAAATCAAGATAGCTCAACTCTGTTAACTAACAATCAAACTAATGCCATAATTTTGTGCAAGTTATGTTAATTTTGTATAATTTTTAATAATATCCATTAAAATACAAATACAATTAAAACTATATTACTTATTTTTATACAATCCTTACTGTAACCCTGTTTACTAGCAAAGTAACTTTTTGTGTGTATTTACTTTTCTTTAATTTGGATATAGTATAATGAAAAACAACCTTAAATGACCGTTGCAAAAGTTCTGTACAAATATTTAAACAATGAAGTCCCACATCACAATGCGCTAGTTCAGTATGATGTCATTTTGGTTCCACTGACAGTTAATTCTAACCAAACTTTTAACAAAAACATCAATAAATTTGACCTATACGTTTTTACTGTTTTTAGTTTATTTCTAAATATTGTTTACAGATCATAACAAATAGTTTAAAGGTATGTAATTGGTAACTAAACGATTGTATATTTGATGCATGTTATCTACTTACTTTAGGAATATATTTATAAAAGGGAAAATACGATATAATTTAGGTAAACAAAACGAACAAAACGCATTCAAAAAATCTACTGTCACTTTGTCAGTGGAACCATAATAACATCATCACTGAACTAGCGCATAGACTTGTTTGTGGCACTACCAATAAAACTGAACCCAAATATATACAAGGATTATAAAACACAAAAATAAGTAAGGACCCATGCAAAAAACTGCTTATTAAGGGTGCAACAACCCCTAAAAATTGATTTCTAAAATGAAAATACTGAATGTCGACAAACAAGCAATGAAAATGATGGAATTCACATTTTGAATTTTAAAACAAAATAAACTAACCTGTAAAATGAAAATTTCTTTGATTTGCCTTTTGATAAGCTGATGTTTCTCATGAATATGTTTCTCCTCCAACTCCCAAAGCGCCGCTTCCCTAGTTCTTGTTAACTGGTGCTTCTGTTGTAAAAATTGTCTTTCCATAAGAGCAATCTTTTCCCTATGGGAATCACTCAATCTTCTTAAAGAACTTTCATGGTTCTCGTTTAGTTTTTCCAAAAAAGCTTTTTCCCGCTCTAAGTGATCGGCATCCATTTTATCTTTCCTCATTTTAAATTCATTCTTACGTCTCTCTTTAGGTAACATATCAACTTCGTATTTGAGCAAACGCAATTCTGCTTTGAGGCTTTCTCTAAACAGCTTTAGATCTCTTTCTTGCTCGGCTCGGATTTTTTTGGAGGTCGTGCGTAAATCGTTATCCTGGTGAGCTTCTGCCCTTTCTATTTGAAGCCTCTGTTGTCTGCTCAATAATTCAAGATCGTTTTCATAGGTTCTTTCCAGAGTTTGTCTTTCTTGTTCGAACTTTCTCTCTTGCTGTTCAATGGCCAATTGTTCTTTCGTGGCTAAATCCTGGAACTGTTTTTGTTCCTGTTTCTGCAAATACTTCAATTCTCTGAGTTCCTGTTTCCTGTCTGTATGGGCGTCGCTCAGGTTGTAATTATCTTCATCTCCGTAGATGACTTTGCTTGTGGTTGTGGTTATTAAAACGCCGTCAATTACAAATTTTCTAGTACGCTTTCGGGTCTTGCGACTTGCCATTGCCGCAAGTTCTGATTTCGTTTTTGGAGGTTTACGTAAAACAACTGCATGATCTTCATTCTCGTCTATATCTAAAAAATAATTTAATACAATATTCGGATATATAACATTTATCACATAGTCAGAAATGTGAAGGAGTAAAAGAAAACGTATTTACATTGCAGCGTAATAAATAATGGAGACTACCAAGTTATACCACTCTTATCTGACTTAATCTGGCAGCTTACAGGTTTTTTGACCATCGTTTTGTACCAAAAAAATGAAAGGAGGTATTTGTAAAATAATTATATTTATTCATTTATTCCCGGGCCATTAAAACTGAATAGAATAAAATATAATTTTATTAACTGTCACTACAATAAATAAATAAATGAATAAATAAATAAATAAATAAATAAATAAATAAATAAATAAATAAATAAATAAATAAATAAATAAATAAATAAATAAATAAATAAATAAATAAATAAATAAATAAATAAATAAATAAATAAATAAAATAAATAAATAAACACCAACATAATCAACTACCTACAAGACAAGTATCAGTAGGTTAGTCTCGAGGATAAAACATCAAATTTTCGATATAATTATTAAGCATGGTGTGCCCCAAGGTTCCATTCTTAGACCACTGCTGTTTACCATATATGTGAACAATAGTTTTTACTTCCTAAACCATTCAGTGCATTATATTATTTTTGCTGTCGATACAACTTTAATCCATATCATATGTCAATACCACTGTGATATCAAACACTGACAAGGCAGAATACTGGTTTTCAGCAAACTATCTAAAATTGAATACAAATAAAACCTATCACGTCAACTTCCATTCAAGAAAGGGCACAGGTAAAACCAGTAATTTTTTAGGGTTCGCCCTTAATGATATACTAACATGTTCGCCTCACAATGCATCCCTCTTCAATAATAAATGAAAAGCCTTTAGACAGTGTAAATCATAGAATTTTAATGCACAAAGTAAAAATGGCTAGGGTAAATAGGTCTCTTCTAAATTTGTTGGAAAGTTACTTAATTGATAAACGTCAAATTGTATTTCAAACTACAAGTCATACGACATACATGTGCCTTCAGGCGTCCCGCAGGGTTCACATCTGGGACCCCTATTTTTTAATATTTTTGTAAAAAGATGTTAAATCCTATTTTAATTTTAGTAAATTCTTTTTATTTACAGATGATCTCAAACTGTACTCTAACCTTCACTGCATGTTATTGCAGTATGATTTAGAAAATGTAGTCGATTGATGTGACTTAAATAGAATGTGCCTAAATCCCGATAAATGTAATGTTATTATATTCCACCGCACTCGTAATACAATTAATTTTCAATATAAAATCAGTGCCAATACTCTGGAGAACTGTAACATAATTGGAGATCTAGGGGTCAACTTTGACTCACAACTATCATTCATCCCACATATTTTAAATACTGTCAACAAAGCTCTACAAATCTTGGGAATTCTAAAAAGAACTACTCAGGATTTCACAAACATCAACACACTTAAAATCTTATATTGTTCTTTAGTCAGAACTCACTTGGAATACATTTCATGTGTTTGGTCCCCAAATTACGTCTCACATATCTTGAAATTAGAAAGAGTCCAGCATAAATTCTTACAGTATGTGGCATTTAAGCAGGGTATCGTAGTTGAAGATATCGATTACTCTAATTTGGAAGCAAAGTTGAATATCCAATCTATTAACAGCCGTCGAAACAAAAAAGATCTTATAATGTTATATAACATTCTTAATTCCGTAGTTCCATGTCATAAATTAATAAAAGCGATAGGAATTCATGTTTCACCCAGGATTACCCGTGCATCTAACACTTTTCAAATACTTTTCCACAGGACGGATTATGGACGTAGTATCTTCATGGTTTGTTCTGCTAGGTTGGTAAATACCTACCATGCTGATCTCGATTTCTTTGGTCCTGTCAGCCCATCTATGGAGACTCTAAAGAGTGCAGTTCAGTATAATTTATTCTAATCTTTTTAATGAAGGTGTATTTTTTTTACAAAATGTACTTATTTAACTATATTCAATAATATTTTTTTGTATTTGTATTTTAACTATTACTTTTATTATTTTTTATTAATCTTGATTATGTTCTATAATATTATACCAAACATTGTACCTAATTAAAAAAGGATTTTTTTTTCGTTAATATATTATATAAATAAATAAATTAAGTAAAACAAATTTTGTCCTGCATCAACTTAAAACAATTACTAATAACGAAACTCCATTGAGTATCTATTATGCTCTTTTCCATTCCCATATATCTTATGAAGTAGTCATTTGGGGAAACTCTAAGGATTCTATAAGAGTATTTAGAGTACAAAATCAAGCTATCAGAATAATCTTTAGTGTAGGTTTTCTCGACCATTGCAAGCCGTTATTTTTAAGACTTTTAATTATGCCACTACCTACACTATACATTTATTCAGTTATTATCCATACATGATTCTAAAACAAACTTAAATAAAAATTCAAATGTCCATGAATATCCTACTATAGGAATGCTGAAAAACTCAGGAATCTGCGGTACCTAAATCTCTATAACAACAAATGTAACCAATTTTATATTTTATAATTGTTTATATTATTCTCAGTAATTCTCTAATAACTTTTTCTTACGGTTTGAGAGTTATGAAGCTTACTATTTATTTCAGTGATGTAAAATTACCGTAATTTATATTTTTGGTAATTTACGGGTTTTAATTACCGAAATTAATTACCATGGTAATAAATTTGTGTCGTAAATTACTGTGGTAATTTACCATAATATATTGTATACACATACATGACTAAAAATGACTGAAATGAAATTAAGGTGTGTGTCTGTGTCGAACATAGAATTGTTTCATTTGTTTGTAAATAAAACTAATTATTTGTTACTAAATATAATTTAAATTTAGGTTTAAGTAACACAAAACGCGAAAGAAAACAATACAAAACATTAAATTAAATTTTATTGTTTGTGAAGGTACTTAGTTTAAAAAAACTTAAGTTCCTCGTACTTTGTATAAGAAAATTTATTTAAATTTTATAAGAATTATATAAGATTATGTTTTATTAATTATATTTATGCATATGTTACGTTGGCATTTCACAATGAGCTGGACTAAATGAGATCTCTAAATCAACTATTTTATCTAGTTCAGTTTCGCTATCTACTTTAGACCAGTCGGATTTATATTCCGATTCAGACTCCAAAGAATAATAAACCGGATGAACATTCTGCTATATATATAAATTTTGTCTGATATAAACTTTTTTTGTGCCCTTTCATTTGTTAGTCGACTCCTTTTATTTGTATTGACATTTCCATACGTTAATAAGCTTTGTTCTGTGGCAGCAGTTGACGGTGGGCAGTTTAATACTTCTACAGCTACTTTGCTTAATTTTGTTGTTAAACAAATCGATTTCCACCAAGTCACAGCTGGCAGTTTTCCATTTTTTAGACCGGTCCATACAAAGTCTTTAGCAAATAGGGCTCCTTTAGATCTATAATAAATGGCAATACTTTTCTGCAAGTAAATTCCAGCTAGCTGTCATGTTTCTTTCATTGTCTGTTGTAATTGACATATTTTTTTCTAAGCCTATTTCATCAATTAATTCGGATATAATGTTGCACATAAAAGTTGCTTAATGCTTTCGTATCTACTATTTTATATAACACAGGCTCACGTGTGGTAAGAATAGGATTTACCATATTACAAAATACAATTTCCTGACATTCCTAATGAATATTCCAGACAAATTTTTAAAAATTCGAACAAAATAATTAAACTTCAACTTGAAATAATTACTATATGTTTTATTTAAAAAAGTACCTACATACCATCAAAAACTAAGAACAAACAGTTCCTTAGTTACAAAATCTTGAAATTACGGTAAGGAGGACATTAACTATAGATTCATTGCGAATATTAGACCAACCATCAATTTGAATCCCTATAGTCTTAGCAGTTTTAATTTTTTCGTACACGGACTTTTTTACACGATCATATTCACTGTTTAGTAATTTATTTGCTAACTGATGCCTTGAGGGAAGTTTTAATGAAGAGCAGTTATCCAATGCTTATTTTCACCAAAGTTCGGAGTTACTTTCGCGAAATATGGTAAATTACAAGAAAATGCCGTACATAATGGTAAATAACGGTAAATAATGTAAATTTTTTTACCACAAGAATCGGTAATTTACTTTGTAAATTACGAGTAAATTATTTTAATTTATTTCTGATTAATTACAGTAAATTACCGTGGTAATTTATTGGTAATTTACCAGTTCACATCTCTGATAATGGTAAATAATGTTAATTTTTTACCACAAAAATCGGTAATTTACTTTGTAAATTACGAGTAAATTACTGTAATCTGTTTCTGGTTAATTACGGTAAATTACCACGATAATTTATCGGTAATTTACTTTGTAAATTACGAGTACGAGTTCGAGTACCAGTTCACATCTCTGTTTCTAGTCTTGGTAGCTAGGTGGTCAGTCGCAAGTTTCTTAAGACAATGGAAGTTCAATCTATTTTTAGTGAAAAGGGTGCAAAATTGTAGGTGTTAAATAAATTAAAACTAGGTGACATTAGTTTGAGATCGACAGTATTTGACATTTCAATTAATTTTGAGGATAACATTGTAAAGTTTAACAAGTAAATGTGTAACAATATAAAGAAAACATTCAGAAAATGATTTTAAAGTTATTAAAGTTATTATTCGGCCTGAATTTTCTCTTGAAATCACCTGGTGATGAGAGAGTAGTACAATTTTGTGATATATCCGAAGTGGCAATGTTTCATACTAAAATTTGGACATGTAACAAAAATAGTATGCATCAGTCTACCAAAGCTTGTGAATCATTTCATTATTTGTTAAAAAATATTTTTTATTCTACTCACACAAATATTTATTTTTGTAGATATGATAATAAATACTCAAAATAAAAAATATTGTAAAAATGAATACTAATGAATCAACAATATAACAAAAATTTAAGCTGTTTCTAGAAAGAAATATTAGTATAAATTCTAAAATAAAAAATGAAAGAAAACAAAATTACTAAATTTGATTTTGGGAGATCTCTAAGTTATCATTATTTGCCGCAATAGTATTTAAAGCATTTTAAATAGTAAAATGAATGTAAATTTGTCTATGTATGTTTCAAAACAAATTTAAATATAATGTATTTTCTGCTATATCGAATTTATAACAAAACTGTTAATCTTATTACATAAGATTTTATTATTAAACCGTTAATTCTCTATAGAAATTCGTTGGTACAACAACGGTAGGCTTATATCTACCTGATGTCTCATGGTACAACTCGGCGGTTCCGTAAATAATGTAGCGTGGTGGTTAATATTAGAAACATGTACTTACCATTTGATAAGAATCTCTTCTCATCTTTCTCATTACTTCCTCTACTCTCTTGACTAGCTAGTGAAATACTTTCAATATCAGACTGTTCAATACTCTTACTAGCTCCTGAGATGGGTCTTCTATGGGAATCATTGCTTCTGACTGAGCCACAATCACTATGAGATCTGTAACATAAAAAATAAAGATTATTCACTATTTAGGTAAAGTGATTGTAATAATAATTAGAAATACTTGAATGATTAAAAGGCGATTAAAATTAAAAATACAATTTTTATTTATTAAACGGGAAACCCCCATTACAAAATAACAACTGTATAATATAATATGATTATGTTAACATAAATTTAACAAATCTAAATAAGTAATATAGTGGAAATATAGGAAACGGTCTTATCATAAATAACAAGAATATTAATATATTAATACTGGTATACAATGACAATATTTCAGTGCCTACAGCTTATTCAATAGCGATTATATTGCATCAAAGTATCCTTAGTAGAGTGCTCTTAAACACTTAAACATCCAATAACCCTCTCTATTTAAAAACTGTAGAGATCTGTCCATAAAAGAATGTCTATCATAATTTGCTCTATGAAAATTAATAGAAAACAAAATATTTTGCCGTAGCGTTCTTTGTGGCACTGCAAAGTTTATTTCAGACAGCAAAGATGGACATGAGATAATATCATTTAATATTTTATAAATGAGAGAAATATCATACATAATCCTTCCTCTGTCCAAATTAAGCAATTTTAGTTTATGTAGGATAAGAAAATAGTCATGATCAGCAATAAGATCCATGTTAAACCTATAATTTCCATATCTCAATAATGTATTTTGTATTCTCTTGAGTAATGATTTATAAACGTTATACTGAGGCGTCCAAATAATTGAACCATATTCAAGTTTGTGATCTGACCAATTCAACATATACTGACTTCACAGCTTCTAGAGAGAGTTCACAACAATTCATTAAAGTAAACCCTAACATCATTTGAGACTTAACCGCTAATTGATTGATATGCTCACTAAAACTTAAAAATTTTATTTTAAATGAATAATAAAAATTACATATCAATTGAAGAAGAAATACTCTTAAATCATTTTTTAACAATCGATACTGTGCAGAATTCTAGAAGTTATTAGGAACTTATCAATTCGGCAAATTGCAAGTCGTACTTGCATAATAGTTTTCTGTATCATAGTTGTATTAAAATAGTGTTTTTTTTTTGTATAAAAAAACTATCTAACAATATGCAATCTGGAAAAACTACTCCTTAGTTTCAAAGTTGGTAACTTTTTAAGATTTTTTTAAGCGTTACTTTTGGAGAGAAGTTGAGAAACAGCAATTTTTAAAGCTTTTTTCTAAAAAATGTTAAAGAAAAAGTAGTGCAATTCAAACAAATAATTGAAGCTTGAAATGAAGTTTTTAATGGAGAAATGTCATTTTAAGCTTAGCTTATTTGTTAATGACTAGCGGGTGCCAATGAGACTTAATGATGGGTCGCTCAGAAATGTTAGATAGGTTACAGATTTTATAAAATAAGATTATGCATATTCTATTGAGTAGTAACCGGTATACATGTGTTGAATATATACTAAAAAATTTCAAATTCTTAAATGTCCAACAAATGATTGAAGAATCTGGTATATTTATTTACAATAAGCAACTACTTAAATATTTATCAAGGAAAATATCAGATATGCTTGAATATAATTTAAGAGCAAATCAGAACTACTATGTAGATTATCACACAAACACACTTAACAATAGTAGTTTGTACAACAAGAATTGATATGAACAATCCACTTGAGCTGTACAGTATATTTTTTTTACTACCCATTAACGAAAATCTACAAATTTTAAAAATGATTTTAGGTTATTAAGACAAACTAACTAGAGGCCTCTCACATAGAAGCCAAACATCCATTCACACGCTTAACATTTTAGTTTTAATACTCTAATTAAATTAGTTTCTCCATAGTTTGATTAAATTTTATGATTTATTTGTAAATATGGACGAAATAAAAATAGAAATGCTATTATTTATCGATTCTACACAAGAATAACTCATTTTAATGTATATTTAATCTCAATAACTAAAAAATATGCTGACAATTATTAGTTTGACAGAACTGTCAATTATTTAAAATTGAAAAAAATAGTAGTCGGGTGAAAAAAATAGTAGTTGGATGACCAAAATATGAACTGTGATTTGTGGATTTCATGTTTTTGCACTGTTTTTACTAGGTAGAATGAATATGAAATATATTCGTTGAGTAGAATGCAATGGCATACTTTTTCGTTTTGTAGTCTGTGAGTAGATAAGTTAATATCCATGTGGGGATAGAAAAAAACAAAAGTTTGTTGAAGTGCTAAAACGGTGTATATTTATCTACCTCTTATACACTAAATTAGTGATGACATAATTTTGCTTCCACCGACAATTACAGTGACAGATGCAGTAACAATAGACTTGTTTATTGTTTATTTTTTAAAGTGCGTTTTGTTTACCTAATTATATACTTTTTAAACTTTCATAAATATAATCCTAAAGTAAGTAGATATAATGTATCAAGTGTATAAACGTTGAAATTATTGTCACTTTAGCCATTCCAAATATGGGGGAAAACGTGCGAAGATATAAAATGGCTCATATAAATTAGTTGAAAACCAATTTTAACAATAAAATAATTTTAAACACAATAATAATGACTATTTAACTAGGTGGGACACTCCTACATTTAATGTTTGGATATTGGATAATCTTTAAACTTTTTGGAAGTCTTTCTGATGAACAATAAGTACTGAAGACAGCGTAATGCCGAAAGCGCTTTGCATTTTTAAATAAAAGTATTTTGCACCAAATACAAGTTTTCTTTGCTGATCTAACCTATGTGCACGTAGCCGTTACCCTCTGTTGGTTCCTTTAATATTAAAATACTGTTACATTTTTTTTTTATAAGCAGGTTCTGACAACATTTGATTTTTTGTTAACAGTAAGGCAAAACAGTATCACAATTGGATACAAGATATTATTTTTATTTTGCTTTGCTTTTCTATAATGTAATTAAATATAGTAAATTATAAAATTGTTTAAAAAAGAAAAAATAAACTATATTACCTGTCAGACATTGCGGACTCAAAACTATCGGCATAAAGTTTTCCATTCAAAGGTTTCTTGTAGATGTCTTCTCGGCTATGAGCATGAATAACTTGTCCATTCATTTTAGGTTTAATCTCGTGCGTTTCGGTATTAGATCCATCTAGGATAATATGAGTGCCGCGGAACTCATCACCATATTCACTCTTAGTACTACCCGTTTTGCCAGAGGAAGTATTCGAGAGATCACTCGTCGATCCACGATAATCAGTCGATTTATCACTCAAATACGAAGTGGAGTCTTTAACTTGAACTTTCTCTTCATCAATCTTCACAACCGATACATGGCTAGTGTCTAATAATTTAGAATTGTCTTTGGAATTATCCAATCCAGAATCGTTAATCACATAACTGGATTCAGTTATCATAACCTCGCTTTCGTCAAGTTTCTTTGCTTTGGGCGGATTATCGCGAAATTCAGACGGTGGTGGGTATTCGAGGGAGTCCAGCGAAGGACAGAATTCATCATCTGAATCTTCTATGTGAGTTTTGTTAGTTTCATTTGCTACAATAACGACGCTTGGCGAAGAAGAGGAAGCTCTAGGTGGAAGCGAGTTATCGATAATAACGGGTGGATGTGTTGTAACTACAGTGACCTGGAAAAATTGTGAAATAAAAAATCAAATATCTAATATTTGAAAAAAAAAACGACATAAAAATATAACAAACCTGACTAATATTTGAAGCCAAACTATTTGACGTATCCGGTAAATTAGAGTTAATTGTAATAGTAGAAGTGTTCTTGTTACGTTCAGATTGAGGAGTGGATACCAGAACCAGATTTAAACTATCATCAGGAGTGGTTGCATTAGAACTATTTACGGTTACAATGCCTCCTAGTTTATCTGAAGGCGTCGCTTTTTCCTGAGACAATCGTTTAACGAGTTGATTTTCTAAAGCACGTTTGATTTCAGATATGTTAACGGACGTATCAATTTCGTCATCTTTTTGTTTCTTTTCCGGTTGGTTTTCGGACGATGAGGACGGTTCGGGCAGTGGAATATCTTGGATTCGTTCTTCACGGACTTTTGGTACATTTTGTTCAATCCTATGTTGGAAGTTGTGAACGTGAGGTGGACTAGCGTCTGGCGGAGTATCTGGGGGAGTAATAGGCGAAGAGGGCGGAGTAGGAATTGCAGGTATGATAACTGGGATTGGCGGCGGTGGCGGGGCAACAGGTTTTTCTTTTTCGGACGAAGAAGTTGAAGCTTTATCTGAACCAATTGAACTGGTTGAACGCTGGGTTTGTAACGGAGGAGGCGGGGGAGCTTTACCCTTATCGCGAGCAGTTCTTCTTTGCCCTTCTTCCTTTTTATCGATCTATAATCAAGTTGAAATATTAATGTTTCTTAAAATAAAAGTATGTTCCTTTTTTTGTAATGTTTAAAGTTACTAACTTGTTTTTTATCATTTTGTGATGTAGGGGCAGAAGGAGCTGGCTGTGGTCGTTCTTCTTCCGCATTAGCAGTTTTGATTGTTTCCTTTTCTTTTTCGGGTGTTTCAGACGGCACAGGTAGTAGAGATGCAGGGACGGGTTCGGGTACTGAAAATTAAGTTAATAAAAATGATATAGCAGCAGAAGTAATGAGAACTAAACGGCGATGACTCAGGAAGTTTAGAAAGAGTGGAGTCATTAGTCGAAGACAGAGGATTTATCGATTTAAGAATTGAAAGTAAATTTTTAATTTAGAATTAAACAATTCTGTTAAAAAATAGAGTTGAAAGGTACCTGGGTGTTGGGATATAATATATTGAAAAATATATTTAGACTAACGGACAGTTGGTAGATTTGTTTACAATCTGGCTACTTGCAAATTCCTCTGTTGCAAGTCCTTCGAGATTTGAGCTTAACCACGTTTCTTAGTGGGGTGAATTAATATTTTCAAGAAATACAATTTTAAATTATGAATATTAGAATTGAGATTGTGGAGGTAGATAATCTGGTCAGATTAGAAAATATTAATTATTTACAAAAAAACATACCTTTGCTATCAACTTCGTTGCTTTTTAAAGATATAGAATCATCTTCGTTGTCCAGAGGCACTTGTAACGTTCGGTTGTCCTAAAAATAACGTAAAAATATATTTAATGTTTTTAATTGTCACAAATTTAGATTTTGTTAAATTTATTAAACTGTATATAGATTCGGAAATTAAAACACGGACCATACAAGCCAAATCAGCGTAATGGGGAGTAAATAGGAAGCCGCATGTACTGTGGGCAAGGCCACAGAATAGATAATGCATTGCTAAGATGTTTTTGTTCGATTCACACATGGTCATATTTTACCTTATCTAATTTATTGTAAAGCAAAGGGTCCGCGTTTAACTTTCCGTGTCTGTATTTATAACTAATTAAATGTATTTAAGTACTTAAAAGTATTTGAAAATAAAGTATTTAAAATTATTTAAACTTGTTTGAAAGTATTTAAAAGTATTGCATTTATAAGTATTTATATGTATTTAAATATATTTACAGCTACAGAAATGTATTTAAATATATTTACAGCTACTGAAATGTATTTAAAGGTATTTAAATATATTTACAGCTTCTGAAATGTATTTAAAGATTGTATCTCAAGTTATTTAATTTAATACTATTAAAAATTTGTATATCCACTTAATGAACGTCCAACCTTTCGGTTTTCATCAATTTTATATTAAATTTTAATTATTTTCTACAAGTAAATTAAACAATAACTACAAAAATAATTTAAAGTTATTTGCTATGAATATTCAGAAATTGTAAAAGATGAATAACAATGAATAACAATTATGCAATTTTAAAAACAACAGATAATTGTTCAGTTTAGTCAAACTCTAGACTTTTATGCTGCTTTCAAATTTTAATGGATAATTTGATACTAATAAATGCCAACATTATTGCCATTCTAATATTTACTTAAGCTAAGCACTAAAATACAAGCACCACATTAAAACTATAAATAGGTATTCAATTATACAAGGTGGCCAGACAAAAACGTAGCAGTGCCATTATCAGAATCTGCGTCAACATTTTAGACAAACAATTAGTCCAACAAAGGGAATATCTTTTTATTATATCCTCACTTTCATACGTATTGTAAAATGTGACACTTCATTTGAAAGCTAATTTTATTAATAATATAATTCACAACATAACAAAACATAAACGAATGAAACATAATCTTAAATAATTGAAAAATCTTGCAGATCTATAACGTTAAGAATAGCCACGAGATGAATGTGCATTCACGTTCTCGCAACAGCTAAGCTGTATGCCTACCTGCAAGTCGCGGATGGGTGGAGAGTAGCCAATTAGTGTTTAACCATCTAATGGCGGCACAATAAGTCGCAGGCTACAGTACTGCCACGCTTTAAACGGATTAGGGTTATAGCAGGCGGGCCCGACCACCAAATTTATGCTACTCATTAAATTACTAAGTTTCTTACTCTACATAACGTAAATAGTCATTAGGGTGCTTCATTTTCAGGCAATATTTTTTTTTCTCTGTGCTACCTGAAAATCTGAAACTTTATAAAAAATTAAAAATTTAATAGCCGGGTAAAAGGATCTAAATCCAATAGCGACTTAGTTCATTTAAAAATTCGATTTCCCATTTAAATAACAGGAAAAATTTTTTTTTGTTTCAATTTGAATTTTCGATATTAAAAATTTTTTTTAGGAGAAACCCGTGTATAGCTTTTGTAGGGCATAAAATTCGCTACAAAAAGTTTTCCTGAATCAATCCCCTCCGACTAACAGTTTTTGAGTTATAGAGCTAGAAAGATGAATATCAATTATATTTCACATCAAATCTTCTTTAAACTAAAATTTATTATTTTACATATAATAACATAACTTTAATTCCAAAAACTAGTTTTAAATTAATTTAATAAATATAAATTTCAATTAATAATCATTATACAGGGTGTCCTTTAAAATGTGTCCCAAAATTCTCAGGCAGATTCCTTAACCAAAAAATGGAAAAAAAGTTCCTATAGACTTATGTCCTAAAGTGCCCCCTAAGCGAGCAACAGCCTCTCGAAATCATTTTTTTTATTTTGATTTTTTGAATTTTCTTAAAAATGGAAACAAATAAAAGAACCAAATTTTGGCTGTTAAATATGATCAATAATAGTGACCTTTTGACACCTTCAAAAAGAAATTATTTCGTCAGGGGTGTACTTGGGAATTTTTTGAAAATTTTGATTATTCATAACTTTTTTGTGTTTTTGGTAATGACTTATCCATATTTTTTTTTACATTCTACATTGAAAACTACGTCAAAAAGGAATACTTGTTTGATCTCGATTGGAGCAGCCGTTTCCGAGAAAACATCATCCAAAGATATTCGTCCACTTTAGCTTAATTTTCAATTTTCCTAAATTACCTCGGTGAATCTCGTAAATAAAAATAACTTTTTTAGCTCTCTCTAAATAATTGTAGTTCAAATGTCGTGGTGGGACTATTTTTATTTAATAATAAGAAACGGTTTAAAAAAATATTTATTCTAAAAAAACAAATCAAAAAAAATTAAAGCAGATGCTCAATGTGGCGACCATTGGTTTCCACACACAAGCGCAACCGTCGCATCATAGACTGTCTTACACGAAAAAATACTTCAGGATTATTCCTAAGAACTTCGCAATGATGAAAAACTCGTTCTTCCAATTCTTCAACTGTTTCAACAGGACTGGAATAAACCAATGATTTTAAATAACCCCAAACAAAAAAATCCATTGGATTTAGATCTGGTGAACGAGGTGGCCAGTTAACAGGACAACCTCTGCCAATTACTCTACCCTCAAATCTTTCGTTAAGGTGCTGTCTAGCTTCAAGGCTGTAATGTGGTGGAGCTCCATCATGCATAAACCACATGTTATGTCTGATTTGAATCGGAATATTATCAAGAAGCTCATGTAAGTTATTTTCCAAAAAAAGCCTGTATGCTGCTCCATTTAACCTATTCGGCAAAACAAATGGTCCAATAAGGTAATTATCAATAACTCCAGCCCAGACGTTTATTGAAAATTTATCCTGGTGGTGACGTTCAACAACCGCGTGAGGGTTATCTTCAGCCCATTCATGCATATTTCGAAAATTTATTATACCATCTCTAGTGAAACCAGCTTCATCGGTAAATAGCACTTTATTAAGAAACATTGCATCTTGATTACATCTTCCAAGAAACCATTCAGAAAAGATAACTCGCGGCTCATAATCAGTAGCTTTAAGTGCCTAAACTTTTTGAATGTGGTAAGGGTACAATTGTTGTTCACGCAAAACTTTCCATACCGTGTTACGTCCGACTCCCACTTCTGAAATTAAATGAGAGAATCTGTGTAGTGAATAGTTAAGAAAGAGAATCCATTGATTTGGGAAATCAGATTTTTTCTGCATAACGCAACTCTTTTCGATACGAAAAGTCGTGAAATGTAAGAGAAGACAAGTAAAAAAACTAGTTTTATACGATAAGGTACGGGGTAGCTAAAATAATAAATAAGTAATTACTTACCATTTGCTATTTTTCTGGTACTTGTCGATGGGGTTTCAGCTACCCTATCCAAAATTGCTTCTTCCAAAGCAGGAGTTCTCACATAATTTTGTCTTCCACTGTTACTAGAGTTTTTCTTAAATGTACCAGTTTCCCGAAGTCTATCGTCAATTCTAGAAAACGTCTTAGCGCATGGAAGATGCCTATTTGGAAAGCGCTCCTGATAAAGTCTGCGAGCTTCATTAGCATTTCCAGAAGCGAGTCCAAAACATAAGTGCATGTCCGTCATTTCGCCGAATGTGTAATCATTATTGTAGTTATTGTGAGCCATTTTAAACAAAATAATAACAATACAACGAATCGCACCAGAACACTTTTAGAAATAATGTTTAACTGAAGAAACATTTTTATCAGTGAGCGAAAAAAATTATCCATGAAACACAAAAACGCCAAAAAAATACATATTTTTACTTTTTTATTCTAAACAGCTAAATACAAACCTTATGGTCTTCATAATAAATAAATGGGAACTAAATTTTTAAATTTTATTTAGAGAGCTAAAAATAGTATACAGGGTGATTGATTAGTGTGAGGAAGCTCTGTAGATCTGTTATAATAAAAGTAGGCAGCTTTAAGCTTCACATTTTAAAATTAGTTACGATGTGACAGGGTGTTTCATAAGGCCGTGCCAAATCAAAGTTATGTTTTTTAAATGGAACACCCTGTATATTTTTATATTTTTAGAATCTGCTCGATAATCTGATTTCAATGATATATCACACTTGTTATCTAATATGAATAGTAAAGGATCTACAGCTACTCAAAAATCACATTTTTTCAAATTCAGGTGGCTGTTGTAGCCAAACAGTTGGAAATCGAGGAAAACGGCTTACAGTCCCTATCCTAACTTTTTAAGGTCTATTCAGTGACATAAAATACATATTATTTGATACAGGGTGATCAAAAATCCAAAATCACATCCGATTTTTGATCACCCTGTATCAACTAATATTTTTTGCCACTGAATAGACCTTCAAAAGTAAGGATAGGGACATGTAAGCCGTGTTCCTCGATTTCCAACTTTTTGGCTACAACAGCCAAAATTGAAAATTAACCTAACCTGCACGAATATCTTTGGATGATGTTTTCTCGGAAACGGCTGCTCCAATCGAGATCAAACAAGTATTACTTTTTGACGTAGTTTTCAATGTAGAATGTAAAAAAAAATATGGATAAGTCATTACCAAAAACACAAAAAAGTTATGAATAATCAAAATTTTCAAAAAATTCCCAAGTACACCCCTGACGAAATAATTTCTTTTTGAAGGTGTCAAAAGGTCACTATTATTGATCATATTTAACAGCCAAAATTTGGTTCTTTTATTTGTTTCCATTTTTAAGAAAATTCAAAAAATCAAAATAAAAAAAATGATTTCGAGAGGCTGTTGCTCGCTTAGGGGGCACTTTAGGACATAGGTCTATAGGAACTTTTTTTCCATTTTTTGGTTAAGGAATCTGCCTGAGAATTTTGGGACACATTTTAAAGGACACCCTGTATAATAAAATTATCAATATGTTAAAATTTAAATTTTTGTTTATATTCTAATTTTAAAATTTTTTAGTTTCATTTCTAACCACAGTGACGCTACTCTTGACTTCGTCTATACAGAACAGAAGTTTTTGCTCTTCAATCGTATTGACTAGCATTGATTGGTGATAATTGTTAATAAATTTTAACATAAATAAGATTTGATGTGAACTATAATTAATATTCATCTTTAACTCAAAAACTGTTAGTTGGAGAGGATTTACTCAGAAAAACTTTTTGTAGCAAATTTCATGCCCTACAAAGCTATTCACGGGTTTTTCCTAAAAAAAAATTTTTAATATCGAAAAATTAAATTGAAACAAAAAATGTTTTTTCCTATGTTATTTAAATAGGAAATCGAATTTTTGAATGAGCTAAGTCGCTATTGCATTTAGAACCTGTTACCCGGCGGCGTAATTTTTAATTTTTTATAAAGTTTTAGATTTTCAGGTAGCACAGAGAAAAAAAATATATTGCCTGAAAATGAAGCACCCTAATAGTCATATTGCTGAATTCTCCATAAAATTACATTTTCATTGATGTATCATACTTGGTATTTCCCTATTTAAATTGTATTAGTTGAGGATATAATAATTTTTATCCCCAAAAAATAATATTAATTTCAGATTTATTTTTAGAACAAATCGAAAAACCATTTATGTCCTAAATTCTAAAATTTTAGTCAAAAATTGTTTTAACAGAGTTCCCCTCAGCACATATTAAAAACTTTTTAATTATTTTCTTAAAAAGGTCCGTTCAATAATTGTAAATTTTGCTCAATAGAAAATTAAAGTGTCTCTGACCTATGTATTTGTTTGCAAGGTATGTTTTTAGATTGCCTTTTGTTTATTTCTAGTTGATAATTATGTTCAATGTTTTCTTTTTTTTTTTTTAGAATAGCTCTAGTTTTGTAAGTACATATAAGAGTTGTATAAATATACGGTTTTCAAATATCAAAATATTTATTTCTTGAAATAGTCTGTTGGATGGGTATTGAACGTTTTTGTTGTGTATCATTTTTAAAACCCTTTTTTTGAAGTACCTCTAATTTATTTAAATAACTCTTTGTTGTAGCTCCCCAGGAAATAATGGTATACTGCAAACAATTTTGGACAAAGGAATGTAAAATATTTTTTCTAATGTTGACATATAAAGTGACATTTTTTGTAATCGCAGCAAGTGTCAACCAGTTGAATAATATTGATTATTATGAAACTTGTTTCGAAAAATTCATTACACGTCACCAGTTGCAAAAAGAAAAGAAATAAAAATAAAACTTTTTTGATTTTAAAATCAATATAAACATTATTATTGAAAGTTTATATCAAAGAAGGACAGGTTGAAGCTGGTTAAACTTACAACCTAGTAATAATGTTGTTTTGGTCCTTATTTTCCAGTCCAAATCAGCACAAAATAATTAAAAGACAATACACGACAAAATAACCCACTTTTTGAAAACGAAATAACCCTAATAAATAATATAAACGCACTACAAGTCGTTGAGAATAAATAATTAATAATGTTGTACTAATCGTGATTTGTACCAATCAATATTTTGGATATCCAAAAGTAGTTTCAAAAATGGATGCAGTTCTCGATAACAGATCTGGTATGTTTTCTTCTGGCAACCCTGTATGTGAAGCTTGCTAAGCCCAAGCTCAATAACTGTTATGGCATGGAAAAGGTACTTCTTCACTTAAAAAATGAAACGTCTAAAATTTGTATCTTACGTTGACAAAAGTATTTATATATAGGTATTTAATGGTTGGTTGATTAAACTCTTTATTTAATAACTGTTTAAAATACAGAAAATTTAAGTGGGACCGGTATAATTCAGACACCAAACTTTTCAGTTTGTTAAAAATCAGTATTTTTAATTTTAGAATACCAAGTAACTTTTAAAGAAATGATAACATCAATATACACACATACACATATTATAACACATCAAAATTTGAAGATTTAACCAGGAGTAAAAAAAAAAAGAAATTAAATTAATCTTTATAAGATCGAAACAAATAAAACTAATAGCAGAGTGGTATATTAACATCAAATATAACAAAAATTATGTTCTCACCTTAGCATTATTATCAGGAAAAGGGGGACCCGGAGAGCCGCATGCATAAGAAAAGACAAGCATTGATAACACAATTGTCACAATTACGAAAATAAATATATACATACTACCAACTCCTATTGATCTAACTTAAAAATAGCTTAACTATTTGACATAATAACTTACCAATTCTTTGATAAAGCTCTTTGTGTTTTCGATGCTTCTTACCACGCTAAGCATGAAATATTTACAAAAGCATAAGAAAGTGCACAAAAACCGGGTCAGTTACTTGTTAAGGTTGAGTGGTTAACATACACTTCATATTCAAAATGGTAATTAGGCAATTATTAAGTACAATGGAGCCTTTTTTTAGGAATCAGCAAATTCAATAAGAGATTTCCAGGATGCGAGCGTTTAACAATAGATATTAGCAATATTCATTCAATTGATTCTACTGAAAAAACTACCTGTAAAGATAGACAATTGTGTGCAAGTTTAATTCTGAATAAAACTTTACAACTAGACCAATTGCCTTGAAGTATTTTACGGCTTCGATTTTTTTTTTATTTTTTTAATAAGGAGCAAGGATCAAAAATTTTTAAATCAAATTTTATAAATTTCTGCTCAAAAAAGATGGAACAACAAAATATCCTAATATACAGGGCGAGTCAAAAAAGAGGGGAAATCAGTTAGTTTGCATTTGTCAAAATTGTACAATGACAGCGATAAAGAACATTTTAATCCCTGTATACTTCAGTTTTTACTACATTTTTCAAACTCAGATTTATTAAGATTCATGTAGAGTTATTACTAATTAATTAATGATCTAGGGAGTTGTTTATTTAGTGGCAAATACGTTTGTATACAGAAAGCAGAATAAACATTATTAATACAACAAAATAAATTGAAATATTTTATTACATAATAAACATATTTTTGTTTCAAGCATTAAATTTTGAAGACAAAAAATGTTAGAAGAGCAAGCAATACCACCACCAATATTGTTAAGTAGAAACTTTTGTATCCAATTTTTGTTAGGTCTAGATACAATATATTTCTGCAATCAACAAATTTAAGAAGAAAACAGATAAAAAAACTCACCTCTGGATCATCATCTGTAAGTTCTTCTTCGACAACTTCTGCTCTATACTCTAGCAAAAGGTCACGGATGGGTTTTGAATCTAAAGTACAATTGATAAAAGGGTGTTTTAACAATTCATCACAGTTGGGCCTTTTCTGGGGGTCCTTTAAATAAAAACAAAACAAAAAACATGATGAAAGACAAATTAACGCTTTACTTAGTTAAATTTATTTAACGAATATGACTAATTTAGAATGCGACCTAGACTTGTACCTTAGATTAAAGAGACACTTATCTAAGACTTGTAAATACATACATACATAATATACAAACTTAAGTAATTAATTACTTTTGATTTAATAAACATTTTCAAAATTTGATTACTTTTTTAAGTATATTTTTTTTTATATTTTTGCACACTCTAGAAATGTCTAAAGATTGATCTATTTTAATATGTACATATATTTCAATAACAAATTAATTAAAAAGACAACTAGTTAAAATAGAAAAAAAGTATGAAGTGGTCACCAAAAAATATTTTTAAAGTAGACTTTGGGAAAATTCACATATGAAGTGTTAGTTTGGATTTAATTTAGAGCAGCGGGTAGTTATCATAGACATAAGTCACATCCCTGTCTTTTTTAAAAACATTTTTTTGTGGTTACATTTAAGTTTTGTTTGTGTATCGTAAGTACTGAATGTTTAATATCTTATAAAGGCCTACTTACCTTTATAAGAGCTTTAACCAGAAAATCGTTGAACTCCTTCGACCATTTTGAAGGCTGTTCTAATTTTGGAGGATCAGATTTCTGAATCTTGAGCAAAACCCTCATGGGAGACATTTCATGATTAGGTGGTTCCATTTGGGCGAATTCTATTAACGTGATACCCATTGACCAAATATCAACTTTGTAGTCGTATGGATTATCACGGAAAGTTTCACAAAGCACCACTTCTGGAGCCATCCAATATGGTGTGCCTATGAAGGTATCATGCTTCTGTAGCGTATTCTTGTTTTTTGCAGATACACCAAAATCGGCTAAGGAAAAAATATTGATTTTATTTTCATTATTGGTTTTGAAACAATGATTATTGTGCATAACACCTTTTTTATTCTGAATATAATAATATGATGATTGCGAGTTTTTCAATGACAACCTGTATATCATTCGGATCAGAAGCACCCTATATTTAACAATACTCAAATTACAAAAGAAAGTTGGTAATATGCATTTTTCTCTATACAAAACAAGTTACCAAGACAACGATGTCAGATGTCACTATTATCTATCAGACTGTTATAAATAAATAATACTTCACAAATATTTTTGGCAGTTTAAAAATTAAAAAAAAAAAAATTATATATCTCATGAACTAAATATTTATTTATTTACTTACAGAATGTACAAATCCAAATAGTACACAAACAATTGTAGGAGTTAAAAACAATATAAAATAATTAAAAAAAATATATAAAATATTAAAAAAAGGAAGAATAACACAACGCCGCGGGACGATACGAGTAAAACTTACGACATTCAGGAGTTGCAAGTCCCTTTTCAGCACCAAAATATTACAATTAAATATCTGAGTAAAATTTGTTATAGTTCTTGCATAAGCGATCAATAAATGCACTTTGTCCGTAATTTGTTCTGTCTTTTTACATTCAAAAGTGATGTGTGCCGAGTCCGTCGGACAGGTACCAATAGTTCAACTCTCTCAAGCAGTGACCCGCACTTGATAGAACCACCTATTAATTTAGCCAGAAATCGGAGTAAAGCCTGTTTTCTTCTGCTTTCCAGGCTCTGCACGCCGCAAAGCATTAATCATATTTGATAACATGTGTTATGGCTATGAAATCGGTGTATAAAGAGCAGGTATTTTACGAAATTACGTAGCACCCTTACAATTCTATTGATATGACAGGTTTAAGTAGGTTGGCAAATAACAGAACAGTATTCCAGGACACTTCTCACCAGTCCATTGTAAAGTGTCATGATTGCTTTTGTGTCATTCACGTACCTAGTATGTCTCATGATGAAGTCAAGCATTCTGAGGGCTTTTTATACTATGGAATCTATATGGTTGTCAAAAGATATTGTGGTATCAAAAATAATGCCCAGATCAATAACTGTCGAGGATCTATCTAGGTTGACGCTGTCAATACTGTAACAGTTAAGAGTAGGATTGTGGGATCTTGTAAAATGCATCGTTGTGCACTTAGAAGTATTTATAGAAAGAGCGTTATTTTAACACCAGGTAGCACACCTGTTTAGGTCAGACTGTAATGCGGAGTTATTACCAGTGATTCTACTAAAAAACTTTAAATCATCCGCGAAAAGAAGGCATTAGCTATTAAGAAAGCAGGACGTAACATCATTAAAGAATAAGGAAAACGTCACATGATAGGGAATTATGCACTGTGACACGTTGATATCGATTACTCAAATAAGATTTAATCCAGTAAAAATAAGAACCAGAGATACTGATTTCGGAGAGTTTTTTGAGTATCAATTAATGACAGACACTGCCAAAAGCTTTTGACAGATCGGTGTAGATGGTGTCAACCTGGTAACCATTTTCAATTGATGAAATTAAGAAGACTTGATAGATTGCCAGATTAGTTAATGTCTAGCGACCTTGATAGAAGCCATGTTGTTGAGGTGAGATATAGTTTTTATACGTGTAAAACATTTCATCTGTTAGTATGGATTCAAATAGTTTTGGAATTATCGATATAATGGAAATAACTCTATAATTCATTATATCGCTTTTATCACCTTTCTTGTAAACTGGCATAAGGTGGGAAAACTTCCAAGCATATGGAAATATTCCACTATCAAATGATTTTTGGAAAATTTGGCTAAGTTGGATTGACAAGGAGTCACAGCACCCCTTCAAGAACGACGGTGCTACCCCATTAAGAACGCGCAATTTTACTAGAATCAAGACTTTTTATTTTAGAAGATACTTCACAAGGAGTGAAAGTGTGTATGGCTAAAGTGGAATAAAATGACACAACGGGAAGATCAGTTTTTCGGTTTAAGTCGTCTTTAGAATAGCACGTTTTGAAATAAGATGCGAAGGCGTTTGCAATTTCTTCAGGATCACTGATTTCATAGTTTCCGTACTTCATTAAATTGGGCAATCCGTACTCTCGCTGCAAACTTTTAATAAGTGTCCAAAAATGTTTTATGTTTTGTGGAGTTAAGTGTTCGGAGTTCGAAATAAACATTAAGTAACACCAGTCACTTCGAAATTTTACTTCGCGCCTTTTAATGGAGTATTTAATGTTATCACTTTGAAGCTTAGTCTTCTGATATATTTGATGCAGCTTATTCTTTTCAACAATCAATTTGCGTAATACAGCGTCAAACCACACAGGATATTTGTCACCTCTTATCTTCTTCTTTGGGACATATTGGTCGATACCTATTTCTATGATGTTGGAAAATTGTTCTACAATTTAGCTGATGTCATGGTAATGAGTTATGAATGACCAGTCAGTGTTTATAAAGAAATTCTTTAGACCAGTAAAGTTGGCTTTATGGAACTGATGTACATTAACTGGTTTGTTATCTCTAAGTAAGCGAGGTTTTTTATTTGTGAAGTTAACCAAAAGAGGGGAAGTAGAGGATCAATTTTCACCAGTGAAAAATCGCTTGATTTGCATTCAATTGATTCAAACTCGTCCACAAATATAAGATCCAGTATCCGTTGGAGCGAATTAAAAACATAGTTTATTTGATTGAGTTCATGGAAACACATTGTATCAATCAAAGCCTCGGCGGTAGCAGAAACTGCTTAAAACCATTTCAAGGACACGCAGGTGGAATTTAAATGACAAAATACAGAACATCAACCCTACCTCTACAAAAAAACAACAACTCCCTTCATCATTGGAAAGCTAGTAAATTATTTTCAATGATATACGCTGTACAGAGTGGTTCAACAGTACATAATAATTAAAAACCCATTTAAATAATCTTTAATTCATGAGATATAGCCATTTGTAAATTTTTAAATTGTCACTCCTTATAAATAAATAATGCAAACAAAAAGTGTAAAAATATTTATAAAGCCATAGTTTTTCTTGTAGAAAAATTCAACATTCAACATTTTATGTAAAATAATTTAGATGTTAAGCGCAACAGTGCTACTTTATAAATGAGATTAGTATAACAGAAAAGTAGATAGTTATATTGAATAAATTATATAAATTATAAATTTAAGGGCTTTAAATGATGATAAAGATTTAGATGATGCTGTATATTACAAATTCTACATAATAAAGAAAGTTTGGAAAATAGTGATGTTTTATATGGGAGATTCAATTTTAATAATAGACATAATTAGGCTTGCTAGAGCTCTTGGCATGCCAGATATAATTATAACAAATTATCGAGTATCAATATCCGGGAATTTTTACTAATTCATTTTTTCAATGAATTTTCTGGAATAAATGTGATGTGTATGTTATATATGCAACTCGTTTCGTATTGTGGCTCAAAATTTAAAAAACAACAATATAAAGTTACAATCTGTCATTAGTTTTATTAAATCGGGTGCGATCAGATGCTCTCGAAGCATTTGCTCGGCGCGATAAGAATGCGTATTAGGCGTACGTAAGAACACGTACGGTTACGTAAATAGATACATAGGAAAAATAGCTATTGCGCATGCGTAGCTGTCATTAGATACGTTTACGTATACGTTTCTGGCATTGTTTTAACTCTCTACTGTCAGTATCCATTTACATATCTTAGCATTTCCTAACTCCTAGATGATAATTAACATTTTTTTTTGTTTATAGTATATTTTATTTACGTTTAAAAAGTACCCAATTGGAAAGACAATGTTTATTTTAAATTTAATAAATAATGTGAAATGTATTGTTTATGTTTCAGATAACATATTCAATTGTAAATAGTATTGTAACAGATAAATTTTAACTTTACTATCATGTAACAATATTATAGTGGCATTGTATATGAACGAACATAATTAATTAAAAATAATATTTTTCACAGCAATTTAAACAATATTTTTCACTGTTAAATTTTGTCAATATTTTCATTAAGATAGGTACATTTCAAACCAGTCACTTTTTTGTGACATTATCAATAATTATTAACAAATGATTTTTATTTTTCTCGTTAAGAATGACAATACCAATTATTTGTAATGAATTTTAGCAACAAACTTAAAAGATATTTGGCTTAATCAAATAAAGCTTCATACTAATAAAATCATTTGATGTTAATAAAACAAACAGATAAGGATTCTGGTAATTTAAAATATAAATGTGAATTTGATTAACTTTAATTAAAAACTCAAGTACAAAATAATAAAAATATGTCAAAGAACTATTGATTGAGTTTTAGATTTATATTTTTTAAACATAAATATACTACTTGTATTTTTTATATTAAAATAAAAAAAAAGTATAACATTGTTGCAAAATTTATGATAAAAATATTCAAAATGGAATATTTTTAGGAAAAGGTTTTACTATAATATTAATATAGTCCTTTATAATACTCCAAAACTATAAACCAAGTTAAGTAGGTATATAGGAGAAGAAAGGACAATCAATTCTCTTTTACTATCAAATATTACATCTAGATATTATTCTTTTGTATTTTAGATAAATACTAATAATAGGTATTCATTTTTATCTCATTTAATGTACAGCTCCATGATACATTATACAGTATTTGCTTTTTTTTCGGTCTAGCATGTAGTTATAATATAAATCAGGCCTGCACAACTGAAATTTTCAAAGGGCCAGTTCAAAAAACCGTAGGTGTACGAGGGCCACAGATGTAAATTTTTGGTGGGGGGAGAGCTGCAGGCGAAGAACTTTCACAGGTGCACCGTTCAAATACGTTGATCTTGAGGCTCAAAAAAATTCATTTATAGTTTATTTTCAAAAGATGTTTTTTAAATAAAATAAACATTTATTAGGTTTTATTTTATATACTTACATCAAAGTTTTATTCAGTAAAGTTTTTCGTGTTTTACCACATAATATATGAT